TGTGTTCAATGGAGGTCACAGACTCCTAAGTAGAACACATGGTTACATGATTAGTTTAGTGAGTGGGTTTTTGCCCATACATCAGAGGTGTCTCGGTGGATATTTGCCTCAGTTGTTTATCTTGCCTTCTCAGGCAGTGGCTGAGGTATGTTACCATTTACATTTGTTTATTTACAGTATAGCTAATCTAGAGTAGTGCAGATCTGCTTCCACTTTACAAAGTTGTTTCTCTTGCCTTCTTAGGCAGCGGCTGAGTGCAGATCCACTTCCGCTTTACTTAGTTTTGTCAGAACCCTTTAGCAATTCCTACTTATACAAATCCACTGGAGCATGCCCCCAACATGCCATGGCCCAGTGGCTCCAGCTAGCTTGTAGATCCACATACAACACTTGAATGGTGCCCATCAACATAATTTTTTTTCACCCAGTGAAAGAAGTATAGTTGTGAACCAACTGAAGTAAGTTGTTTGTTGAGTAATGTATTCAGTACTGATGGTTCTCTCCCACAGGATGGTGAACACTGCAACATGGGGTGAATATGGGGGAGTATTGGTGAGGGGGTGCAGCAGTATTAGACTAAGACTTGGGTTGGGTGTTTGCTGTGTTCTCAGAAATTCCACTTGTCCTGCTGTACACAATTCTCTGTACACTGGCCACATGACATGATTCCAATGTGATTCTACAACACCACTTCATGACTACACTATGTACAGCCCAACCTCATAATGCCTTCACATTTGATCTCTTTGTCCCTCAGCAACAGCTGAAGTTGGATATGTCAACAAATACACTGACCATCATGCCTTTGAAATTGTGTTGATTGTACTTACATCTGTACTACTTATTACTCTTAATTTGATTTTCCTTCTAATTTCACTTGTTCACCTTAATTTGCTTTGACAGTAAGGAAACAAAGTATGAAAAGCAAGAAGTAAGCTGGTTATACCAGCAACAGTTGCAATACCTGACAAAGTGGAAAGGATATCCATTGGAAGAAGTGACATGGCAAAAAGAGGAAGACTTAAAAAATTCACCCAGATTAGTCAATGAATTCCACGCCACACATCCTGACGCTCCAAAATCACACCAAATTGCCAGTTCCATAATTCCAATTCTACAAACTCCTGGTTTCTTGGAATGGAGACAGAAAAATATCTGACCATCCTATATTTGTGAGGACACTCATCCTAAAAAGGGGGTAATGTCATGAATTCCCAATACAAATCATTTTTTGTTCCTTGGCTTTACTTTGGCTACATCCAAGAACCAAACCAGTCATGTGAATTTGTCATTCACACCTTCACATGTCACAACTTCACCTCTTCACATTTCACCTGTCACATCTCCAATTGGCTCCCCTACTCCATAAATGCTTACCTTTTTGTGTATGTCATAGCTGTTGATGAGTTCAATCAAAATGCCGCCAATGTTGGCACCGCTGTGGTTACTCTCAATGGGCCTAAAGGTGAGCTGCTTGGTCTTCAGTTCCCACTCCTGAGGCTTATCAGCGGGCAAGTCGATATGATGTGCTGTGACAGAAAGGAATGGGTCGCCCAGTTCAGATGTCCATGAGTCGAATGTCATCGAAATCTTGCTGTCAATGTGCTAAGACAATCATAATGAGTGAAAAGCAGACAATCACAATTATTAACACTTACTGCTAGTTTTTCCTTGACTCGTTCAACAGCAAGTTTTGCTCTCTCAATAATCTTGTCCCATGTCTTAGTGCAGTGCAGAATCTCTTGATCTGAAAGACTTGGCCGAAGGTATTGCAGGAGGTGGCGAAATGATCCTTTGTCAACAAGTTGAAATGCCTGCAATTGCATGAGGATGTGTACATGAAACAAATAATGAAAGTTGCAAACCTCATCCTCAGCAACAATGAGCTCGACAATATAGTCAACAAGGCCTGACTTTGAAAACTAAGGTGGCTTTGGGACAAGGGCATGATCAAGAGTTTGCTGCTCTCCATCAGGTACCTTGACGTTCATGGGAATAGCATGCTCGTGCATGATGATACCTTTCTCCTTGCAGCGACTCTTGTATATTGGAAAGTGGCAGTTTGGATGGCTGATCAGATAATTAGCATGGCTCAAACACACTTGAAAAAAAACTTACCAGGCAATGTGAGTACAATGGGTAGAAATGCTACCTTTGAAGAAACAATGTTGAAGAGGCAAATTTGCGTCCCTACAAGACAGAAGGCAAGTTAGTAAAAAACACTCAGAGACAGGGAAGAATAAAACTGACTTGCAAACATTACACCACCATCTGTCTTCGCTTTCGCTAGTATGCACATTCTTGTGACCTTTTTCTTCAGTAAATATTGTCTGAAGATCTGCTGTCTGCTTGTCTTTCTTCAGGCTTTTGCGAAGCTGGAGGTTTGACATCAGGACAGTAGGATAAAGACCAAAAAACACTTACATCTCGGTCGGCATCTCCAAATGTTTTGATCTGCTGGTAAGCTTCCTCAGGATCCTTGTCTTTGTTATCTAAATCTTCATCAAGGACGAAGGTCTCATCCTTGTTGGTAGATATGTCATTGTTGTCGTCGCCAATGATAGAGGAGCCGGTTGCAGAGACAAGCAGATGCTTGGTGGCAGGGGGCATAGTGGTAGTACCTGGATGTTTGGCAGGAATGGTACTGTTCGCTGCTTCCCGCACCTTTGCAGAAGGCTTGGTGGGTTGACCAGAGTGATGTGAACCAGCAACAAATGTTGCAGGCATTCAGCAAGAGCCCATTGTGCCTATGAAGGAGTCCAGGGTATGATGAGAGGGGCCAGAGGACAGCACTTTAGAAGGGGATTCAGGATGAGGAGAGATTGGCATGTCATCGTCGGCATCATGATACCACACAATTTCAGATGCATCCTTCAAATTGCCATTAGCATTGACTGCAGGGTTTGACATTTCAACGAATGAACTGACCTTTGACACATGAACCTTGTCCCTTTTATCCTCTGCTGACAATTTGCATAAGACCAGAATGAACTAAAAACATTAGAAGTGATGAATTGTGCCGGTGATAATTGCGCCGGAAAACTTACTGACAGTGGCGTGTCGACGGTGAGCATCTTTCAATGCCTGAGGATCACACTAGCACCACAAAATCAACTGATTCTCACAAGTCAAGTTGCACGACAGAAGCAATGGTAAATAAACGTCAAAGTTTCAGTGGGTTCAGACCCATTCAGACCTGTCCAAATGGGTCCGACGGAAATCCAAGACAGCCCAAATGAAGAACCTAGGTAGGGTTCAGTCCTGCATCATACAGCAAACCTCTGACCGAACTGCAGTCCTGTTCACACAAGTTCAGGTCCGAACCTGGGTTCAGGACTGAATGGCGGCAGCACTACACCCTCCCCAACCGCCCTCATCCCTCCAGCTACACCCTCCCCAACTGCTGTGGGTGAGGAAAATAGACCCTGGGTGATTCAGAAGTCTAACAAGGGTGCGAGACTTAAACTCATCCCAAGGGGATTGCTACTGGGTAGCAGGATCCTCAAGTAAGTGCGAGGAAAGCAAAGACTAGACTCTGTCTAGTGACCTGAAGGGTTCCAGTCCTTACTAGGACTGGGAACGCAAAGATGCGGAGGGTCCACGACGAGCGGAACTAACGGAACTAACGCGGAACAAACGGGGAACAAATGGAACAAATGGGGAACAAACGGAACTAATGGAGGGAAAAGAAACTATGAGGCTGCAGGAGGATGATTGGGTAAAGTTGGACCAGGCTTGTGTCTGGTACTTGCTCCAAGTTGTCGGATCCGATGTCAGGCATTTCGAGCGGAACTCACAGAGGCGGGAACGTTGCAATGAGATCAGGAATAGATTCGGGAAGATATTTTAGACAGTGAGTGGAGTACTGGGAAGTACTCTGTAAGTGGAAGTGGAGTTGAGTCTATCAGAAGGTAAAAAACTAAGATCCCATCTATTGCTACCTATATAGGAAGAGGTTCCGGAAAGCGCTATGCTACAACCAGGGAGGCTGTGAGATAAGGAACCAGTCCCGAGTAGCGGAAGGATCCATATAAGTATCATAACACATATGAAATGAGATAGGAACATGTTAGTAACACGGGGAACATAGCTAGTACTCACCAGTGAGGATGGAAGGACATGGACTGGACGGAGGAGGACGTTCCAAAGGCTAAAGGGATATGATGCACATGGTACATGATTGTTCCGCTGGGTTCCACTTGGTTCCGCTTAGCAGACGGCTTGGGGAAGATGCGGATGGGTAGCGGAATGGTGGTGGAATGCACAGGAAGATGGTGGTAAGGCATGGGAATTATACGGGATACGGGCCTACAGTGGGGATGTTCCCCACACCGCTGCATCTGCTGCCACTGGCACTTCTGGCTGATCCGGGACAATTGGCTGCCTTTGCCCTTGTCCCCAGTAGGTCTGTGGTGCCATTGTTGGCCGACATGGTACATATCAGACTAATTGCTGCTGTTGATCGTGTCAGCGATCAATGATCTACACAGCATGTAAGTTACTTACAGGATCTTGAGGGCCCATCTTCAAAGTTTTGATGGTGTTAAGATGTATATGTGAGTCAATAGTGTTTTGGTTTCGAGTTCAAGATACTTACTCAATAATTGGTGTCTACCAGCAGTTTCTTTTTTTGGACAATATAGGTGACTCTTCCTAGTATACAACATTATACACGACTCTTAGTAGTACTACTTATTGCGCTGAATTCACTTTTTTTAATTATCTAACTTGCAAGTTTGAGATGCCCTGAATTTGCTTTTTCAAAAGTGTACTAAGTTGAAAAAGCAATGTTTTTAGCTACCTTCGCTAAAAATTAAGTAACATAAGCGGGAAAAGCAACTGGTCATTTTACTGATGAAAAAGACTGAGAACTAGTGGCTAGGACTTAGAGTGAGAGATGACTACGAGGTGGTCAAGAGCAGGAAACGCTGCGCCACCTCGCTTAATTGCACGTAGACTCTATTCTACGCTGCCGAGGCACGAGGCAGCTTAGAAAGGCAACTTCGCTCACTTATGTCATGTTTTCCTGTCAATATCATACCGAGTCTTTCGAAAGATGTTCTATTCAAAAATTCCCATCTCTCCAGCGGCAGTGACATTTGTCCAAGGGCAAACTTAACTGTGTAGGAATTGCCCATGAACGACATAAATGCAAAGACAGGGGCATGACTTACTCTCGTGACGTGTGAGCTTCTTGGTATATTTTGAAGGTCCTTATGTGGTGGTTGATTGGCAAACACCCAGTACAATATCGGCGGACGGCTATGTCAATTGTACGAGGCGCAAAGGGTGAGTCAACTTGAACGGGATGCGAAATAAGCTATCCATACCACGTAACAATAATAACCATGGCAGCAATCGTTGAAGTCGAAGGCAAGATCACAAGTTTGGCCCGACTTAATGCATTGCGAGTCCCCGCTGAAAACAGCTGGTATGGCACTGATAGGCATGGATGCTGTCAACGCAGCTACGGTAGCGAGGAAGATGAAACGCATTAGTTGTACGGATATGAGATCTGTCGGACAGGTTCGAATAACTCCGAGAGGATCTGAGAGGAAGACAGCTGGCTTTTATGCTCGTTAACCATTTCCCCGAGGTGGCGGTCGTGAGGCGCCTGTGATGCGGCATTGATTACTTAGAGGAAATATGACGTGGAAGACCGCGGGTCGGTATCTGGATTATCCAACATCACACATCAAAGTCCTTTCATTCGTAAACGATCTTATCCTTATCCTTTCGATCTTACCACCCTTGTACTTATATCAGATTACGGTCTCGACTCCACCAGCTTATCCTATTGGCCTATATTCGTTCTTACTGATAGATCATCAGTCTCGTTCTCGCCGGATGGTACTCACATTGCGTCTGGTTCTTGGGATGACAATGTTCGGCTGCGGTATGCAGAGACGGGGCAGGCATTTGGTGAGCCCTTGCGGGGGCACACGGATGCGATTTGGTCAGTCTCGTTCTCGCCGCATGACACTCGCATCGTGTCTGGGTCGGAGGATCACATTATCCGGCTGTGGCATGTCGTGGCTGGGCGGCCATCCCAGGAATACCCTGAGACCTCCTTATTCCCTCTGGATACAAGTTTTACCTCGCCTCGCACACAGCAGAACCCTATCAAATCAACCGATCCTTGGAACAGTGACTTGATTTGCTTCTCATCCAGCTTGAATCACGCACTGCACAACCCTGCTGAACTAGTCGAAGGCACCTCTCATCATACTTCCAATTCAACCCATTTCTTGCCGGGACATGATGGATGGATGGTAGGGCCTGATCGTCGACTCCTTTCTGGGTGCCCCTATCTTCCCCACAGCAATTTCATTATTCTCTTGGGACTGCAATGGTGATCCCGTGAGGAGGTGCAGAGCTTGATTTGAGCCGTATGGCACATGGGAGACGCTGGTCTGATTGCTGTGATGCGTGAGTGCCTATCCTTTCTACCGTCCCTCGCAATTGTTAAATCAATATGTCTAGCCGTCCTTAATGACGATTTTATTGTGGCAGTTGGTCAACAGTTGGTTCGCGGAGATGACGGTAGACATGCGTGAAGCATTTCATCGAGTTCATTTGATGCACGCTGCTCTCTGCGTACGCGGTGTTATACTTGAAGTTTGTGATGGATGTGTGAGTCAGGATATGCGATGCACTATATTTATGTTTCGTGTATACGCCTGTCCATAGATGCCTTATCAATGCACTAGGATATCCATGTGAGTGATGTGACCATCTGAAAATTCATGAACGCCGCGTCAGACTTTGCGCAATCTGGCGACCTGTCAGTGATCAGGCAGAAGAGTTCAGCGCCGGGTGTACATGACAAAATCATAGTCGACACCAAGAAGTGCGCGATCCTTACAGCGAGGGGGGACAACAGTCTTCGACAAACTTTGGACCGAGATCACATTCAACTCGACCTGCTCTCAATTCCAAAGTTCAGACCGACGCCGTGACGCCGATGCTCACGTTACAGTTGGTGGCTGTTTTTATTATTATTCCAATCGCTGTCCATTGGGGTAATATATCCTATGTCAGACAATAAGCTACACCTTTGAACTCGCGAATGTCCCAGCGTGAGGAGTTGGTGACTGTTAAAATGTTGGCCCATTCGCGATATCAATTGGATCGTAGATCCTGACCAAATTTCCACTGGCTCCCTCGGACTGTCCAATTTGACAAGACTAGAGAACAACTTGGTTTCCCCAGAAATTTGAAAACAGAAGCGAAAACAACTACGAAAACAACGGGAAAACACTACTGTGAACGTAGATTATGTCCGACCTGGGAGGTTTTTGGTTTTTAAGCTTCAAGCGACTCGGATCACTGGGGCTGCAGTACTTCGCTCACTTATATGTCATGTTTTCCTGTCAATATCGTACCGAGTCTTTCGAAAGATGTTCTATTCAAGAATACTCCAGCGGTAGTGAAATTTATCCAAGGGCAAACTTAACTATGTAAGAATTGCTCCATGAACGACATAAATGCGAAGGCAGGGACATCACTTACTCTCGTGACGTGCGAGCTTCTTGGTATATTTTGAAGATCCTTAATCGGTGTCTGATTTGCAAATGCCCCGTATCATGTCAAAAGTCCGCTATCGCAATTGTACGAGGCGCAAAGGGTGAGTCAACTTGAAGGGGATGCGAAATAAACCATCCATACCACGTAACAATAGGAACCAGCGCAGCAATCAATGAAGTTGAGGGAAAATTCACAAGGTTGGCCCGAGCTAATGCATTGCGAGTCCCTACTGAAAACAGCTGGTATTGCACTGACAGGCATGGATGCTGTCAACGCAGCTACGATAGCGAGGAAGATGAAACGCATCAGTTGTACGGATACGAGATCTGTCGGACAGGTTCTCGAATACTTCACTCTGAGGGGAAGACAGCTGGCTTTTATGCTCGTGAACCGTTCTGGGAAGGGCTCCTAAGGTGGCGGTCGTGACACGCCTGTGACGCGGCACTGATTAGTACGTGGAAAATCGCGAGTCGGGAATGGGTATCTCTGCGCCGCTAAAATTTGATGTTGAGTTTCACCCATACCGCATCACTGATCAAAAAAAGAGCCCGAAGCATGCAAGGCCTTGTGAAGCTTACATGAGCATGCGTGCTGTGATTCAGCTTTTCAGACATACACAAGGTCTTACATTGCGACATATATGTGAATATATGCTTCGGGCAGCATATATTTACATATACGGTTCAGGCTCTTTTGTTGATGTGGCAGGCCCTATAGGCTATGAAATTATCATGTCAAGCCCCACACATGCTACATCAGGCCCCCGTGTCGCGTCAACGTTAGTACCCATGTCGTGTCAGTGCCTCGTCACAGCCGCGTCAGTGCCTCGTCACAGCCGCGTCAGTGCCTCGTCACAGCCGCGTCAGTGCTGCGTCAGTGCCGCGTCAAGCCCACATGTCTCCCAAACGTCGATCATGAAGCTGCTGCTGATCTGATCTGCAGAGTATGAGTTGGCAGGCTCGAGCCCACCAGATGGTGGCTTATGGTGCACTAGCATACATCATCGCGTGGTCCTTCACCACCGCAGATGCCAGCTTTGGCCTTGACCTTTGGAAACCATGCTACGAGCCTAGTTTCTTTGCGCTCATCCTCCCGAAGTACCTGCAATTTAAATCAGCGTAAGTTATGATTCATATCGAAATCCTTGCAACCTTTGAACGACGTATCTCCGACCATGATCAATGACAGGATGGTAGTACACTTCTACAGGCAGATCCATCTCCATTTGACATACCATGAGCCAAGGTAATAAACCAGACGTACCCCCCCGGTGCTGGAAAAGGTCATCGATGGTGGGATAATGTCCTATTTCGTGGTTGATAGCGTGCAGGAATAAAGTCAGTGGTGCGTATTTTACCAGGGGTTGAATACGGACCACACGTACCTACTGAGGGGGATTGGAGTTCAGAGTTGGACATCCCAACCCAAGCTTCCCCGCTGCGCTCGTTGGAATCAGGCAGACTACCTGAGAGGACCCATGATGAGGTGGAAACACCTGTGACGCAAGGTCGACGGACAGACGTGGGCGCGATTGAAGTTGCGAACCGAGCATCATTAGAAGGTCCGTGCACACCCGTGGCCCATGATGGAGGAACAAGACCATTAAGGCGTTAGTTATCCTCACCAAAGGAAATTAATTGGGGATTTGACAGATGCAATAATAGTTCCACCACTCGCGGGATCCACGAGCCAGCATTTTCCTCTATGGGTTGCTGATCGTGCTGTTCAGATAAAATACGTGGATGTCCGAATTCACAGCAAAGGGCGTGCCTGTAGAGGCATCACTAGTGTGACCGAGGCTTGTACTTACATGTGATAGCACTAAGCGGGAGTTGTCACCTCAACTTTCCCGAATCCGAATTGGTAGGCTCGTGAGCAGCACCATGGACGATGGACTACTTGTACTATGTGTAACGTCAGATACAGTACGTCCCATCCATTTCCGACACAAACGCGCTTAATTACACTTAGGCTACACTAGTGAACCAATAACGATACGAAAAACAAATGCAATACAAACTTGAAGGATGCGCTATCCAATTATCATCTCACACCTTCATCGTCGTTGCCCTCTTGGCCAGTGGGGCCTCACTCAACCGCTGGGGATGTGATGACGGCGGCGCGGAATACGTCACACGGTCTTGATCTTCTTCTGATACTTGACGAGCTTGCGTGAAGAAAATTTTTGCGTCTCGATCAGAGATGTTCTCTATGTAGTAGGTGTTGCCTGTATTGCGTGTTTTGTTTATGACTAGCGGACGGGGCAGGAGGGATGGAACTGACCGCGCGGCACCATGAACATGCCCCCTGTAGCTACTATATACTGCGATTCGTGAATCACAGCAGCTACGGCGCCTTCGATGACGTAGAAGACCTGTGTAAAAATAGGGTAAATAGATCGCAGTGCAGGGGTGGTGATGTATGCGAACATATGTGTTGTCTTTCGTTCCTTTGCTTGGTTTGCGGCCATTCGGGGGTATGCGAAGGACACCTGCTGCGATAAAGTCGCCTTCCCCGAAAACCTTTTGAAAAAACCACCCGCCGCCGGCCGCAGGTTTGGGATCGATCTTCTTTGCTGTGTAGACGATACCTGAAGCAGCGCAGATCAACACCAAACTTTAAGATACTTGATACAAGAGGCTACGCACGTCTCGACACTGGCTCCTCGGTGACATAGTCGATGACTACACCGGATTCGAGCGTTTCGTCGTCCCAGCCCTCTTCGGGGTCAAATGGCTCAGGGATGCTCTTCGCACGTTCACTGCCCGTGCGTTTGCGCTTCTTGCCTGCTTTGCCGAGTGGCTTAGCAGGCTCTTGCGGGATGCGAATGATTTCTTTGATCTGCGGAACGAGAATTAAGCTATCATCGTGTCCCCCATAAACGACCTTTTCTTGACGCCAGTATTCGAGTGGTTTGTACCGATGCCGTCGACTGCGGCGCACGCCGTCAGGTGGTGGTGAATCTGAGGTGGTGAATTTCGTGCGTACGGTGTAAGAGAGAGGACTTACTTTCGTTGGATGGTTTGATAACTCGTTTGGGTGCGCGCGCTTTCGGTTTCTTGGCTTTCTGCTCTTTTTGGTCGTCTTTGCGTGGCTTCTTAGGGGGCGGGTCTTCGTCCTCTTCCTCATCTGGCCCATTCTCAACCTCTTCGAGTCCCTGCGCGATATCCTCATCAATCCCATCTTCCTCCTGGTGCTCCACCTCTACTTCTGCACGTCGCTTGCCCTTGTCGACTGTCTTCTTCGGAGGAACTGATATCATCTCTTCCTCGACTTCCGCCGCATCGTTGTCGTCATCATCTTCTTCCTGGAAACTTATTCCCGTTCGCGGCGGGCTGTCGTTCGGCGGGGGTTCATATTCGAAGTCTTGATTTGCAGGCTCGAATTCGGGGTCAGGAGCAGGATCATGGATAACGCTGTCGTTGTATACAGAGAACGACTTGGAGAGTGCTGAAGGACCCGCACCATTCACGGCCGACGCGCGCCTAGATGGTGCAGCACGCATACGGGGTGAAGGCACCTCGTCAAAGTCGACCTCAGACGTGCGCGGGACGGATCGCGACGAGCCTGGTTTGCGTGCGCTGTTGGGCGCCATCGCGGGAGGAGCATTCGTAAAGTAGGCCAGCGGGGTGCCTTGGTTGCCTGCAGGAGATGATGAGACGAAAGTCGGATCGTGCTCGCAGGCAGACTCACTTTCGGCCAACTCCATCGACATTTCCCCGTCCTCGTCGTATTCATCTCCATCTGGAAATGGGGCGACGACGGATACCCTCTTCTTGCGTGACTTTACGCGGGGCGGTGTGCGATCGTCAGCCTGCTTGATGAGCTCGTCGAAGAGTTCGAATTCATCAGAGTCCCGGCCGACATATTGGACTGGGATCCCGGTTTTCTTTCCGAGGCGAAGGTCATCAGCGCGGAAGGGAATATGTTTCTTTGGAGGACCACGGCGGCTGCCTATGCTTGATTTTCTCCGGTCTGTAGTTTCGCGTGGCATCGTTGGTGACGGCGAGCACACAAGCCGCTGGAGGAGTACTTAGTATCGTGGGAAGCTAAACAAGACGCGCTTGTCACGCATGTCACGCGTCTAATGTCCACATCACAATAAGTCGATTCGGGGTATACTAGAAGTGACTATGGCTCCCCCTCTCCTTTTCCACCATCAACAATCCCCTTCAAATAGTCCAGTGTCGACAGAGTATTAGGCAGTGGTTGTGTCGACCTCTTCACGACATCACTGAACCTCGCCGAGCGCTTAGGATGCGCGGAGCTGTAGTTGGAGAAAGGCATCAAAGGTTCAGCCGTGATGTACTCCAGCGAGCCGGGTCTGTGAACGTTGCTCTTTGAGTGACTCTGCACGTCGCTTGCGACTGCCTCCATCGTTATCTTCGCCGCTTTCAACCCCTGCCTCTTGTACACCACCTCTGGCGCCTTGTCCAATGATACCTTCTCCGGTCTGAATTTCATCGCTCCTGTTTTGTTCGCGTCACCCCATGCCATGACAGAGCCTACTCCCTTGTTCTTCTGATGCACGACGGTGCCCATACCGGCATAGGACGCCACGTAATATAGCGCCTTTCCTCTGTCGTTCCTGACCTCTTCTACCACTCGTCCTTTGTGTTCCTTTGTAGAGAGATACGTTTGAAGTGGTGTGAAACGGGGATAGTGGAGACCTGCAGAGTGATGCGGTACGCTTTCAAGTGAACGTGACCGACGATTCTCTCGTAGGCTTTGGGACTCCCACATAGCAAAGGCTTCAAGGCTTAGGTCGACGGGAAGTTTTCTGGGAGGAGCCTTTTTCTCTTGAGATGATTCATTAGACAATTGCTTGAGCGTGTCCAACTTCAACTTCTTCTCTTGGTACGCCAAGAAGTCCATGCGTTTGCGACGGATATTCGCAACATACTGCTTGAATTCTGAGTTGGACATGGCATGGATATTGGGGATAGCAGAAGGACGCCAACTGATTGGGTCCGTCCGCTCTGGGGCGTACTCCGAGTCTGCCATATCAGCAGTCCCCTCGTGCGGCGACCGACGTAACAGCCCCAACGATTCTTCGGGCATGGGGTTAAACTGCAGTTCATCCCAGTTCTTCATCCACATTGCCTGAGGCTCTGCAGAATTCCATTCTGTCTGCTGCTCAAGGGAGTCGACGGCCTTTACGGTGATGTAGGCACCTCGTCTGCGTATTGGGAGCGGACGTTTGAAGCCCCAGTTACCCCGGTGGGCGTCACCACCGTGTGTGGTGTAGACTTGGGCGATGCGGGGGTCAAAGGAGGAGAATTTGGATCGTTTTAGAAGTGTGGCGAAAGGAGATTTTTGTGCTTGTGCTAAAGCCATCCTCGTCAGTCGGGTCAAGGCAGTTGGACCAAATTTCTTGAGCGTCCCGAATACTTGCCAAAATGGGCCACCGAGTCAAGCGGCTTTGTACGTCCGCTCGGGATTCACCGAGCTAGTCAAAACCTTGGTCGTCTACGAACTTTTCTCAACTAAAACTACGACGTCCAAATTACTGTTTATCCTCTGCTTCATGCAACTTTCAAGGATGGATAGTCCAGACAAACGTCGAGGATTGACCTGTCGTCTCAAAAACAATCTTTGCTGAATGTTCCTCCCATTGGTCGAGGGATGAGGACGCAGGATCACCTGGAGATGCCTACACTTGTTCTCATGTTATTATTGTAGATGGATGTCATTGTAAGTCTTGCATATTTTTATTCGTTTGAGCTGTGATGGGCACCGATGGATGCCGATGAAGATTATCCTGGTAAAAACACACATCCCGCTCGAATGGGTCCCTTGATGTGCGAGGGTGTCTGATGCGGTTTTTATCAAAGAGCCACGCAGACAGATGCGGTGTGGATGGAGAAATAAAGGCGAGGCTGAGGCATCGCATTTGGTGTTCATCTTGCTTAATCTCGAGCTGCGGTGATGATCTGATGCATGGTTTTACAGATCGAGGAGGTGACACGCATTCTGCAGGTGTAGAGCGCCCGGTAAGTTGACGAAGAACACGTTGCTCAGCTCAGGATGATTAGGCGTTAGATGTATTTGTTACCATGTTGTGCTCCACGTAGTAAATTCATGTCAAACTTGTATCAAAACTTGCATAGGAACGAATTTGAAGGGATAACATAATTCGAAGTTGATGAGATGATCCAATTTTTGTTCAAGTGACCTTCTATAGCCGAGGTTGGTGATGTTGTGATTTTCATACAGACACCTTTTTTGAGTGTACGCCTTCATCATCCTATTTTTCTTACATTCCAGCGTTGAGGACCACCGACTTTTATTTGACGACTGGCCCGTTTAACTGCGACTTGTTTCTAATTCAGTGGTCGCAAACTTGGCAGCTGTTACGGACGAATCAGACAAGGTGCTTTTCGTGGACGATTTGCGCTTACAATCCGTTCTCATCTCTTTCACGACCAGCTTTTTTATCTTTATTTCTTCCTAGTTTCTACTGAATTACACGTACGTCGGACGTACGGAGCACCCTGAACGATATCCGAAGTTAAATCATCTAGCCAGCCAATCGCGGCCGTCGAAAAAACGGAACCAGCACGAGTAGTCAGTACAGCTATCCGTAGCGCCCTTTGATTCTTTACTAAACCTCCGTCCGCAGTGCCTTCATCTTCACATGAAATGTACCATCGTGCATACCCGTCCGTCCGCTCCGTTCCCTCATCTTCAAACATCTTCGGAACGACAACTCCCAGTCCACGCTTAGCTCCATTGCTTCCTCCTTCAGGACTCAATGGACTCTCACCCAAATCATCGGGTTTACTTCTCAATCAGCATCTAAATGCAATCCTACCAGAAACAGCCCCGAGAGAACCAACCATTTGTGGTATGCCTCTCAAATACGTATCGTGAGTTCAACCAACCGTTGGTCCGCAGGTGGCTGACTTTCCCATGTGTCAGGCTCATCACGCTCGCCGTCCAAAACGCGACCTTGTCCATCGTGATGCACTACTCCCGCGTATCGACGCCTGCCCACTTGTCTTATTCACCTGCAGCCGCAGTACTATTAGGCGAAATCCTCAAAGGGTCGATATCCTTCGTGATTGCGCTATGGAGAGCACAGGACATAGGAGAATCACATTGGTCATCCCGGAAATCATTCAATGGCCTCGTGCAATCCTTATTTCCATGGTCTGCGCCATTCCGCCAAGTATGCAGTGAGATTTTCAGCCCCGATTGTTGGAAGCTGTCCATACCAGCTATCCTTTACGTCGTGCAGAACTCATTGCAGTTCGTGGCTATCGGTAATCTGCCCGTGGCGTCCTTCCAGGTGGCATACCAGATGAAGATCCTCACTACCGCTGCGTTCTCGGTAGTCCTCCTCCGGAAGACGATCTCCTCGACGAAATGGTTGTCGTTGTTTTTCTTAGCGATTGGTGTTGGTATCGTCCAGGTGCAGACCACTGCGTCGAATAGTGGGACACGGGAGATTCGCGTGGGGAGTGCACATGACGCAGCACCCTTGTACACCCACATTATGAGCCCGCTGAAAGGTTTTGGTGCGGTTACTGCGGCCTGCTTTACATCTGGCCTCGCCGGTGTCTACTTTGAGATGGTGCTCAAGAACTCCAAGGCAGACCTGTGGGTGCGCAACGTCCAGCTCTCGCTCTTCTCCCTACTCCCCGCCTTCCTCCCGATCCTCTACGGCCCTGCACAACCGTCTTCCATGAGCTTCTTGAGTTACCTCTTCCGAAACTTTGGTGGATGGGCCTGGGCCACGGTGGCGACACAAGTCTTTGGTGGTTTGGTGACTGCTGTCGTGATCAAGTACTCGGACAATATCTTGAAGGGGTTCGCGACATCACTATCCATCATTCTCTCCTTCCTTGCCTCCGTCGTGCTCTTCGACTTTCACATCACCCCCTCCTTCATCATCGGAGCTTCCACGGTGCTCGCAGCGACTGCAATGTACAACCAGCCTCCGTTGCATGAGACGAAGATAACATCCTCCATCAGCGGCGGCTCAAAGCCGTTTTCCGACGCCCCTCTGGGTCCGGATGATCCTATAATCGGTCAATTCCCATTACAGAAGAAGTCTTCGCCGTTTGGAAGCCCCCGAGTTATCGCCAGTGCTCTCGGCCTTGCAGAAAAGCCCTCTAGCACGGTCGAGATTGACCACTTCTCTGATATGGAATCCACCTCGCGATACCTCAACGCACCCTACGGCTCTCCCTTTCCATCACGTACGCCCACACCCAGGCCTGAAGAGCGGCTGTGATCATCATACCAGGACATAAAAAGAAGAACATATCAGAACTTTCCACTATCATACGACTTTTACGATGATTTTTTTTTTTGAATATACCCGTTTTCCTAGATCTTTACAAACACCCCTTTTCATCCTGTCATTGCACCACGATCTCATAAACGGGCGAATCTGAATCTATTTCATGGTTATCATATCAACTCTTTTTTTCATCTTGTTCATAGCCAAAGTCACATTACGATTTCATCTCTCGCTCACTCCCCCCTGCAGTCTTTTCTGGTCGCGCTCGTGCGTGTTTGCTGTTCTGATGTTCCATTCCAGATTGCATTTCTACCTTTTTTTGCCTAGTTTTGCTTTCTTTGTTACATGCATACTGTTACGCACGAGGACTTGCGGTGGTTGATGATGATGAACTTTGAACATTTTCTTCTTTCTTTCGTAGAGTAGTGAATTTTGCTGACATGTCTGTTAGCTGTAATTGGGACTGAATTTACGTCTTTCCAGATGCTGTTCTGCCTTGATGAGGTGTCGATTGCATAGACAAGAAATGATATGATATTGAAGCAGCAAGTTTTCGTTGGACAGACCCACGAACGATCAGCTCATGACGAGCGCACGAAGGGTCTTTTCGAGATCGCCCCCGCTTTCCAAGAGCGCCTTCTCAGCATGCGATCTAGGAATACCCAGTTCATTCACCTGCAGCACATGAGTTATGCACCAGCTTAAAACCACGCAAACGCACGATGAGATCCACATCCTCTCGTTTCAGGGCAGCAGTGTCCTTGGAGGACTTGGCGGGTTTGAGCGTCATGAGTTGACGCAAGCTCTCTTCAAGCTTGGTTTTGGAGTATTGGTAGCCGTCGTTGAACTAGGGTTTGGGTGAGCGTGCTCGTTGTGGATAGGAGAGTAAGGAGGGTTACTGACAGTCGCGAGGACTTCTGCCTCTCCCCGTCCGTTGTTCATGTCGGTGGTATTGCTGTAATACCGAGTATCGGGATATGCCGAAGCTTGTCAAAGTTACTTGTCACTTCGAACTGGAATGGCGAAATCCTCAGGCTTCAGCTGCCGACTCACGACAACCCAAAGACTCAGCTTCATCGGCCCCGTCGAAATTGATTTTGGTATAGTCCCTTCAGACGTCGAACCCGTTGAATTGCCACTGCATATACGCAGTGTACGCTATGGACGTAGCCCACCTGTGCATTTGTGCATTTGTGTAGTAAGATCTCCCACTGCTAGTCTCCAATTCGCTTTATCGATTACTAATTCACCTCTATCTACAGTCATGAAGGTGATGATCATCAGTGAATGGGATGATTGCACTGAAACAACCTGTGCATCACGGACACGAGGGCAGCGAGGCAAAAGGATCATCTCGCAGGCTTCAACTTCTCGCAATTCATCTCTCGTGTGCAGGAGATTGCACCTTTTTGCTGTGGGATATGATCAAACCTGCCAGTGCATGTTTGAACACGTCCCACAGGAAAGTCGATACTCGAATCAAAGGCTACTGGCCGAATACTTACCCAGTCTTAAGGTTGTGCTCCATGTTCTCTCGCAAGGACGGTACACTCACTCGCACCAACAGAGCAAAATTACTGGGCCATATATCTCAATGTTGCGGATTCTCCGTATGAGCCTTCGATGCCCTGCATGCACTGATGCAGAGTGTGCTCACCATACCAACGGCTTCGTTGTAAACAGGACTTTAATGGTTCCTTCTCGTAACAAGCGCAAAACGAGGTCCTTTGCACGTTTCGTGCGCTTGGTATGATATCCTTATGCTGATTTGTTTGTGTAGTTCTACAGGTAGCTGCCCCTTCATCCACTGCTTATAAACCAGAATTGAGCTGTTACTGGGCTGGGAAGGTGAAAAGGCCTCGCAGCGTTATAATCGTCGCAATGCGACCGCAGGACACTGTCGACTCTTGAGCTGCGCAATGTTTTGCCATATAGTCACGCTGAGCTGCGTGATGCGATGTGTGTTGTGTTTACTGGACATAAAGAAGTGCCGTCGCGTGAAACCATCAAGAAACTCCGTCCTGTGCTTGTGACTAAGACTCAGAGTGTAGTGAAGAAAGCCATCCGCTCGTACACTCTGGCGAAATTACCCAGCGTGGATTCATGAGACTGGACAGGGTATTTCATAGACGAGTTCTCTGCTTACGCGGCGTACCGTTTAAAATAGGACAAACCAACAGTAAGAGATCACAAAATAGTGGGTCCAGGAGGGCTTTTGCTAATACCAGTATCGGAATATGCCGACGCTTGTTACTTGATCATGTCTATCGAACTGGAATGGCAAAAGCTAAACTCATCACTAGCAACCGCCCTCGTCGAAATCCTCAACCGCCAACTTACGACAACCCAAAGACCTTCCTTCATCGGTCCCGTCGAAATTTCCTCGCTCGACTTTGGCACCGTCCCTCCAGACGTCGAGCTCGTCGACCTTCGTGATATATACCGCGACTTCCTCGAAGACTCTGATTCTGATTCCAATTCTGAGCCGGATGAGAATGTGAAAGTGACGGAAGGCGCAGGGGATGATGAGGATGGGTTTGAGTGGGTGTCGAGAAAGGGTGCGCGTCGGGGAATCGCGGACGAGGGGCTGGCGTATCATCATCTACCACCGCATATACGCTATGGGCGTAGTCCTTCTGTGGATTTATTCGCGTCTACGCCAGCGTTGCATGTTGGCTCGTCGAGGGATGTATGGGGCGGAGGCGCTATGCATATGAGCATGCCTGGCCTAGGTGACTTTAGGCCGATGACGGAAAGCGTGCCTGTGACATCGCCTGAGCTAGGTTCGGTGTATGATTCGATGCTGCGCGCGTCTACGATGCCAGACCAGTCGTCGACGCGAGCTTCTCCTCCAGATCCCCCGTCTTCACGCCCGAAGCCAGAGTCAGAGCCAACTCCAACTCCCTCGCCTAACAGTCCAGATTTACAGCTCCATCTCTACCTGAACTGGCACTCCAATCTTCGGCTCACCCTCACGACATCCTTATTGATCAACTACCCCTCCCCGTCATTCATGTCCCTCCCAATCAAGCTCTCAGTGACAGGACTGGTGTTCACGGGAGAGGTAGCCGTCGCGTATGAAGGTTCACGTGGCCGAGTGCATTTGTGCGTACTCGATGAACTGGATCCATATGGCCCCACTTGTAAACGCCCGCGAAGCCAGTCTAGTACCCCACCTGATATAGACGAAGACAGCGGAAAACGCGATGGGAAACCATTGCCAGTCGGCCAGCGCCTCCTCCCGTCTATATTAATCGAGAGCGAGATCGGTCAGGCGGACAAACATGTTCTCAAGAACGTGACGCGGGTCGAGAGGTTCATTCAGGATGTCATACGGAATACGGTGGAGGAGGAACTTGTATTTCCGAATTTTCATACATTGATCATCGGCGACCAAGGACGCTCGTAAAAACGATAATGTGATGTACAACAATAGTGTAATTGTATATGCTATAGTAGTGATTTGCTCATGTAGGGGCCATCGAGCTCGTACCCGAGCTTGCGGTAATAATCTCGAGTGCCAACACCTATGGAGAAGGTGTGAGTTAAGCATTTCCCTTTACAAGTTAAAAATGGTACCTGATATGACGGCGAGCTTCACGCTCCCATGTTCCTCCCGCGCTATTCGTTCCGCCTCTTCCATGAGAAGCGTCCCAAACCCCTGATGTTGGAACTTTGTTGGGTCGCGCCCGTGTACTGGAACCGCGGTACCATACACATGGAGCTCACGGACGATACTCGACCCCCCCTCTGCACCTTCTTTACACACAAGCTCAGGCCTGAAGGTACCTTCTTCGGAACACTTCCTTAGGCGAAGCAGCCCAATCAGGATGTCTTGCTCTGGGTCCTCGTATGAAAGGAAGGTCTCCCACCCCCCATTGGCCGCATAATCTCGTCTGAGGAGCTCAACAGACTCCGGGCGCACTTTGTGGTGTATCTCGTGTATCTGTACAACTGTGAGTATATAAGCCACATATATTAGGACGCCATACGCACGCCAACTTCGCGATATCGCACATCCCTGCATTCTGCTCCGAAATCTTTCATGCGGTTGAGGGCCAACTCTCGTAGGTTGCCTGAATTTTCACAGCCGCTTGTGACCAGCGGCAACGGTATATCTCTATAATAAGCAGCTACGTGAGAAATCCTGTTACTTCACCTCGATTTCAAGAGACTCGCCTTTGCACGCGATATACTCGTGTCCATGGAGGTACGAGCGCCAATATTCGAGCGACAACATCCACCAAGACATTAGGCGTGTAATTCTTGTACTTGCCCGTCCGCCAAAGCTCATACAATCCCGTCCCTCGAATGACCAATGTAGGATATATCTTCAACCCATCACTCCTAAACGCTGGGTTCTCAAAATATTCCTTGAACTGCTCGAGATCGCGCTCCAATCCCACATTTGGAAGATCAGGCATCATATGAGCGACGACTTTGAATCCTGCATCTTTGGCCATGTGGAAGGACTCAGAGACGGCACGCACGGTGTGTCCGCGATTGGTGTCTCGGGCAACGTCCTCGTATACTGATTGAACGCCAATTTCGAGGCGCGTGCAACCGTAGCGGAGCATTTGTGATAGATGGGGCCTCAGACAGTAATCTGGTCGCGTCTCTATAGTTATCCCGATCGCCTTTGACTTGCTCTGTTCCGAATATCTATAAGCCGCATAAATATCCTACTGTTTGAAACCAAAATAGGGTGATATTTACCGTACCGCTTCATCGACATCGGTGCCTGTGAAGCCAGATAGAGCGTTATGTAGCTGTGCTACAAATTTCGCGCGGTAGTCCTCTGGCATGCTCATGAAAGTACCGCCCATGATGATGAACTCGACCTTGTCAACGCTATGACCCAGGGCTTTTAACTGTTCGACACGACCCCGCGTCTGCTCGTATGGGTCATAGCGTGCACGGATAGCACGCATGCTCGTCGGTTCATAGCCAGTGTAACTTTGCGTGCTATAGTCAAAATCGGAATCTGGCCCGCCTGGGCAATATCTATCCCAGGAATTAGAAACGCATTACGAGAGAAAACAAATCGGAACGTACACGCAAATGTTCCCTGTCATGGCGATGTGAGGACATCGATGGGGCTTGCACATAACTGCTACCACAGCGATCTATCAGAAAACATCAGATCCAACTGGTCTTCCGTGAGGTGAAATCGAGCTACATACACCACTGGCCGTTCTTATAGGCCTTGCACGAAGTTTAGGCAAAAGAGCCTTTTTATATTCATCCGGTATAGCGCTGATGATATCCACGAGCCTCGGCACGCCTGAAAAGCTATATTTCTTAGAGATCTTCGCGCGGAGTTCGTTCAGAGAGACAGTTTGGTTGGAATCATGAGCTTTGATTAGTTCTGCAGCGATTCCGGAGGTTACGCGAAGGAGGATCTCGGCCTGGGAGGGGCCTTGCTTAGATTGTGAGTTGAGGGATGAAGGAGATTGTGTGATGTGTTTACCTTCGGTTTTTGATCCTTGGACCATTTGGAGGCGACACGTTCGTCTTTCAGAATTAGTGTGCGTCCAGTTCCTTACTTTGAGGTTTCTTGCTCGCCGTGCAATCCGATCTCGAAGAAAAGCTGGTGAATGTACTCGCTAACGATATTAATGACTAGAGTTTGCCTCGGGTCACGCATATGTCACGCACTGTTCCGTTGTCACACTTTCAAGAACTTCAAAGTTAGACCGGGTCCGCAACCCATGTTTCGACGATGTCGCTTCTCGTGCCTGAAAAAGTTACAGATCCGGACCTACTATGAATCCAGGACACACATCCCAAAGAAAGGCGACAAGGGTAAGTCAAAGACTCCTGCACTCGCCATAACAAAGCCTCATGGAGTCGCACCCAGTCGTCGTTGCAATGTCCGGAGGAGTAGATTCTTCCGTCACCGCAAAAATACTAGCGGACAAAGTAAGCAAAATATGTTATTCTGAAAGAGCCGACACATATTTTTATACCCACAGGATTACGACCTATCGGCAGTGTTCATGCGCAACTGGGACACCCGCGACGAGTCTGGTTCAGATCATGGATGTGAGTGGGAGAAAGACTGGGAGGACGTCAGACGCGTGTGTGGGGTGCTCGATATACCTTGTACAATGGTACGTCCTGCAGTCAATATATCACCTTGAAAGCTTCCAAGTCAGCTTACAGGTGGATCTCTCCCGTGAATACTGGACGCGGGTATTCGAGCCCTCTTTGAAATCCTGGGAGAGCGGTATCACGCCCAACCCTGACGTGTGGTGTAACAAGTGAGTTGTTTTATTTGTGGCTAAGAAATTGATTTTTTGATGTTAGATCAGAGAAGTGAAATTCGGCGCATTGCTCGACCGCCTTACTCAGGATCCTGGGTTTTCAAACACTCCATGGCTTGCAACCGGTACTTGATCCATCTTCCTTTAGGCTTATTTTAACTCACTCGTCTGTTATGCTTGCAGGTCACTACGCAAGTAAAGATTGGAAAGACCATGACGGCGTTTCACGACCAAGGCTTCTTCGTCCTCGCGACGTCACAAAGGACCAGACATATTATTTATCTTCTATCCCCGAACGCAGCCTTTCCCGCGCTCTTTTTCCTCTAGGAACTCTAAAAAAGACAGAAGTCAGAGAGCTCGCTGTGAAATGGAACCTACCAACGGCAGCCAGAGAAGAAAGCATGGGCATATGTTTTGTGGGGGAGAAGCGCAAATTCCATGACTTTATATGTGAGCTCCCTCGGGATTTTGTGTCTGATATCATCCACTGAACCGTCTAACTCAGCCCAATATATACCACCTAGACCTGGTCCGATCATCAACCTGGAAACAGGAGTTCAAGTGGGCGAACATGCAGGGCTATGGAATTTCACTATTGGTCAGGGTGCTAAGGTGAAGGGTCTTAAACAGAAGACTTTTGTTGTGAAGAAAGATATCCCAAAGAACATAATATATGTCGTGTCTGGGACGTCAGTATTGTTATATCCTCCTTTGAATTTCTTAATAGTATCACCTTCAGGGATCATCCAGCGTTATACGCCCGATCTTTGGTCATCCATGCTTGGACCTGGATATGGGCTGACAGCCCACCAACAGAGCTCATGTATCCCGGTGGTCTCAAAGCGCGTATGAAATTCCGGCATGTGATGTCTGACATAGACTGTACTGTGTACTCGTGAGTCCAACCGTAAATTGTATCCTTCACAAGCAGCTAATTAACTCAGTGACAACGGTCACATTCGCATCGATTTCGATGAGCCACAGAAGGCCGTTGCACCAGGGCAAGTTGCAACGGTTTACATTGAAGACTGGTGTTTAGGATGCGGTACAATCATCGATGTGGCTTAGTTGCTGCACTCCACTTCCGACATGTCATGAAATGACGAGTTCGCATACAACTCGATAGGTAATGATTTCACTACCTGGCTTTTGGTGCAAAATATTCACATCCAGAAGGCTTCTGGTCGACGCCTGTCGTCGGAGTGCCAACTCTATTCCTTCGCTTGTACCTCGCTACGGAACGGAGTTTCAAAGTCTCATTCCACTGGGTAACGGATCAACCGTGCTACTCGAGCCGTCAGACATTCTGTGGAACAGCCTTCAAGGCTTCACCAACTCCATCCCCGTGAAAATGCATCACAACAACTTTTTTTTTCCGTCGAACAGTTCAACATACACGTCAACCGACCTTGAGGGAAACAATGTGCTTTGAACTTTTGAACTATCCAAGTCGTTACAGAATGCGCCGGAATGTCCGCGAATCAGTCGCTTTTAATGCAGTAAATTACGATATACCAGGACACGGTTATCATCGGTGGCGAAAGCTGTAACAGAAACCACACGAACCAACCTGCAACGATGTGAGTGTGACAATGCTGCCGACGACGTGAGGTGTGAAGACAGCTAGCATCGTCTCGTAACCGTGCCATCTAATGATGCATTAGATGACCGACATGTTTCGCACATTCGTACGCAATGCCAGAAAAAACGACATATTTCGTGATTGTACAAACATTCACATTCCACCTCCTTGGACCACCTTGAAACACTTGTATTCATCGCCAAGAGACCTCAGCTCAACTCCGAACATCACTGATGTAGTGATGATTTGTCTAGCATTAAGGCCTTGCTGTAGCAAACAGATCGGCGGGACTGCTACAATCATGGGAGTTGAAACGTATGCAGGCGATGCTGTAAAGTGACTTGAAGAATTATATTGATTAACTCTGCGCTCCTCTGAGAGCCTGCGAAAGTGTTCATTAACTCGGACGTCCACTGAGTGGAGTTTGCTTGATATGTATGGATGGCATTGCTCAGAGCTTCGTTGACAGAAACTGCGTTCGGAGACGCTACATACTGCTCGAGAGCAACGTGAAAAGGGTGTCCGGACTCCTGTGGATCCTGTAGATAGCGTCGCTGGTCCCAAAGATAGAAAGACCGCCAGAAAGTAATGATAGCAGTGAATTGACCGATAGTAAGCATGTTCATTGTAATCTCGCCTAAAAATTTACCAGAACTGAGCTGAATGATTTTCTCCGATGTTGATGAGCCAACGGCCTAGTATATTTGCAACCTGAGAATTGCGTGGAAAGTCTGGCCAATGGGACATACCAGAGAGTCTAACCTAGATACTATCTCCCGATGCCCAGATTAGTAAAACTGGTGAAAGCATGTAGGAGGTCGAAAATAATCTATCTCAGCTGAGGACCAATACACTCACAAGCTATCAACGGATCAGCAATCTCATTCATAAGAAAGGTCCAAGGATCAACACACACGCTCTATCATGGATCAGTAATGTCTTCGGTCGGCAAGGCTCGAGGTCGACGGAGGATTAATATACTCACGATCAACGCACTGATACCCTGTCAAGGGATGAAAAATATCTTCGGTCAGCAAGACTTGAGGTGTACATGGTGTTTAACGCATTCACAAACTGTCAGCGGTTCACCAATCTTTTGGTCAGCAAGGCTCGAGCACACAGAGAATCAATGCACTCACTTCCTGACAATGAATTGGCAATTTGTTTGGGCAAGGCTCGAGCTCGATGAAGAATCAACACACTCACCCTGTGAAAAGATCATCAATTTCATTGGTGAGCAAGGCCCGAGCTCGATCGAGGACCAACACACTCACATCCTGTCAATGGTCGAGTAATGTTTCAGTCAGCAGGCTTGAACTCGACGGAGGATCAACATACTCACACCATGTCAACGGATAGACATTGTCATTGGTGAGCAAGGCTCGAGCTCAGCGGAGAGCCAGCGCACTCACTCGCTGCCAACGAATCGGCAATTTCACAGCGAGTAAGGCTCGAACTCGATGGGGAACAGTGGTACACTCACCACCTGTCAACGGATCAGGAATTTCTTCGGTCAGCAAGGCTGGGTCGCGACAGAGAATTGACACATTCACATTCTGTCAAAGTAGAGCAATTTTTTCGGTCAGCAACGCTTGAGCTTGATGGAGGATTGTCACACCCACAGCCTGTGAAGGGACCAGTAATTTCATTGGTGAATAAGGCTCGAGGTCAACGGAGGATGTATACGCTCGCAACCTGCCAACAGAACAGCAATTTCGTCGGTGAGGAAAGGGCGTCATCGGGGAAACATTCACAAGTTATCAACAGATGGGAAATGTGCCAATGTCTGCGGTCAACAAGACTCGAGGTATACTGAGTATCGACAAACTCACTTTCCTATCAGTGGATCATCAATATTTTGGTCAGTAAGGCTCTGGCTACACGGAAGATCAACACCCTCACTTCCTGTCAACAGACCGTCAACTTCATTGAGCAAGGCTGGAGCTCGACGAAGGATCGATACACTCACACCCTGTGAACAGATCAGCAATGTCATTAGGGAGCAAGGCTCGAGGATACTCATAAGCTGTCAACGGAAAGCAATTTCTTTGGTCAGCAAGGCTGGATTGTGACATCGGATCAATGAACTCACACCCTGTCATGGACGAGCAATTTCTTCTGTCAGCAAGGCTTGAACCCGACGGAGGACCAACTTGACACTCACATCCTGTCAACAGATCGGCAATCTGTTCGGTCAACAAAGCTTACTACCAAAGGTCACCCGCTAGAGACGGATCAGCAATTTCATTGGTAAGCCATGCTTGAGCTCGACTGATGACCAATACACTTATTCGCTGTCAGCGGATCAACAATCTCACAAACTGTCAACAGATCAGTATTTTCGTTGGTCAGCAAGGCCCGAGCTCGATGGAGAGCCGTAAATGGATCAGCAATTCCTTCAGTATGCATAGAAAGGATCAACAAACATACTACCAACATGTGTGGAAACCAGACAGCCAACTTGCATATTACCAACCGATGATCCTCAGATTTCTTAAATATGCGAGATGATATTTTCTGAGTGGAGTTGGCAAGTCGTGCAAGTGTCCTACAAGGTGATTTCAGTGGTCGATACTCACCACAGACAAATTACATAGATTCGGGAAGTTGCCTTTCAACTGCATGTGATGCGCAGCTCCACGTTGGTCTGCTAAGTTGAGACGAACAACTGCTTGAGTCAGGGTTTCTGCCGTGCGCTCAATGAGTGGCCTGAAGTCTGCACCATCCTTGTCCATGTCTAAAAAACGAGCAAAGATAAGCGGTCGATTCAACCAGCAGTTTGACTATTGATCGGCTTACCGGTAAGGCGTACATGACATTTTGGCGGACGTCGGTTGCCCCCGTAGTTGTATAAAAACCTCGCTTGCGGTCCATTCGCAGACGACTCCCTGACACGCTTGGGTGCCAATCTTTTAGTACTTTGCCTCGATTCTCCCTTACTTGTTAGCTCTGCGAATTCATTGTCGTAGAGGGCACCGAATTTTGTAAATAACACGATTGCTGGAACTGAGGTTTGCGAATGAGTCGATCGTACAAATTGGGAGATGCAAAAGCAAGCTTACTGCTTCTAGTGTCTTGATACGAAGGAGCGACTGTCTTCCCTCCATTGGTCTAATCAGGGGAGACTATTCCAATGTCACACTGAGAGAAAAAATTGACTTCCCCTTCTGTGAAAGACCTGAAGTTTCCCCATCCATTGGAATGCAATACCTGTGTCAACTAAGTGAGCTAGCGCATGTCACCAACTTGACCGACTACCATATGACATGGATACGGTCCTTTTCGGAACAACCCAGGATTCGTCTTTCACAATTCACGAACACGAGGGAACGAGTGTTCGTGAATCGTGGAAGACAAATCTTGGGTTGTTCCGAAACACCATTTCATTCTCGATATAGTAGCTCATATTGCCAACTAAGAGCACATCTTGTACCTCTCTGCATACCATCAAAACGGGGGGATCGAACTGATCTCGATGGGTTGATCATCATTACCGGCCTCCAATTTCTAGTATCATGCTCCGCACCTTTCCCCCAATGCTATTATATATTTCTGGGTTCTCCCGCGCATTGCAAACCCTCTGGAGGATGGTGGTTTTTCCCGCATCCGCTCTTCCTATGATGAGCGTTCAAATTTCTATCTCATCTTGGAAGGACTAGGAGAGCAACGGTTCAGCGCAGCCCCATAACTAGTGTATGAACAGTGAACACCGTACCAAGCGCCTGAGCCAGAGATTAATTCAGTGGGCATACTTACGGCAGTTGTGTACCACGTAATGACTCATGAGGATGAGTCGGACTCAGAACTTAGAAGTGGTGACGTTATGCAACATCCGGGCGGTCATCCTCACTGCTTCACACAATCGTCGTGGCTTGCCTGTCGTACTAGATGAGAGCTGTCGTCCAACGCGTTGCATCGGCTTCGGTATCAGGTAAAACTATTAGCGAAGTCAGCATTAGCTTGTACCTAACCTGTTGTTGGCTCATCGCATGACAGTGGATGGTAAGGTAATCTCGAGTATATCCCGAGGATTGATGGTCCTAGTTGGAATCGGTACTGGTACGGATATGCATCTCGCAGACAGCGATCATAACCAACTACTACTCGCGCAGGATAGATGACACGCTTTCGGATGTCGAAACCTTGACGAACAAAATGCAAGGACGATCGTATCCTCAGCTCTCGTCCTCCGTGCTGACCACTGCACGGTACTACCCCCAAACAGACTCAACATCCGCGTCTTCGATGCAAATGGTACGATGTGGAAGTCGAGCGTCAAGGATATCGCTGGCGATGTTCTCTGCGTCTCCCAGTTCACGTTGATGGCGAATACCACCAAGGGCAACAAGCCAGACTTTCATCGCGCGATGGTGCGTCAAGTCTTCTTCTATTTGTCTGATGATTCATCAGCGATCACATTTTCTCTGCAGTCCACGAATGCTTCCAGAGAACTGTATGCAACGTTTCTCGAGAAGATGCGGCAGCTGTATGTGTCAGATCGAATACAAGGTCAGCTTCATTGTAGTCGAATGCATTTCGACGTGGTTGACGTGGTTTTCTAGATGGGCAATTCGGCGCTATGATGGATGTCTCGTTGACAAACGAGGTATGGTGTCTCGCTCCTCGAACTTTTCTATGCGGTGATGCAGTATCTGCATAGGGACCTGTTACTCTGACGTTGGATACTCGAAAGTTCGAGTATGCTCCGGTTTCAGGAGATACAAGCAGCAAGAAATCGAGTGGGAATAGTAAAAAAGAGACCAAGAACCAAACGGCTGATGTTGCTACCTCGAGATCTGCCGCCAGTGTCAATCCAGGCCCGAGTGAAGTAGACGTTTCGTAGTGTACGTATCGGTGACCTATTGCATTTCCTCATCAACTCCTTTGGTCTCTGCTACTGTTCCTGACAAGGCAAACTAAACTGCGAAGAAGGATTTCGCAAGTTTGAAAAACCGATACCACAGTGAGATGAGTTATGTGGCATTGAAGGACATGGAATGACAACGATAACCGTGACCTGCCTACAACATTCCACCGACGAGACCTACGATGGCTTTCGTGCGCCACCTGACGTTTCTGTTTCCACCCCTCCAAGGTACCGCCCAATGATGCAGTCCCTGGATTTCCTCCTGTAAATTCTGACGTAGACCATCTGACGAGGTTGCCATAACGAACGACAACTCTGTATCAAGGTTTGCTGAACGTGAATTCAAGTTCGTCGATCCAAAAAGTGTGAGGACTGGCGGTGTATCTACTGAAGGAGAAAGCCAAATTCCTAGAGGGCGATGTCAGGCACCATTACGCTCCAACGTAGAGTACTGACTGACCTTTCGCGTGATATGTCCAACCATCCCTCTCCCACTCTCTAAGGCTAACATTACGACCGTCTGGAACGTTGGAAGGAGAAGATCGGTTCGCGGCTGTTACCGCTCTCATGAAGCGCTGCTCCAATAGGGTATATCCTTCAGGGATGAGCCCAGACAAGCCACCAGAACCGTAAAAACCATTTGCCTAAGAGAACGCATATTAAATCACGATCTACAGCACCTTGGGAAAATCACCTTCGGACTAGCTGCTATGATACTGCATCCACTATTAGATTTCAAAATCAGATCCTGGTATTCCTTGGATAGTCCAAAGTAACCGCTTGTCAAATTCATGACAGGTTGTTGGTCAATGCAATGCTCGCGAGATGCCAAGTGATCAAAGAGCATCGACAGGGTATCCTCCTCCTCTCGGATATTGAATTGCCCTGCTTGGATAATAGGAAAGATGACTACGTCCGACGCATTTGCCTGCTCTTCACTTCCGGGAGAGGTCACAGATGAAAGGAGATGTTTCATTTGAAACTGTGATAATACACGTTCTGCCTTGGACTGAATTTGCCATGGCAAAACAGATGTGTCTTCCCAATGAAGAACCGGTCCATCTGAAGCGGTAGTTTGCCAGCACTCGATATGAAAAACCAGACACAGTCCTGCAAGAAGGAGAAACAATAATCTGCGAAAGCAGGTTGTGCGCTGAAATGCAGGTAGCGATCTTGTCTGTTCGAAAAGTATGCTTTGTTCAGGTTCGCTCTGTTGTCTTATCAGACCAGCTTTTTTGTAATTTCCAAATGACTGACCCGCTAATCATGACGTCGTCGTCAGAACCGTAAATCTTGGCATGCCAGGTGCCCCAACCTTCATTGAATCGAGGGGGGAACTATCTTTGCCATCGTTCCGCTGAGCTCTGGACTCCGAAACAGTGATATGTGTACTCTATTCTCATGGTTCCGAAGGAGGGGAAGAAGGGCGAGAATGGGAGACGACAATCCAGGTCGAGTCGACCGGTTGTAGTCCAAGTTCAGGTAGAGGTGCAGACCAGGATTTCTCCGAAGTGCATCATCTAAAGCATCTATCTGATGACTGTTAAGAAAGGTTTCGTTTGCCGCAAAATGCATGATGTGCCCACCAGTTCTGTCTCCGAGAAACCAATGTATAATGACGACAAAAAAATCCGCCGCCGCGCACGACGGATGATTTTCTGCCATGCATATCGTTGGAAAGTCGTACAAAGATAAGATAGGAGTACTCACTAGTAGATTTTGGTAAAATTCAGAAGGTTGTGAGAGCACATGCACGTCTTTCGACGCTACCTTGAAGCTCGGTTGTTTCTGAGTCAAACGAGAAACGAATTCACGAATAGTAGGATCAAATTTGGGCGTTGTAGAAAAGTTACGAGCACATTTTGAGACTGCGAAGCATTTCAAGAGTGCCCTGTGGGTGTTGCAAGAGTGCCTGCATACATTTCTGTACGTTGCTGCGAGCATGTAAGTATATTCAACTACACCGCGGTCCTCAAAAGGAATCGATTGAGGAGATGTCGAGATGTGCTGTTGACTAAGCGAATCATTAATTACTCTCTAAGCCTTGCTTGCTTTACTACAGACTCCAACGAAGTCTCGGGATGGTGCGTTCCCAGCAACGAGGCTGAACTCCTGGTTGCTCCAATCATCCTCTTGTTTCTTTTTTTACACCGAACATGATGTTTGGGAACGCTACGGGTGAAGTATTCAGGATGGCAAAGTCAAGTATTGCCCAAGCATCCTCCACACTATTAACCTTCCCAGTTCGCTTGCTTGGTCGCATGAGCACAGACGACAGATGGGTACACAGCTCGGAGAACTCCTTCGCCTTCACAAGAAAGTCTGCCAATGGAATATTTATACTACAGTCTCCTCCACCCATATCCACCCCTTTACCAGGTCCATGGAGCTTTCTGACGTCGTGGTATGTTCTTGGGTTATTCACGATGGTGTGTTGTGACTGCGAGAAATGTGTTCTGCGACTGACGTGATACCAGGCGGTTCTCCTCCATCGTATACGGAATATCGTAGTTCCTCCTAGGCATCAATTGTTCTCTCGCATCTCACGGCGCAGTGCGTTCCTGCACTTTGCCATACCTACGGTCTTCCCACTGGATTTGTCGTCTTCAATATGTCGTCTTGTGCTGCGTTCGCCTTCACTATACTTGGTCTTCAAGATGCTCTTTATATGGGTCATTGTTATCGCTCAAGCAGCAGACAAGTTTCCAACATGGAACTTGTGGTTGCAGTCAGTGGGAACTTATGTCGCTCAAAGAGAAACGGCAGACCTCTGCTGGTCCACCTTTTGCGCCGTCTGTGGCGTCTTATGCATGGAAGGGCTAACACATGGTTTGGAAGGGGGAGCGCACCGCCCTTCCCCCTTTAATTTGGTGGGGTTCTAGCGCAATATGCAACATTCGGTCACTTACGTGATGAAAAGCTCGGTTATGCATTTCTTTTGCACACCTACTCTTCCCCAGTCACACACGGGATAAAGCTCGAAGGCTCGACTTCACGGCCAGACAAGCACGTAATATTTACCATCATATTACCTTTGCTTCAGGTTCGCTGCCTCGCCTCGCCTCACAGGTTGATAACCAACAATTTCTAGCTTGCAATTGTCCACTTGATCGGGATCAGGCAAGATTGGTCATCCCATCGCCTGTTTCCGTCGGCGTTTGTTACCTTCCTTGGACTCGCCCATTTCCATTCAGTCCTATGGCTATCAGATTCATCTTATCCTCTGCTCAACTATGTGCCTTGCTTGTTTGAATCTACCCTTCTAGCGATCGTATTTCTAGCCCTTTTCCTCAATGTCTTTACTCAAATTGCCACGGAGGGTACGGTGTCCCGTGTCCTATTCGGCCATGAATCTGCTCTTCTTCCAAAGTGGGATGAAGACTTCTCGGTCGCGTTGCTGCGCATGGGTACAGCAAGCCTCGAGACGTCGAGCGTATTGGGCCTTGGGAACCAAGTAGGAGGTGTCGCCGCGGTCATGCCCCCTCCTTTGAACGAGCTCGGGACTGTGGAGCTGAATCGCTTGGGGGTTACCTCGCTCTCTCCGGCTGTCGAAGGCTCCATCAAACACCGTCGTTTCAAGAAGGGCTTTGTCAATGAAATCAAAACTGTCAGGGTCACGTCAACTGGAGGGGATATTTGGTTAGATATGGTTTGGTGCAGAGAGCTTGCGAGACTTGCAGTGGGTGCGGCGCGATGCGTCAAGGGGCTGATAATGAAGGTTTGGAATGTACTCAGATGGAGGTCGCTAAGGCCCCCCAACTTTCCTCCTCGACGCATTGCGGTCAGGAGCGAGCGGAATCAAGACTTAGATACCGAAGATGACGAGGAAGAATTGTACGAAAGATTCATGAGAGGAGAACCCATGCACGAGGACGAAGATGACGAAGATTTAGAATATCACCCCTCGGAGACCGAGCGCAACGGCTCCACTAGCCCCACTTCGTCGAGGTCTGAGCATGGTGATGACGAAGATTACGTTGAAGAAGATTCACAGCAAGACGCCAACGAAACCGTCAGCTTGTTTTCGGACCTCTCTTCCGCTCCCTCGGCCGTGACTTCTACCTCGGTCTTGTTGGCACACATGACTGATAATTCATCGTTGCCAATGACAAGACAGCGATTCCAGCATCTGATGTCAGCACCTTCTCAACGCAGCAACAGCCTCAGCGATTGGACCGACATTGCTGCAACCCGACGAACATCTTCCAGCGGAACTGGAATGCATGAAGAATCACAAAACGAAGCAAGGAGAAATTGTGTTATATGCACTGTCGAGCCACGGCAAATCATATGTTGGCCATGTCGGTAAGTGACACTGCGTGATTTATCTTGAGAATCGATCTGACACTCGTCTGGCAGATGTCTCGCGTTGTGCGACGACTGCCGCGAAAATCTCGCATCTCGTTCGTCTGCATCCACACACACGTGTCCTTGCTGTCGAAGAATGTGAGTGTCTTTGCTGGCTAATAAGAACCTTCATTTGATATTTCATTTCCTCAAGTGTGGACGGATATTCGAAGATCTACATCCCTTAAACTCCATGGTTTTCTTGTATGGATTTCAACAATGTAACATTACATCAGTAGTCGCTATTCCTGTCGTGGATCGTAAATATCTATTTGTCCTGTTAGTACTGTGCTCTATTCTTGCAGATGGCAGATAACGCACACAGAGAAGGTGCACACAGAGAAGAGCCGGCCTCGTTGACAAGGATGCACTTACAAGGTCGCACGTACGAAGGGAAGAATGCCAATCTGAACTAGCACAGAAGTGTCCAAACAACGAATATCATCTCAGTTCAAACAAATGATACGCCACTAACCCCGTTAGCATACGTTGGAAGGGCAATTGCAAATATGAAGCAGGTGGACAATCACCACTAGTCAACACTGCGGAACCGTTCATAGTAAAGCCATCGAAAAAGATAGCTACGAAGCCCGGGATGCCATCATGCATCATGCATCATCCCTTAAACGGATTGAGTGGAATAGCAAAAATACGCAAAGGCCACATAACCTCAGTTGAGATAATCTATTGGCCGAGTAGTACCACCTGTCAAGACAACTACTCGTAATAGCACATGGTACACCGGCCAGGACGTACAGGATTCAAGGCCAATCAGCCGCTGACGCGGCACATCGTGCCTCGGGCGCCTCCTGTGCTGCGTCATGTCGACTCGAGAAATATCTCCCGCAGCGTCGACACGGCACTGCTCATAACAGCACACGACACGCCGGCCAAGACGCACAGGATTGAAGGGCCAATCAGCCGCTGAGTCGGCATATCGTGACTCGGGCGCCCCCGTGCACAGAAAGTAAAATGCTGCGTCGAATTACTCGAGCGATATCTCCCGCAGCGTCGGCACGGTACACGGATGCTGCGGCGTCACGCAAGGGCCGGCCAGCCCACCAGAAGCGACGCATGAGTCATGACAAACCCTCTCCCACTGATGGACGCCCATCATCGGAACGAAAAATCCCAAGCCTTCAAGACGAGTCACACCAAATCACTTGTCAATGGTTATTAGGTCACGCCCCCAGCCCACGCCAAGCCCCATGTGTCTTTCCGACGGACGAGACCCTACCATTCCGAGATTCGCGGTTGTTTGGTCTGAGGGTATATAGTGTTCCTGAGATGCCGCCGATGTTATATTTGTGACTCGCAGGCGTGTTGAACTCGAGACAACGCGTGTGCCCCGATCGTATGGGGTGAGTAACTCGTTGACTTCATCGTGTCCTTGATTCTTGTGAGAATTGAGATATTGACGCGGACGCCTCGATTGGATCAAGTAAACTTGCGGCATACGTTGAATTCGTTACACGATTGGAAGCTTTCGGCTGATAACATTGACAAGTCGAAATTGGCCGTTGGCTGGAGGATGAGATGATTTCCTTTTTCGTCATTTCGCGCGAGAGTAAGCAAGATTGTGTAAAAGTGCGGTCGGTGAAAAACAAAACTGACTTGAATGTTTTCCTCATCGGTAGCGTGTTGTTCTAGGTTGTTCTCGCACGACATCCGCGTTTCATTCACCACTGGTTTGGAATCCGATAAATTTTGAGTGATGGCCGGTCCTCGCCTCAGGCTCGTAATGTGGGCGTGGTTCGCGACCGAGTGAGAAGGTGGCAGGCAGTAAAGAAGTGGAGAAGCTCGGACTTCGGAGATCGGGCGCTTGTTGTGTGATGCATGTGGATGTGACTCTTGGTAGTATGATTTGCATGCACTTTCTCAATTGAAACGTGGCAAATTCTCGACCGGACTTGTAGTTGCGTGGAGTGGACGTGTCAGGTTCAATTAAACATGTGGTTGGAGCGAGATAAACAATGACGATCATAGTATTGACTGATAGTATGCGACGATAAGCTTTTGAGCACGAGGCTGATGTGGAATAGGTCTAAAAAAAATATTGCGACACCACATAATAAGTTTAAGAAGAGAAACGAACAAAGATCGTCATCGTAAAAAATGACGTTGTGTTTGGAGAAATATAATTATGCAGCAACTTGCGTCACTGGGTTCTTGAAAGGGAAATGCGAATAACGATTGTGCGGCTTATGAGAAGCAGAAGGCTGAGAACGGGAATTCGAATAAGGTATGGGAAGAGGAAATGCGCGTAGCAAGTCAAGTGTAGATGAAGGGTGACGCGACTTCTTCGGAGGTGGTGGGGGCGGAACTACTAGTTCCATACCCTCGTGTTGTGACTTGACAACAGGATTGAATGAAGGGTTCGCCAGAGCCTCGGGAGTGAGCGGCTGAGGCGAGCTCCCAGAAGACGAAGACTCGGGGCTAGACGGGTCCAAATCTGGGCAATGTGCATGGTGTGAAGGGTAATGTGAGTGTGCGTGTGCGTGTGATGGGGTGTGGTCTGCGAGTCTACGAAAGTCGTGGGAAGGAAGAGCGACTGAAGACAGGCCATCGTGGTGGACTCAAAATGTCATCTTCGGTAACAGACAGATCAAAATCGAGAACATCGAGAAATTCTCGCTCGATTCGACCAACATCGCGTTTTCCGAAAACACCGGTACAAAGAGCCCAGTGAACGTTTTTAAGAGTGGAATCATTTGTAAACTGTCACGGAGAAGTCAGTTAGGGGTTAGTGGCATGGGAAGTAAAGCGATGTACCTTGCTGGCAACCATTATAGCGCCAAGAAAGACGCGCTCACACGCCCACTCTTCCAGGGCGATTTGCAAGTGAGGTTTAGCGCGATTGATGTAGACGAGTGATACGAGGAGTGTAGGAATGGTAACTTCTGCTCGAGTGAGGACATTCGAAACGAAGGTAGTGAATTTGGTGTGCTCTGAGTGGCGAGACATGCTGCGACCACGACGAGATGATGATGGACGGCCCCATAGCATAGTCGACAGTATCTACTACACAATCAACGACATATTCTAGGTTACGTGTTAGGATGAATATAAGACGTTGGAAGAAAAGAGAGAACATACCGATAACAGGTCGTGCAAGTTTAATCTCAAGGAGCTCCAAGAGAGCAGGTGAATGTAGAGCAGGATCTACAAGGCTTGCCTTATGAATTGGAGAAGAAGTTGTTGTTGAAGCAACCATGACTGTCTGTAAGATATGCTGATGGCAGGTAATGCCTGAGGCGGAGACAGCTGTGGGGTATTCATGTTGGATAGATTGTGTGGTATATAAAGGGACACCGGATGGGAGGAACAGCAAGAGAGCCGGATCGGTTACTTACTAAAAAGGACAAGTGACATGAACAGCGATTAGAAAGGGCCGGGGGATGGCATATGTAATCGTTTCGGCTTTTCACTGCTAAGTGACGAATCGCCACCGCCGCTAAATGAGTTTTATTACTAAATATTACTAAATTAGGATTTAATATTAGATCGCTGATTCGGCACCCTGCGGCACAGCACCGTAACGCCCGCAGTGTCATTTGCCGATACGACCGCTCTCTGCCGTGCTCTGCGTAATGATTGACTTGCCTTACCACATGACATGAATCATCCCGCCGGTTTATCAACATCACCTCTTGCCGAGTCACAACCAACGTTCGTATCCGAATCAGATTAATCATCAATGCGTCACTTCCAGTCACTTACTCGGAATACCAGATCCTTCGGTTCCCAACCATTTAAGTATACCGGCCAGCTGCTTTACCAGAATACCCACCTACCGTATAACGCGAATATGGAATCTTCTGTCCAAGTAGCTATAATAAGTCGTAATTTCCCGCCACTTCGTCCCCCATACACGATGGATTTAGAATCTGAGCGTCATGTTACCCCCAGAACGAGCTTAGACACGTCGGGTACTGTGCTATCGATGGCCGGTACGGTAGAATCCCGTCATGCTGACACGGGATCCGTGTAGAAGGGGAATGTTCTGAGCCATCGACGATCTCCTGCGCTCAAAGCACCCTTAGCTGCGATTGTTGCGGGTCAATAATGCATCTCCACTTACCGATAAGAGATTGTAGGGTATCTTGCCTTCTAGCGTCCGAGTCGGATATACAAGTCGATTGTCCTTGCAAATCTACAACTTTGGAGCTACCCTACTCCTTCTAGACGTCGATGCATTCGACGATCCCATGTCAATGGGCGTGTGGCGTTATCCGATCCTAAAGCAAGGGGTACTTTAATTCACATACACAGGAACACTTGGACTGGTCACGATCTAAGGAACACACATCACTTGCGGCGATTTCTGTGCTCCGCATCATGCACATGGTTGGTTTGCTCGGTATTCTAGTCAAAATTATTGTTCGTCTCTTGGCAGTTTGACATAGTAGTCATGTGCATCTAGCGAAGGGCCGATTCTAACGTGGAGTCAAGTTTCACCACCTAGCGTGGTCGTCAGCGCTCTGACCAAGGCACAAAGATAGCCGTTGAATAAGATCACGACACAGCATCCCAGGGGGCAAATCATTGATCAGTCACGTCAGTCACCCCCAAGGAGGTCAAAAGGTTCATATATCATGTACAGCCTGGTTCCGCAGGAATACATATGATTCCACATCGACTGTGTCCCTGCACCGAGTCGCCAAGTCACAACACCAAAACGCACAAAGCCCACCGTCATTTAAGCGAAGACAACTCAAAACCAACGCACATGGTCGAGACCCGCGTAGGACCTGCCTTCATCTTCTTTCGCCAAGTCATTACACACCAAATCGCGTCCCTTGGCAGCTGTCATTCGTCAATCATGCTGCGCCCCCTGTCACGGCACTTCCACTAGTACTCGCACTTCCACTAGGTGCGTTACCACCTGCTTTGCCACCACGGTTTTTGCTGCCCTTGGGCCGACCTCGTGGGCGTTTGGTAGTGCTAGGTTGGTAGTCGGGTTGACTGTCGCTCGAAGTGCGTTTTTCACCATTTACCCGGCGATCACGCAGATACCTGTTAAGGGAATAGCGGGGAGTTAATATACGCCGACACAGACCAGAATAGTGCAAGGCGGCGCTCCAGAGTGCGCAGAATTGGCACGCCCGATCCCGCCGTGCGACGAATAAGGATCGCCACGCTCCTCTATCGGAGCGTGGTAGTACCGCAGCATTTCCGGCGATCCGTGCCGGACCGAACGTATCAGGCAGAAACGGCTCTAAAATCACGACCGGGTGGAACATATGAGACTTACTGAGACGTCTTCTCATCGAGCTTGGTTTGGAGTGGGGGGAGCGGGGGCTGACCGAGCTCGGCCCGCAAGCGATCAACGTCCGCTTTTGCGATAGCATATTCGCCTTCTTGGAGGGTTTGGATTTGTTGCCTCAAATCCGTACATCTGTAACGCCCCAGTCAATGAGGACAAACTGCGGGGGGATAAGAGACGTGGGAAGGAGTACGTACTCCCGTGTGATGGATGCTTCGAGGAGATCCACCTATGGGGAAGGGTGTGAAAGATAACATGTGAGCACTATCCTTAAATGGCATGTTGAATACCGTCGAGGGAACTGACCTTGTCACGGTCTACGTTTATCTGTCAAAGCGGCGACTGTATTAGATTAATGATAGAAGACAAGGATCTTAGTGGATACCTCTGCTAGCGCACTAAGTAGTCGTGCACGTTCACTATCCAATCTGCACAGGACGATTAACAATCACCGTCGGTAATATATAGAATTAGACATGAACGAAGCACCACAGTCAGAAACGGCCACGATAGGTTGTATGACAGATTGACCAATTGAAAATTTAATGCATACCGGTTTTTCTGTTCTTTGATATCTTGAATTGCCTTATCCTTTTGTTCCAGGGTATTATGAGCAGCAACTATATTAGCAGTATGCAGTTGCAGCGTCAGGGAATGTTTTCTGCCCACAGCCAAATCAGTATTGTACAAATACGATGGCAGGGCAATAAGGAGCCCGATCCAGTTCAACGACGCGCACAACGCGACTTACTTGAGTTCAGCGGTCTTTGCAAGCTGTACGAGTTCAGTCGTCCAATTGCCGGTCGCCACAAGCGGCTGCGATTTTGGCAGTGCTGGTGGGGGAGCGGTAGTAGTTGCATGTGGTGCTACAGTGCTAGGGCCTGCAGCAGGCGCCGACATTATCATTTGTCCATAATCGTTGGATGATGTAGCGGAGAACTGTTGATACATTGCAAATGTCAGAAATCGAGCCAACTTCACTGAAGGGCCCTGGGGTCTTGGGTGCGTGTGTGAGTGGTTTGGGTGCAGAATTTGCTAGGACTCCGTGCACTGCTAGTAGGTGTTTGTTGTTATTAGGAACCAAGGCTGTTGACACGAATTTGGACACTTACTTCATGTTCCTTCAAGGAAGATTGTGTAGATCTGACTAGCTAATTCCGGGTTTAATGTATATCCCGCGGGTCCCGATAGAAGCTGAAGGTGCTAGGAAGTTGTTGTTTTTCAAATCAGAGCGCTAGATGTCCAAGTAAACCTGACTTCAAATTGTTGGAAGTCGAACACCAGGAAGTACCCTAATGCCCTGTGTCATGGACTCTATGATAATAATTATTATACATTTGGTATACAATGTACATGATAAGTACTTCCTTGGTACTGGTAGTACTACGGGACTAGCAGTAAGTACATACTAGTAAGTAGTTGTTTATACTACAGCTGTACGTCAGCTGTGAGAGGGCTGTGTCAAATTTCAATCACCCGCTTCCTTACCACTACACTTCATAGTAATATCCTGTTTGCTCAGCTTCTGTCCATCAACTCATCGCAATGAGCGTCCTCAGGCCTTTCAAAGCCAGCGATCTGTTCAAGTTCAACAACATGTAGGTCCACCATACTTTTACTTACGCATCATATACTCAATAAAGCTCACAAGTAATTTGGACGTCTGGACGGAAACTGTGAATCGCTCGTAACTTCCTCCATTTCGTCTCACAATTTGTCCCAAACAGTATGGCATCACCTTCTACCTAACCTACCTTCACCGCTGGTCAGACCTCTGTTTCACCCAAGAAGCTCCAAGCGGCCGATTGCAAGGCTATAGTGCGTGAATCACTCTTATATTTGCAGCCGATACGAATCAAACGTTTTTGAAAGTTCTTGGGAAGGCTGAAGGTGCACAAGCAGATTGGCATGGGCACATCACAGCAGTCTCCGTCGCTCCCGAGTACCGACGTCTATCTCTAGCAAAAAACATGTGCCAACGTCTCGAAATCACTTCAGACGAGACATACAAAGGATTCTACGTGGATCTTTATGTTCGCTGTAACAATACACTGGCCATCAAAATGTACGAGGGTATGGGATACAGCGTATACCGACGAGTCAGAGAATACTACGGTAATCTGGGGTTAGGGAAGGATGGAAGAGACGAGGAAGACGCGTTTGGTACGTATGTGTGCACTGATGCTTTGGATGATATTGATGTCTGATAGATATGCGAAAATCTCTGTCCCGAGACGTGGCACGACGATCTATACGGCCTAATGGTCGAGATATGATAGTCAGCGCTCATGATGTTTCGTAAACAGGTAGATACATTTCGCGGATTCTCGCTCACAAACCACTACTTCCATTGCAATGCATCGAAATATATCATATACTAAGTGGTGGAGGGTCGTCTGGCCCAAGAGCAGCCAGCTCCTCATCATAAAACTTCGTCAATACGGCTTCATCTGAGCAGAACTTCTCTAATTTTATCCGAATCTCTTCAGCCGCAGCTTCGGGTCTCTGTTCCTTACTCTTCATTGCACTACCCATGCGACCTGGACCCAACAATCGGTTAGTCAGGAACAGGAGTCCCTGCGAACCACCTATAACTTGCACAAAGGCGACACCTGACCGATGTATGAATTGCGAATGTTTGAATGGTGCTCGGCGATAAGAGTAGGAGACGTCTACATCCTTCGGATATAGGTTTGTGGCTTCCACATCGAGGACTGAAGTCAAAGCGTTTCAGAAGCGCATACTCGAAGTAATGCTGTTGTGTGCGTTCCTTCAGGTACCCGTTTGTCGAGACCTGGAACGATGGGTGGTGGTATTACCAAACGCAAAGGGAAGCAAGACTGGAACGCGTTGCGTTCTCGGATGTCGCCGATTTCCGTGACGTAGGCCTCGACCAATTTGAGGCCATACCTCTCAATCGCCCGACTCCATTGCCGAAGCGAGTCTTCAATGCAACGAGCAGTGGATCCGATCCATTGCAACTCGAAGTGAAAGATTGTCCCAGGGTTTTGAATGATGTCGTGGTGAAGAACTACCGATTCAGCCTGGTCACTCCGCTGCGTATAAATGACATATGTCCAGTGAATTCGCAGAGCACAAGTTTGCGTACCTTCGTGGGGTCGATGTCGATGATCATGGTTTGGCTGAGGATCAGACACTTCCTGTTCCGCCTGGGACCGGTCCCAATGGGTCTACTAAGACTGGATGGGTAATATCCCCCTGGTCTAGTGACGCCAACCTCATCCGCAATGTAACGAGATTGCTTGATCCATCCTCCTCTCGGAGTAGCTGACGGTCGCGTATTCACCGTTTAGCTGATAGAAGTAGTGCCTATTGTGGAATGACAAACGAGTTCAATATTATATTGTAGTTATGCGTGAAACATCCAAAGAACTGACCCGTCAAGCAAGCCATGGCGGCCTCGGCAGTGAGAAAATAACCCTTGTTCAAGGAGCCTCGCTCCCCATTCAGCACCTTGCTCTCTCGACGATACATCCCGGAACTCGCGCACAAGCCACGAAACAAAGTCAAACCCAGTGAAAGAATCAGGATATTTCGCCCCATGCCACTGATGAAACTTGATCGGCACGCCATCCTCTTCACGCATGAGTTTCGCAACCATCGAAAGAGAGGTGTCTGCGATTTCCCTGGTGCTCTGCATTTTCTTCTTCAGCGGTCCTGCGGCGTGTATCTCGTCGAGTTGTGCCATCAGCGACTCGTCCATGACCGAGTGTACGGGGCCGAGCGTCGTAGGAAGGACGCGCACGGGTGCAACGGGTGAACCACGTTCATCCGGAGGTTGCCACCGCAATTTTGTGAATATTTCGGCAAGCTTGTCGATCCCCATAAGCCTGATTTCTTCTTCATTAAGCTTCTCTCCAGAAGGGCCCACGTTACCCTCGGGGACAACGGTCGGAATGACCACGAATCGAGTCCGCCAGTATCTCAAGGATTCATTAAACTGGTGTTCATAGCCAGCAACCAGCATGTCCAATCTGGAAGAGATCAGGGTTATGACATCGTCCAGAAGCCACAAACACCGACCTATTCCAGCCGAAATTTTCCAGCCCATGTGAGACGAACTTCGTCTTCAACTCCGTATACCCCACCCCAAGCTTGGGCCAGATGAGACACTCATACTCAAAGGGTTGTGTCGGCGGCATCCTTCTCACATATCGCCTCACCTGGATCGCCTCGCCGGTATAAGATATCCGATGTATCTCGTTGCTCATGCTCAAGTAAACAGGCACGTTGGTAGACCTGAGAACTTCTGCTGCCCCAGCTGGCTTTGGGGAGGCATCATCCTCGCCCATGAAAGATTTCGTCCGCCGCATGGCAGTATGGTCTTCAGCATCACCCGTTTTAGGTGGTCGTAGAACAAACTGGAACCCTTGTGCAAGTCGAACGGCGACCATCCCACGCATCACAGTGAGTGCCCACGCACGTCGCACTTCTTCAGTGTTCCCCTGAACAGAAGGCGGCTTCACGAGGAAGGAGCGCATCTCGGATGGATCGACGACAAAGTCATACGAGAAGACATCATATGACAATTCCAGCTCCGAGTTGCTGGGGAAGTGGTCCATCGTGAGCGGAAGGCACCCTGGCGTGACCATAGACTTCCACTTCACCTCATGCTTGTACGTGGGTGTAGGAAATACATGCTGCCAGCGTCTGGCAAGTGACGACTGCGCGTACGAGACTGCAGACTGTGGTCGTGATGGATTGGTGCGAGGAGCCACTGGGGATGACGACGAGAAGAGCAGGTTTAGCGAGTTCAATGTTGTACTGCGCCTCTTCCCAAAGGTGCCTTCATCACGAGGAGGGGTGTTCAATGGTGAGTGACGATTCAAGGAGCCTCGAGGTGGAATCATGCTTTCTTCCTCATACGTTCTGCTCAGAGCCAATCGACCAGATGCACCGTGCAATATGGCCATTGGCTGAGGTGAGCGGGAAAGCGAAGCAGAAGGTGTAGCAGGGAGATTCGACGCGATCGGGACGCGCATGCTTGGAGTGGGGGGAGGGGTAGGACCTATGACTGATGAAGCAGAAACAGGAGGTGTCTGAGATTCATTCGAGTTTCTCTGGAAAGGATTGTAGAACCAAGAAGTAGCAATTTTGGCCAAACGGGAAGAGTTCGTGTTGCGCGATTGCTGGTCATTTCCGTGGCTGGTTGTTGTAATAGATGCGTTTGTTCTTACTGAACGTATGGAGGACTGCGAAGGAGATGTGCTAACATTGTTGAATCCGGTCACGGAGGGTAGCGACCCGTCTTCATTGCCTTCAGGAGGTAGATCCATCATGATTCTTCTGGGGCTCTCTTCGATCGGTGCGATACGCGTGGACGCGATCGAACTGCGTTGTGATGCTAGGCCCCGTCTCTCATTCATGATCGATGAACGATAGGATGAGGCAATAATAGTCCCAGCAGAAGAGCCGTATGAAGTGCGGGTACTGGCGAGGGGCCGGGACTCTTTCTTCAAGACGAATATATCCATGTCAGCGTGGTCAGCATCTGCTTGGGTAGGAGCACGATCTTCCGCAAAGCTGTCTCGTGGCGGCGTGGAGTACGGATCACGTATCTCTGGGAGGTATGGAACCTCTATGCCAGAAAGGACATCGTGCTCAAGCAGCCCGAGCATCTGTATCTCGTGCATTTTTGCTCTGGCAACGAACCTGAGATTGTCGTCAGTTAAGGTGAGGAAATGAGCTCGAACAACAGACCTGTCCTCGCGAAAAGGTAGATCCATTTGCCTATCCCAGAAGGAAACACCGATCCAGAATGGTTCCCACCAGAACGTAGTCTTCTCCAACCTCCTGGTTTCGTCTGGGTCTTCGTCACCTCCCCAGAGCGGATCTAGGGCTCGACCGCCATTCTTCCCGTCCTTGTCCAAGCGTGGCTCGTATCCCTGGAACGCGAATATAGGAGTCTGATGTAGAGGACGTTTTGCTAATGATACGAGATCCAAACCGAAGCCCTGGTCTAGCATGCGAGTTGTAGTTAATCGGAGTAATTGTTTGGATACTTTGTAATACCCTGTACCAGGGGTGATGAGGATGGTTGACGCGCCAGTGTTTGACAGCGACCGATCGATGTAGTGCGTTTCGTTTGGGTTGAGACCCAGGTTAAGAGCCTCCAAAATAGGTCCGTCATGTGCATCCGATAGCTGGCCAACAAGTCTGGCTTGCTCCGGTGCTGTAGATTCGACAGTGGCTTGGTGGTAGTGGTGGGTGAGTAAAATGTCCCTTTGGAAGGCCCAGAAGGACACTTTGAGTGCCACAAGTGTGGGTTTCCAGTCATGGATGACCTCCAGATCAGTAATAACCTTGTAGAAATCCTTGTACCATCGACCGTCTTCATCCCGTCTTAGAGGCCCTGCGGCATACTCTAATTCGGAGGCATCGTAGTACACCCTCGAGATAAGCACAATAGTCACTGTGTGATTCGTGCCAGCCTCGCGCCACTTGGCAAATAGGGCAGGGAGAAAGGAGTGTACGATTTTCTCATTGAAACGTTCGCCATCTCCCGCGAATTCCCAGAGTTCACGGCAGACTTGAATAAAGATTGTGACCTTTGCGGAGAGAGACCTGTACATTGCTTTGGTAGTGGCAGTAACGTATCCTGCAGATACCTGCGAATGTGCCTTTGAGCTTATGAAGAAAGCGGGAAGACATATACCTACCTTTCGACCCTTGACATAGATAGATTGTATCTTGGCGGCAATCACACTTATGAAGGAAATGTCTTGGTCGACAAACACACACTGTCCTACAAGGTGTTCGGCTAGTCTCCACATCTCATTTCGACCAAGATATTGGTCTTGAAATGTGAATTCGATATAATCTGCGCAATACTGCTGCTTGTCCACCTGAGTCGATTGTGAGCATGGCTTTGATCGAATTTGCCAAAAATGCAATTACCTTCGTGACGGTCACTTCGCCATTGTTCTTTATCCCAAACGCGTCTGCGACATTCTTTGGAAGTGAAATCTATTGCGAGAGGGCTCGTCTGAGCACGACTTCACGGTGACCGAGGCATAACAGGTACCTGTAACGCGGACTTCGAGCAGCCTTCGTCCTTTGGAACCATGAACAGATACCCAGCAGCAGCATCCCCTGCATTGCAACCCGAGACTTGCAGCATATCTCCCTCTGCTACACCGGGCAACCATGTTTGATTCAATATGGCGGTGGACGACTCCTTCGGGTCGTGTACCCATGAATTGAGAACTTTGACATCTCCGAGCTTAAGCTTCAGAGGTGGCGGTGGTGCTCCAGGGGGATTGCGAAGAATTGATTGTGCAGTATTGGACCTCCTCCGACCAAATTGTTGTACATGACTGTCTGATCGCACTGTGCTCATGACATTCGGTTATTTCTCCGCGGTGCAGAATAACAAAACTCCAGGAAGTGCGGCCAGAAGCGTTACTATTGGTTCCGAATCGAACTTTCTGATTGGCTCCTAATGTCAAGTAAGTCAAGTGACACTTGGACCGCGCCTAGCTCAGGTCGTTACCGAGAGACATGGTATATAATAATAAACCATTTTTCTAAGGTCGACTTTTCCCCTCATCTCTACAACTGCAACTGGGCTGCAGCTGTATTCTGCCTAGACGGCTTCTTTCCGGTCGAAAAAAATCTCGTTTCTGAGAGACATCACATTCTTTGACAACACACTCTTTTATTTCCGTCAAGGGGCATACCGGCCACATGTCTATACCCTCCCCCGAGTTCCACGTCGATGATGCTGAAGAAGTGCGAGAAATTCTTGCTTCCGAGCTCTCGTCCGAGCATACCCCATCCTTTGATTTATCATTAACCTTCCCTACAATCTCGAACCCTAATTCATCAAACCCCTCTCGTTCATCCACATATTCGTTGGGGCACATACCAACTATCAAATTCGCACCGCTTCCATCACCAGACCCAAACCGGAAGCGCTCAATTTTACCGCTTGGGGTGGCGGCCCGTTCGCGGAGAAGACGTCCCGCACGTGCAGTTAGCGAACGAGGACCGTCTGTGTGGGCCAATGATCCTGCTGCAGACCCACTGCTTGAGGATCCGCTGATCACTTTGGGGAAGCTCGTGAAAAGCGCAACGACGAGCCTATGGCGGCGCGTCAGAGAAAAGAACGGGCTTGTTAATCAGGTGGAGCCTATGCAACACCTTACGGATGTCATTCTCGACATCAGACCAATGGAGGATCAGGAGCATCTGATGGAAATGACGCCAGAGCACGGGAAAGCAGTGGTAGCCCCAGAGAAGCAGGTTGTTGCGCCTGTCGAGCAACTCAACACCAAGTGGCAGTGGAGAAGGAGTACAGGCACTATGCCTTCTGTTCCAGGCTTACATTAATTCTTTGATTGGTGGACTCGTGATTTTCATTAATGATTTATCTTCCAGATAATGAATTCGTACCAGGAGTTCCAGTACTTTTATCTGTGCAACCTTAGGTTCTTGTTGTTGTGCTTGATGCTAGTTTTTACCAGTAATACTTTTGACGATGTTGTTGAACGTTGAACGTTGAACTTGCATCCACGCACCGGATGCGTGTTGCCTTGGTTTTACCCGTCGTGTCTAGCCTAGGCCTTAGTAGCTTGAGGCGCTACGCTTTTTAGATATCGCTATGATCTTACGACCGACCCGATGCCGAGGCCCGAGAATGAACTTAAGGCAGGGAAGCAGTGCCTTCAACTAGTGCTTGCTTTTTTACAACCTTCTACCTTTGTTTTTGTTTCCTGATTTGTTTGCTCCTACTTTCTCCATTTCTCCCTTTTTTCACTTGTCTTGTCCTTTTCTGCCTTTTCTTTCTTTTACTCGACTTTCTTGTTCTTCTCCCTTCTTTGCGGGACCTTGCCAGGCGTAAGCTTACTTTGAATTCTTTTGTCCTACCTTACCAGGGACCATGTCTTGCACTCCGTCTGCCACTGCAACGGAGTACACCACTATTACCACTTATACGACCTCTACGTCTCTCTCCCAGAGTGTAGCGAACAACCAAGCCACAGTCACGACTATTGTGCAGCAAACTTGTATCGCCACTGCTACCTTGAGTGGATCAGGATGTATCTCAAGTTCAGCGGTCACGCAGGTGAACACCATTGGAGGTGTGTAATTCATTTTTGGTCGCTGCTATCATACTGCCGTTGTCGGGCTGCGGTGTTGTGTGACCGTTTGACGGCACCGATGCTTCCTGCCAGTCGCGGTTATTTTGGTCATCTCTTGCTTCTGACATGGGCGCTGATGCTTTCTTTCCTTTAAGGCGGCGTTAGCACCGCCCAGGTACCCGTGGTCGTTACCGTTCCAGTCACCCAGACTCAGCCGACGAAGACTCTTTATGCCACTTGCTCTGATGGTTCGACACCGTCGCAGACATCACTGTCTACAACTAGTGAAACGACTTCGAGTCCAACTCCCAGCGCAGTGACAACCTCTGTGCTCGTAGAGAGCACACCTCCGCCGACCGTCATCACCCAAGCCTCTTCTACGACTCTTTCAGACGGCGAAGTGGTTCCAACTGTGATCACTACAACATCCACACTACCACCATCTTCTGTTTACTCCGCCTCTGTTATCTCAAGCCTAACTATCACCAGTACTGGCACTAGTACTCCGAGTTCAGGCACAAACGTAGCCCCCATAATTGGTGGTGTCATCGGCGGTTTCGTCGGATTGATCGCGATCGTGAGCGCTCTGTGGTACCTCTGGTAAATCTCACTACAACTGTATTTGTTTCCTGAGTTTACGTTCTCCCCCTTTCCTTCAGCCGCAAACGTAGGTCGTGGGATGACATATTTGAAAGAGAAGCTCTTCAGGATGAGGAATTCGAGTCCCCCATTGCCGTGCGCCGAGAGCGTGACAGGAACAAGCTCGATCTCGGCGCTGAACCCTAAACCATATCAATACGGTCTCGTTGGGCATGTAAAGGCACCCCCTGGGTCCGGTTCTCTGCCGAGCTCTGAGGAAATTCATCACCCTTCATTTACCGCATCCATGGCAAGTGAACACAGCCGCAATACGTCAATAACCCCTTTGCTTGGCGTTGGTTCAGCGCCGGAGAAAGCCTCGAGGTCTTCCAAGGCAGGGTCCATGCAGGCAGTACAAACACCTGCACAAAGAGAGAGCGCGGCATCATCCTCAATGGGTCCTCGATCGCTGTCTATGGTTTCGACCAGTAGCTCGGCACCTTTGATAGATGGATCTGTCCCTCTTGCGTCGAGTAGCCGCGTTGACGAGCTTGGTTCATTTGATCCGCTCAACCGCCCAGGAAGTCCTGCCTCTGTGGTTGACAGACGGGTCTTGCAAATCATCAATGACGATCCCTCAGTCGCCCTAATCCCAGTGTTACTTCCCCCAGTGTCGCTTCCTCCCAATGTCACTCCTCCTAGTGTTGCTTCTCCCAATGTTGCTCCTACTTCTCATGCAACTGCCCGGTTGCCCGGGAAAAGGGCCCCTAGACGACGGCGGTCAAGTGTTGTTGTCCATACGGATGCCGGACAGGTTTCTGCCAACTTGGGTACCGGTGGTACATCAAATGAACCTCCACCCTACTCAAGAGAGTAGTTCATTCCCCTTGCGCCAAACAGTTCATTCAGCGCTGACATATTGACTTTACTAACCTTACACAATGGACTTATGATGAGCCGTACTATAACCACTCACGCCTTCACGTCCTTCATGCCCATACAAAGTTGTTTCGACGTAGCATATGGACATTACATCCTCTAATCGTCTCGAGAGATATCCTCGCTCTGGTTTCTCATTCTGCCTTCGTAGTGGATAGATACGGATTGTATGCGAGCACTGTCTATTATTTTGGTATATATCCACTGATTCTGGATACAAAATACGTACCGTAGCCTTGTGAGCTGTCAGTCAGTTACATACTACTGTCAATAATGCTTCGAGAAGTGCGGCGATTTCGATTGAAAAGTCCGCGACGCCGAGACCATGTTATTCTGTGTTGTACTATGTCCTCTGGGCAACGCAAAGTTAACGACGACGAGCGTGGAGAAACAATAAAGCCGAACGAGCCAGGGAGGCGTTGTGCTATTTTAAACACAGCGACGTTTAATTTTTGTTTCCGGATTCCGGTTACGTAATCGCCCACGAAGCATTGTCTATCTCTTTTTGTCCAACAAATGCGAGCCGTGGGCTTTCGAAAGAACAATAAGCATGGGAGGTCAATGGATCATCCACTAGAGTCGAAGCTACATAAACCGTTGTTCTCACCTGGCTCAAATGTATTCCATCCCCTCTTTATTCTTTCTACTCCATCCAACCGGTGCTGGACCACCTGATCATTCATTCCCTAAAGACATTCTTGCGATCGCCGTCGTTTAAGCCATACAATCTACAATCTTAACTACCCCCTAGACCTCATCACATTTTCTGTCATAATGGTTGCCACTCGAGCATGTGGGTACACCTTGTTTTTATCTTGTACGGTCCAACTAACTTTGCTTCAGATATTTTCTTTGGACTCAATGCCGTCCGCATTCTGAGCATTGTGTCTCTCATCCTGGTCTTTGCTAGCAGCATCTTTGTCATGGTCACAGACATTGAAGCTGTTAACTCGTTTGAATCTGCCAAGCAAAGCGGCAATGTCACAGCGCAAGACCTTGTCGACTGCGAATATATCGAGTTAGTTCAAAATGTTCCACGTATAATCGTTTGCTGACGTCGAAAACAGGAACAGTACCGTGCCCAACCAGATCGGGGGCGTTTTTCTGGGCTATCATCAACCGCCTGCTCATCATTTTCCAAGTTGTCATCCTTATCCTTTCTGAAATTGGCTGGCCATCCAGTTTCTTCGACCGTTTTTTCCCTGTGCTTGGTTCTGGCTTTGGGCTCGGTGCCCTCGGTATTTTCCAAGGACTGTGAGTGTTCTTCTTGTGGCTATGTCCTGCACAGCGCTGAATGTTTTTAGTATCGGAGCTGCAGTCCTCTCTCAGCATGTGGATGATTTTACCCTCGTCTCCGCTTTCTTCCTTTTCGTCCTCGGTTGCATCAACATGTTCATCGGTCTTATCTTCCGGGAATCTGCCAAGAGCAGACGTTCAATCACCTCGTGGCGCGAGGATGCCAAGAATGTCTTGCCAACAACCAACCAGCCTCCTGTTTCCCACCTCAACCTCAACCGCTCAGCCTCGTCTAGCTCTGGGCAATCATTCACCTCTTCCACAATGAATGAGGAGAAGTCCAGCGATCTTGGTGAGTTCGGTGCTGGCCGGAGTAGCAGCAGAGCTGGTTATGGCTTTGGGCGTCAAGGAGAGAAGGCTGCAGGCCTGAAGGGTCAGTTCCTCTTGTTCGTCTTCGGTAAAATATACTTATCATATTTATTAGGCTTTCTGATCTCCAAGCCTCTCGAAACGCTGCCCCGTTACGCAGCTCGTCCCACAACTGCTCCCTCACAGTCCTCGCGTTCACCTTCCCCTCAACCTCAGTTCTCTTCCAGCGGTACAGCGATTTGAATTGTTGGAAGCGACGACGATTCCTATGACAGGACTCACGAAGCCACTGGCACGGCACTGACATGATCGGACTGTATAGTCTGCTGAGATGTGCACACTACGGATAACCCCAGCGCTGGGACGCTTCTCTCACGTCGATGTATTGACTTGACACTGTATACTTTTGCGGTACATTATTTCGCTCTGTATTTTGGCAGCTTGTAGCTTTAGTAACATTCCATATTTTAATTGGTGCTCTTTTATCCCAAGCCAATTTTTGATTGCCTTGGGGTTGCTATTATCCTTGTATTGTCCAGCTATCGTCCAGCACTGCCACGACAAGATGATTATGTGAGTCAAATTGGAGTACACACAGCGGCCAGCTGGAAACAAGTCGTGGCCAACGACGAGAAACACTGAAGAAACACACGAAACAAAACAGAACCACGTTCTGGATTGCGAGACGACGACGACGACGATAAGGTACAAGCTAAGGGAAAGAGGTGTCTACGATGCAATGAACCATATGTCATGTGTACGTAAGCCACCAGGCTTACACCAGCCCGAGCACGCATGCAGTCAAAGCAGTCAATGATGAACCTCTTTGAGGTTAATGTACAGGTGTGCATGACCTCACATTCAAGGCATTTCACATTCAAATAATGCTATTTCGCAGAACTACTACCAGCGACTCTTCGATCACCATTTGATACCCGACCCACAAGTAATTCAAGATTCCAGTTTACTATCTCCTCATTGTCCGGTCTGCTCGCACCGACTCTATGCGTGCATTGATTGTCGTTTCGTCGCCTGCAACAGTCCGACGTGTGCAAGTGCCGACCTTGTTCCCGGCTTGGTGTGCTGCCAGGGGCACCCTTATGAGAACTTCTGCCGTGCATGCTTCCCAAATGCCAAGGACTCAGGTCTATTTATCCAGTGTGCATTTTGCGAGTACTGGCATTGCGAAAAGTTCATGAGGAAGTGCGTGGGGCGACCCGTTACTCCGCATCAACTTGCCCGAGAACATGCTCCCAATTACTTCTCGTGTTATACTTGCTTTCGCAGTGCTTCCATGGGGAAAACGTGCAGTGAGAGCGACTGCTGGTCTCGCGGACATGATGATAACGAAGGCGCAATTTGTTCTGATTGCATCGGATCTATGGACGGTCACACAGCTTGCGCCTGCGAAGAGACCTGGATTTGTGGCGCGTGCGCTCAGAAGACAGTTCTGAAGACCGGTCGACGCTGTCCAAGATGTCGAACTCTTTATTGTTTTGCATCATGCGAATACATCGATGCATGTGTGGCGTGTCCACAAGTGCGTCTATGCAACGATTGCATGGAACTCGAAGAAGACATCCCTGGCACATATGAGTCTTCATTGGCGAACACGGACACATTCCTCACGAGGGAATGCGAAGACTGCGACTTCACAATCAGAATCTGCGCGGACTGCAATGGGGATCGTGATTACTGTTGCCGGTCTTGTCTCCGTGTTTATTGCCAGGATTGCATGGGCAATGGCAAGTGTTCGCGTTGTAGCGTGCCTGTATGTCTGGATTGTGAAATGGAGGATGGAATTTGTTGCGAGTGTAGGGTATGTTGGTTTTCGAACAGCAGACTTTGGTTTTCACTGACATATCTCAGGACTGATACCGCACGGAGAGCTATAGGACTTCAGATGGGATTACGCACTAGTCCTCAGAGTGGTGGTGGAGTTTGTCTTCATCGGATCAGTGAATCCGTTGATGGTGCACGTCGCGTTCACCTACGCCTCAGCCCCAGTTTGCTGACGATTTGATCGAAGCGAAGACGATTCCTATGACTGAGCCACCTGCATATGTATGGTCTATTTACACACCACGGATAACCTCAGCGCTTAGCGCTAGGATACTTTAGTCTCATGTTGATTGGTATTGACATTCACTGCGGAAACGAGTTTTTTACACCAACCGTAATCCGAGGGAGACAATGTGTATAACACGACTGTAAACGTACCTAGCTCGTAATCAGACGTAAATCCGACATGTCGCAAATTTTGCTCGCTCGGTCTGAAGCAACAGATGTAAACAGACGCTTTTCCAACTTCACCAACACACTTTTTCGGACCTCCGTTTATTCTCTTCAGATACCTGCTATTCCACCACTATCCAGCCCAGTAAATTCAACTTCTCGATGTCTGCTTAGGGTAGACTTGAAGCAAGGTGAGTTTTTCGAAAATTTCGCCAAGTCCGTAACTCGAGCGCTATGTCAAATACTATCAGGCTCGAGTTGCCAGCTCATGTACAAGCTTTTACTTTTACCTTCGAAACGATACGTCCGGGACCCACGGTGAGTACTAAGTGTATTTCTACGAGGCTACTACCATTAATCATTCTTTTGTAGAACGAGCTCCTTATCGGTGTGCTGTGCGTGTTCGGTCAGTCGTTTGACCTCTGTGACAAGATATGCAACGGTCTCATTCAAATTTGGCGACTGCTCAAGTGCCCCATTTCGCCTATTCACGTTCTGGTTCACGTGCGGAAGGTGAGTGGCAGGCTGTCGACCCATTGAATATAGCATCATAGCTTGATACTCCTCGCTTCCAGGAACAACAGATGGTGCCCGCGAAGATGCCTCACTACCCGAGTCTCCTGCGAAATAACGGTATGGTGTTTCGCCTCGAGAGGATGTACTATTTGAGCTGAAATTCTGTGGCACGCTACCAGCTCGCATGGACTGGACGGGTGTCTGGTGTGCACCGAAAAAAGGATACGGGGATGGCTGACGCATATCGGGTGAGTGCTGCGGACTGGTGGAACGAAGCCTGTTGTTTAAATGATCTTGGTACATAGGTCCCCCAGCGAATGCGCCGCTGGTGTTGTGGTCACCGTGCTGTCCATTGCCTGACTGAATCGCATCCAGTAAGTCGCTTGACTTTTAGTGGGCGATCTACAAGCTCTTACCATCTCAAATCGAGGTACATTACCACTGAAGTATGGATCGTGTTGAGGCGGCTGATACGACACTTTCCCGGCGACCTGGGGTATATTATATTGAGGATATGCTTCTCCTGCCCCTACCAGTGCTGGCTGCTGAGAATCAGGAGCGGGAGCACCACTCGGGCGTCTCTGAGTCTGTTGGCCTTGGAACCCATACATTCTGGCGTGCAAGGTGGTGGGGGATATCAAGGACCGGGGAGCATATGTGGGGACCTAGCAGGACGAGTTCTTTGATACGGCACATGTCTATTCAGAATAGAAGCGGATCCGTTTATGCATAAATCCAGACATAAAGTAGACGTGCGGATCCTTATAACCTGGTCTGATACCGGGTTGGTTTAGATACTAAGGCAACAAACCCTATCCCTGCAAATCCCTAATATTCAGAGTCGGTTTTAGTTCTCAAACGAGTACCTTTTTCGATCTAGACGGGTAGGAATATGCTTGTTTGGCATTGTCCGTTTACATTCCGTTTACAGCCTCTAAACATACATAATTCCGATCCGTTCTAAATCTCGTTTCCGCAGTGATTGTTGTATTGTTTTGTGTACCCATGTATTTTGGTCCGATATCCGCCAGCACTGCCACGATCATAGAGCTTGGTGAGCCGTGTGTAAGCCCGTTGGCTTACCTGAGTTCCCATAATCAACATAAATACTGTCCGCGATAATGAAGCGTGAGCTTTCATTATCACTGCCTTTTGGCGTAACGGTTAAGGGACGACAGTCTTGACTACTTACACCGTACTAGAGGCTAACTGACTTGCAATTGACCATCAATTATTTCAATGATGGTCGTGGATCACTTTGAGGTTGGTGTCCAGGTGCGCACGACCTCGGATTCAAGGCACTTCGCATTCAAATGACGCTATTTCGTAGAACTACTACCAACGACTCGCCGATCACGGTTTGATACCCCAGTCACGAGCAAGTGAAGAATCCAGTTCACCATCCTCGGATCTTCCTTCTTGTCCGATCTGCTCACACCGTCTTATCGCGTGCCGTGGTTGTTCTATTGTCACCTGCGACACTGATGGACAGTGTGCAGGTGCCGACCTCGTCACCTTTGTGTCCTGCCACATGCACGTTAACGAGAAATTCTGTCCTGCATGTCTCACAGATGAGCACTCGGGTGCGCTTATCCAGTGTGTGTACTGCCGGAACTGGAATTGCCCAATGGAAATGAGGAAGTGCGTGGGGCGACCCGACCCCTTGTGTAAACCCGGCCGGATACATGCTCCTAAAACCATCTCATGTTGGCTTTGCTTTCCAACCACTGTAATGCGGAACTGTAGTAGGTCCGACTGTTGGTCTTACACAGATTCCTGTAACGCAATTTGTTCTGACTGCGTTGGATCTATGGACGGTCACATAGCTTGCCCCTGCGGATGGGCCTGGATTTGTGGTGCGTGTGCTCAGGACAGCGGTGGACACTGTCCAGGATGTCAGACATTTTATTGTCTCGATGCGTGCGGATACATCCACGCATGCCTGCAGTGTCACAAGCTGACACTATGCAACGATTGCATGGAAGAAGATTTGTCTGACGAGGAGAGTTCTTCAAAGGAAAACAAGGGCGTAATCATCGTGACGACATGCGATGAGTGCGGGCGCGGTGTTTGCGCAGACTGCTTTGAAGAATGCGAATTCTGTTGCCGGTCTTGTAACAGTGTTCGTTGCTCGGATTGCATGGACAAGTGTTCTGGTTGTGAGGCCCTTATGTGTTCGACTTGCATAGAATGTGGCACGGGATGTCAGGAGTGTAAGGTATGTCGGTTTTCGAACAACAGACTTTAGATGCCATTTGACATATCTCAGGGCAAATGCTCCATGGAGAGCTAAAACATCTTGAATTAGATTATACACAGTGGTTTGTCTTCGTTGGATCAGTGATGACATTAATAGTACACAATGAAGGCGACCGATACCCAAATACAATATCGAGGCGACTTCTCTAAGTCAGATACTATCACTCCTGGGGTTCTGCAATATTTTCAATAAATCTTTTGTAATTCCTCAACCACATCATATTTTCTTCTACGGATTTGCACAGATGTAGATTCGTAGCTGCTCTATATGAAACTGATTTTTGCTGATTTTAAGGATTTTGTGGTGGAGTGTCGGATGAAGGCCGAGAAAATTCAGGGTCTGACTGGTATTCTGCAAAACATGGTCACGTCGTGTCACACATCGGCACAGTAGCGGCAACGTCAAACTTCACTCTCCGAAGACTCTGAGCTCTGTCGAATCTCGAAACTTTGAAAATGAATACTATTGGGGATCATGGTTCATATACTAATTATCGTGATTATAATGGTACTGATGGAGTCCGGACTCGTACAGCTGACGGCCTGCATCACCAGAGCCCCCGATGTCATACATCTGCACTCCACCACCAACTCGAAAATCCTGAGACATACTAGCGAGAGGTCTACCAACCGGTGTAAAGGGAGGGTGAAGAACAGGTGGAGACCGAGGTACAGAATGGTGCATTGGATAATATGGAGGTGCATAGCCAGGTGGGGGCAGATCCATGCCTGACATTGAGGAGTGAGTGACAGGCGGCTGTGGTGGATACCTGGATGGTTGGTGAATTGAATTTGGGGGAATTATATCTTGCGGGAATTCAGGAGCAACATTATTGTCATTTTCGAGACGGTGCCTGCGAGAACGGGGGGATTAAATAAACCCTCATAGCGTTGATTTTTCTTGAGTTCCGGGTGGTCGTTGAAGTGCTGTAAAATTCGCTGTAAGGATGCGAGAATGAGATGCGACGTGATGCGACTGGATGCCGTGTGTCAAGCCGAGTGTGCCGTAGAGGAGATTGAATTTCTTACACACTCTCCTATCTGCTGTCACACTTTCATACATGTCGTCAATCCTCTTTCTATAGCATCTTAAAACAAGAGAATGACCTCTATCGAAATTGTGTTCTGACACCCTGACAAGGTGTTTGATATGCTCTGGGTGTAACTTTTTGAATATCTCTCAAGGATCTATGGGATCTGGATCATTTATAATTATACAAGGTTGCAAATCACCACTATTCCGTCTCTCGCAGCTGCAACACTCAAGAAATTTTTATTCTACTTGGACAGTACATCATCTCTAAGTAGCCTACATGCATCTGAATTTTTTTGAGGTGATCCAAGCAGCGCATTGAGGTGTTTTGAACATTTTGCATATTACATGCCAGTTGCAGATTCCCAGGAATGATAGTAGGATGGAAGGGCAAATGCAATTCATAGTCGGGCGTTTCTACGTACGCGTAACGTACGTACAATTTCTTCCGAGGTGCTAGAGTGTCAGGCACTGCCACAATACTTGGACCTACACGAGGACCAAAAGAACAAGCGACCCTTCTTTCTTCTGACTACGGAAGACTAGTGCTAGGCTAGGACAAGCGATGGTCAATAATTGGCGTCTCTCCGAGGTTGGTGTCCAGGTGCACACGACTGTCCTTGCATTCAAGGCACTTCGCATCCAAATAACGCTATTTCGCAGAACTACTACCAGCGACTCGTCGATCACTATTTGACATCCCAGTCACGAACAAGTCAGAAATCCAGTTCACCGTCTGGGACGCTACACACAGACAGGCCTTGTTGTCCGATCTGCTCGCACCATCTTGTTGCATGCAATGGTTGTTCTATTGTCACCTGCAGTGCTAATGGTCAGTGTGCAGGTGCCGACCTCATCACCTTGGTGTCCTGTCACGTGCACGATAACTTAGAGAAATTCTGCGCTGCATGTCTCACAGATGAGCGCTACTCAGGTGCGCTTATTCAGTGTATGCATTGCTGGAACTGGCATTGTCCAGAGATCATGAAGAAGTGTGTGGGACGACCCATCTCCTCGGATAAACTTGGCCGTGCACACGCTCCCAAGTTTATCTCATGTCGTTCTTGCTTTTCCGCTGCCGCTTCCATGCAGGAGTGCAGTGAGTTCGACTGTTGGTCTTGTGCGCATATCCATGATGACGTAATTTGCCTTGATTGCATCGGATCGATGGACAGTCACATAGCTTGCCCTTGCGGATGGACCTGGGTTCGTGGCGCATGTGCTCAGAAAACAGACAGCGGTGGACGATGTCCAGGATGTCAGACATTTTATTGTTTCGATCAGTGCGGATACATCGACGCGTGCACGGAGTGTCATAAGACGACGCTATGCAACGATTGCATGGAGGAAGACTTGTCTGACGAGGAGGGGTCTTCAATGGCAAACAAGGGCTTGGTTCTTGTGACGACATGCAAAGGATGCCAGCGCAGTATCTGCGCAGACTGCTTTGAAGAGCGCGAATTCTGTTGCGGGTCTTGTGATAGTGTTCGTTGCTGGGATTGCATGGGCGATGGCAAGTGTTCGGGCTGTGGGGCACTTATGTGTCTAAGTTGCACGGAGGCTGGATGTGGGGAGTGCCGTGTGGTATGTTGATTTTCGAATAACAAATATTGGTTGTCATTGACATATCTCAGGGCAAATACTCTACGGAGAGCTAACAGATCTCGAATGAGATTGTGCACCAGTCCTCGGAATATTTGGCAGTGGAGTTTGTTTATTGGTACTGGGTTTTGCGTACTTACATGTAAGATGATTTACTCTGTATTTTGGTAGTCGGACATCCGCTACTTGGCTTGATTTCAGTCGTCGAGGACCAAAACCTGAGCCGTGCTAGGATAATTGACCGTCAATGATGGTCGTAAGGAGCCTTGCCACTCCTCTGACGATGGAATCCCCTTTGTACCGCTTTGACGAGCCACTCCCTTACATATAAAGGCATGTCTATACTTTCGTACCAGTTTGACAACATGATGAGGGTAACCGATACCCGAATACAATATTGAGGCGACTTCCCCGAGCCCGGGAGGATACAAGGGCAAATGCAATTCATAATCGGTGGGGACATGGGGACGAACTCTAGATGTTCAAGTATTTTAGATGGTGGGCCAGCATACAATACGAACACTCGTGTACCTATATTACAACGATAATATCCCCAGTGTCTGACGTGAAGTTCAACTTGTGCAATAATATCATGGTCTGACACTATGTATTCTCTGTCGCGCTGCTGCGCCAGAAAAATGCGCCGAAAAGCTATCCGAGGCGAAGAATCAATCGCAACACGAGTGTCCGAATCCAGCCCCCAAAAAGCCCGCCGAGTGAGGCGCGCAATGAGGAGCTCAACTCGAACCAATTTTCGTAGCTCTGCGCATCGTCCGAAAATCCAGGTGGCTCGACGAGCCTTGAGGAGAAAAGGGTTCCACGGACAAGATGCCTGCTGAGTGGCCCTTGCGGGCGAGAATCGAATCAACTCGTCTTCAGTAATGTAAGTAATGAGCAAGTCCGAGTCAGTGAACTCATGAAACCCATCTGCCCTTCATACTTGGACCATGTCTCCTGGTATTGACCAGACCTTCGTCCGACTCCTGTGACAGCGAATACAATGCAAGGCAGATGCAACCGGCAGTGCACGGGGCGGTCAAGCAGTCAACTTCTGGTAAAATCACCTCGTGTCACGGGGCCGGGTCTGCGGTCCTAGCGAGGAGACAGATGTGACTGAATCTCATCTTCAGAGATAGTCTCGATGACAGCGTTCATGGTGGAGCTTCGTACCAAATGGTCTCGGGTGAGGGACAGATGCTTGAATTCGGATGGTTTTTCGAGGACAGTGAAATCGAGCTGGCACAACTTCGACTGTAAGAGCTGCCCGAGGTGTGTTTTGCATCTTCTCGTCATAGATCACCGGTCAGTGCTCTCAGTCCTTCTTTCGTGTTCCGTGGTACATAAGTATGCCCAACAAACGTTTAACGAAGTTGATGAGCTTTAATTGTTCCTGATTTGGCGGCACCGCGTGCAACACGGCAGCACGTTCGTAACCACTAAGGTTCACATGTTCACAGCGGGACCTAATGTAACTAGCGGAACCTATCATCTGATCATCTGTACATGTTTAGCGAGACCTTCTAATATTTGAGGAGATGAGGTGGGATTTCGCTGTACTTTGCGACCGCCCTCGTACAGTTTGTTTTCCCGGGTTGAAAGGCTCACCTCCAGGCTCGGAATGTCTGTTAAAATCAGATATTTATTAGTAGGTTTAGCCACTTTGGCTTGTCACTATCAGTCCGTCGTGGCTGCAGCGGACACGGCGGGTACTAGTACTACTACTATTGCCTCTGCATACACGGTCCCTGGAGCGTTCCCAACTTCTCTCTACTCTCATTACTACAACAATCCAACGGCCACCTCTGCGCAGCCGCAACCAGTCATTTCAGATCCTGTCACGGTAAATCTCTTCCATAAGTATCATATAGCTGAAACCAACTCGTTCTTCAGCATGAAATCTTTCCATTTTCCCTCACAGACCCGCATAACATTTCTCAGGTAACGCGTGTTCTGTTAGCGTACGCCGCATCAATTTGATCCTCGGCTCTGACAGTATGACACGGCGGATCCCCATCTGCTTCCGTCCCCAGCGTCCTCCCAAAAGCTTCTTCAACAAGCGGTGGCGCAGATCAAGTCTATTGCGGTGAATCCCATGTTTAGTACATGTGCACGGTGCCAGGCCTCCTTAGAAGTAGCCAAATTCCTTGCTCTCGCGGCCCCTGAGCAAGGGCCCACTCTTGCTCTGACGCTCTGCGAGTACTTCAATTATTCATCGTCATGCAATAAAAGTTATGGCCCCCTTGTCCTGGGACCGATCCTTACTCAAGTTGTATCTTTCGCCGACGTTGGAGGATACGACGGACAGGTAAAATCAGTTGTCTAAAAAGTGATTTGCGCCTTACGATGTTTCCCAGTCAATTTGCTCTCAGTTCCTTGGTTTATGTCCAGCACCTGTGACAACGCCTCTCAACCTCACTGGCTGGTTTGCCAAGCCAAAAGCCTAACCCGCTTCCCCCTCCAAAGCAGCCCAGTGGCAAACTGCTGAAAGTCCTGCATCTTTCGGACCTGCATATTGATCCCCGTGCGCGGCATCTCCACGCATGCATCGTTCACCTCGACTGATCTTCCTTTGCCAGGTTATGCGAACGGCGCGGAAGCAAACTGCACCAGTGGTTTGTGTTGCCGCACGAAACGCTTACAATTCTCTCAGTCCTCAGACACCTCTCCTTCCTGCACCACGATACGGCTCGTTCCACTGGTAAGAACTACCTTTTACTAGAAGAATACAACCTGATGTCCGTTTAGTGATTCTCCATATTCATTGATCACATCCGTGCTAGAGGCCATCCCACCGTTGACCGGAACGGAATCAACTGGCTTCGACTTTACTATGTTTACTGGCGATATGTTAGCACATGACCCAGAAAACCAGCAGTCCAGGTACGCGTTTTATAGCTATTCTTGGTCTTTTCTCATCTCCCTTTCAGAGCTTTCAACGAGTATTCTGAGGTAAGATTTGTGTTTCTAAATAGGACCATTACATATCATGTATCCTGGCAGGTCGTCCTCTATGATCTGTTCAAGCGCATGCTCGGACCTGGTCCTACATATGCCACACTCGGAAACCACGATACCTGTCTGCCAGATCTAGCTTCGCCTTCCTCACTAGGTGGTGATCTGGGACAACAGTTCAGCTGGTATGACTCCTCTCACCGGTTGCCGTGTTGTGCCTAACCTTATTTTAGGCTATACGATCACGTTACGGCGTTATGGGAGCAGGAGGGATGGCTCCCAGAGGCTTCTGTCGAGTTTTCGCGTGCTCACTATGCAGCATACATGGTCAAGCGTGCAGACGGCCTGAGAGTGATCAGCCTGGACACCAACCTATGTAAGGCAAACTATTTTAATTAGCGTGAGCGCTAACAAACTCGTCTGCAGGGTATAGGTACGTAATTGATGATGCAGACATACATAGACCACCATCTAAACCGTGCAAAGGTCAAACTACTTTAATTACATCAACTCATCCGAACCGGACGTTTCTGGAATACTGAGGTTCCTTACTGATGAACTGCAAGACGCAGAAGATGCGGGGGATCGAGGTGCGTTGATGCATGCTACTACATTTCAATCGATCTGACGGTGTTCAGTCTGGATCATCGGCCACGTCGTCAGCGGCTGGGATGGTGGAAATTCGTTGCCGAACCCCACCAATCTCTGTAAGTTTAACCTCTTCATTATTAATGAGCAATTCCCTGAGCAGCGTCTGCGCTAGTCTACCAAATGTAAGTCCGTTGGATGCCAAAGCGAACATCACCGCATGCAGCTAACATGCCCAGTGTTGATCGCTTTTCCCCTCATGTTATTGCCAGTATGTCGTTTCTCTATCGTGCCCGAACAAATTTGACGTGTCACAATTAGACATCTTCTGGGGTCACACACATGAGGACCAGCTATCCGTATGAGCCTAAGTCACTTTATAAACGGGCAATGCTAACATGTTTTTCTGGACCAGATCTTCTATGCCAATAATGGTACGGATATGAACGTTGAGACTGCTCAGATGGTATCCTGGGTGTGTCCTTTGACTGGTTTACTGTGATAATCAATCTAACTCGTCTCCTAGACTGGACCGTCTGTGACTCCCCTCACCAACCTGAACTCCGGGTTCCGTGTTTATGAAGTCGACTCTGCTGTAGGCTTTCTTGCCAATATATTTCCCAAATCTAACGTACATATCCACACAGACTTTTGAAGTGATCGACGCCTATACGTCAGTTGTTTCCGGATTGTTGTCATCAGCTAACCTTTTGCTTACAATTTACTGCAGTTGGAAGAGCTCCGTCGATGAGTATCCTGCACTAGATTCACAGACTCAATCCGGCCCTACATTCGCTTTCGAGTATAACACTCGTGAAGCATATGGAGGAAATATTACCTGGGGAGCGACCGACCCTTTGAACGCGACCTGGTGGCATCTTGTGACTGAACGTGCGTGCCTTGCTCCTCTTCCGCTTACATCGCTATATATGTTGTTTCAGAGATGGAAGTAGATCCGACTTTGGTGCAGGCAAGTTTGTGACTAGATGATTTTGACTGATGCTTACCTGCTCATAGACTTTCAATACATACCAGGGCAAGGGCTCGATACTTACTCCGCCATGCACCGGTGAATGTATTCCTGCTAGGATCTGCTACATTCCGTAGTGGCTCTACTAGCATTGCCAAGCAGAACTGCGTGTCAGGTTATGGATCAGTGCAGTAGGCTACCTCAATACCCGTCATTGTTATAGATGGTTTGCAAGTGGACACGTTTAAGTAGTGTTCTATAGTCAGATATCAATCCAACCTTAACTTTCATACAGTCAAGAACCCCCGTTAACACCCACGATTAACAAAACCAACAGCTAATGACTTCTAGCAGTCAAGAAGGTACCGCTTCTCAGGCATATGAGGAATCCGAGGGAACATGAATATGGTGTCTGCACTAGACATCTTGAGCAAACATCTTGAGGGATTGCTCAAGCCCTTAGGCCTTAGTGATCGCTTGTGGGCGATTCAGATTTCAGATGGTTTCAACGCCAATGTCTTTGCATTTCTCGGGGTGGAGGATGAGGCAAAACAAAATGATAATTTGAAAACCGTCAAATGGAGCCTCAGGATGATCAGGGTCCTTGCCTTTGCGTGACCAGGCTAGGCTGTTTATCGGTGGTACTTGTACTCCATCTATGTAATGTTACATCGGACTCAAATGACACCCCTATGATTTGTGAAGTACGAGAACTGGTCGCGAAGCGTGCTATTCGTCATCTGAAAGATCCATGTCCATGTCGCTACTATTCGAGGCATCAGCCTCAGCGAATGTGGAGAGTGCAAGATATTGAGGACGTGTAGGCGGTGGCGGTGGTGGCAGAAATGGAAGGCGGAGAAGGTGGCAGTGGAGGGGGGGTGGAGGGTGGTGGTGGTGGGTGGGTGGGTGGTAGGTTGGTTCCCGTCGTGCGATTGCAGCGAAGAAAATGCTCCAGGCAATCTCCAAGGAGGAACCAGCGTATTCGCAGTATAGGGTCCCAGAGATAATTTGCTCCCAGAGAGCTCTTCTTTCTGCAGTAAAGGTACTCCCGGGACGAGAAGTCGCGACGGTCAATGGCATGAATGCCGTTCCATTATAGACAGTGAGGTGGTGCGAGGAGAAATAAGTAGTGGGGTATATTGCCCACCTACGGGGTGTAGATGAGAGAGGCTCCAGGTCAGAGTTGGCAGGTGAACTGTCATCGGTAACCGGTTTCTCGGCCCCATCTGGTTTGGGGTAGAAAGACATTGCGAGATTTAGGTCGAGAACTTCGCGGTCCTTTTCGTCACTAATTATGAGGAAAGAGTCATCGGCATCCTCAAGACAATCGTCAGACACTGCGGTGAGGAAGTCTCCTAGAATCCTTTGGCGAACAGAGTCCCTCGGATCTTCATCACTCATCCATCCTATAGGGTAGCCCCATTGTGACATGCCATATAGCCACTGGACAGTGATCCCCCGAGTCTCCATGCTGCAAGCCCAAAGCTTCTCGCAGGGTGGGACCAACAACCTTCCCAGGCTGGAAAAACTCCAACCATTCAAGCCGTTGTTGCTTCCAAGCTTCGACAACATGAAACCTGTCTGGCTCCCTCGTTGGCCCATCAGAGCGGAGAAAATTGAAGAGTTGGCGTGAAAGCGTAATGAGGGGACGATTAGTGTGGTTCAGGACATGACGCAATGATGTGATTAGGGCGAACCGCAGTTGAAGCAAAAGCGAGCATCAAGGAGTTTAGGCGATGGACCTGGAGTCTCGCCTAGGATAGTTGGGACATGCCTGTCATAAAGGTACCATTGGGGTGACAATTCCTGAAACAAAACTGACCCCGAGGTATCGATGTAAAAGTTGGGGGTGACATCGGACCCGCAAGGACTACTCTCTAGACAGCTTCCTCCTGAGCTTCCAGTGCTGCGTTCCGCTTCCTCATCGATTCGAGTACATTGGACGCGTCCCAGCGACCTTTCGCTATCTCCTTCCCATCCAGATGGAGTGCGGGAATCCAGTAGACGTATTTCTTCTTCCACTTTTCCTGGCCTTTATCCTGTATGTTGACTATTTCCAGGTCGAATTGATACTATTCGTTCATCAGTGACTTGTAGGCTTTTAAGTTTTACAGCGTGACGACGTACTGACTGTCTGACTTTCGCCAGTTCTAGTTTTGCAACCTAGCGTTAAACGATTAGAAGGTATCATAAAAGAAAAAGTAAACAATACTGACGTCACAAAGCGAACAATTTGGGCCACTGAAGAGGATGAGACGAGCGACCTGCTGGGGGAGACGAGCAGCCATCGGAGCAAGTGGTATCCGGGGTCCGACTCGGATCCGGTTCAAAATTACAAATATGGTTGACGGGGAATTGGTTCAATAACGGAAGCAAATGTTCAGTACACCGTCCGCGTCCACGGTCATTCGATGAATCACTGGAATGACAGTGTATGACCCTCCATGGCGCCAGAAAAGTTGGTCTCCTGATACATTTTCCGAATATTTTCTGATTTTTATTAGCGCGGCCATGTCCGTTCTTCTCTCAAGGACGCTGTCTGTTCGCGGACTCGTGCAACTTCCTTCACGATATCAAAGTAAAGAGTGCTCTCGACCAGTCGCTTGCTGACACGCGGCCAGTAAGGCCCCGTGTGTTTTTACCTCCAAAGACCGTTTTTAATCCGCCATCGGTCGTGGTCAACTCTGCGAGTCCACGCTCTACCCAACTTGTCAGCCCGGTGGATGACACTTCTCGTTATTCTGGTTTACTTTCCGTTCTTCAAGATGTAATTGGCCCAACCACTCAACAGGATGGCGAAATACTACGCCCCTCAACCTGTTGACATGAACGATATTTTTTTGCACAATTCCCAAGCAGATACCACCGTGGTTAATACCTCCATAAGCACTTCTTTCGCGGAAGCTTCTACGTTAGTGGAAGATTCGGATTTATGCAGTAGCAAGGACTCTTCTGTTACTGAAGCACCTCGGGATGTGGGGGAGATACAGGAGATCCTCACACTTCATCGTATCGACTCAGATGATTATGAGGAGGTCGAAGACATATTTCCCTCGTACCTGGTGGAAGACGAGGATCGGGCAGAGGAACAAGAACTGGACCGTGAAGAAGAGGGAGAAGATGAATCACAATCCACGTCAATGACCGTCTTGCAATTCCCGACCCCCCCTCCCAGGTTCTCTCCTACGAGTACTACCAGCTCTGTCTTGTCTCTTCTTGCGTGTCCTCATGACTTGACGGAGGAGCCCTCGGACGATTCAGGACAAGAAGCCTGCAATGACCTTCTATCTCCTGTCCAACTGTCTGCTCGCTTGCGACCCTTCTCAATACACGACCACAGCTTTCCACCGAAGCGGGAGGACTCTATCGACTCGGGCTATGCCGACAGTTGGACGGGACCAGCGCTGCTGGCACGTTCTCCACCTCATTTCACGCGCAATAGCATTGCATTCGATTCTAGTCCCTTTCGCCGTGCTTCCATATCTTCATTACAAGATAGACGCGTGTCGTATGACGTTCGCGCCGTTCGACCTTCCCCCCGCCAACAAGTGTTGGCTGAAGAGCGTGAAGATGACACATGCTCGACTTTATCTATTTTAGATGCGTACGACTTTTCATCTGATTTCGACGAGGAGTCTCTCTCCCCCACTGTGCGTCTCACTGAGATGGTGTTAGCACATCCCTTAAGTCCTCCACCAGAATCATCCTCTCCCAAAGAACCATCCATTCTCATTTCCGGGATTGCGCCGATTCATGACAGCGTCTTAGAAGCATCATCACTTCCGTGCGGCTCTGTATCTGAGGATGGCGTCGGACATGCATTTTTAGATGCTGATAGCCCTCCAGCGGAATCATTGGTTTCTCCGCTTTCTTCATCCACGATTCACCCATCCTCTGTCGAAGGGACTCCTCCGGCCCAGGAAGTAGTGCCATTTGCCATGACGTTTTGCAGTCCTCCGTCCTCTCCACTACCCGAACCCGCTGCTTCCGACGCTGTGCATATCCTCAGCCGAGCCGAAGATGTCGTAACCCCCTCTTCGGTTTCTTCATCTGCGCATGACAGCGAGTTTATGGAGGAAGAGTTGTCACCAAAGATATCCTTGTTATCCTTAAGCACTTACCCGTCTGACCGCTCGTCTCCGAACACGTCCATACTTTCCAGTTGAGTGCGACTACGCAGTTGATGACATGTCTCAAGAGACCGTTTTCTCTCAGCCTTCCTCGCGACCGCAGAGTGATCCCGCGCAGTCCCCCTACTTCTTCATCTGTATGGGATGATGATGATGATGATATGGATGGACATGGACTCCAGGAGGATCAACTTGACACAGGTCACCCGAAGGAAGGCCGAGAGTCCTTCATCGCCCGCCCCAGCGAGCGGTCAAGGATATCCAGCGAACTTTTAGCCCACATCGGGCATGTCTTTTCCCTTTCCGACGACATGTCAGTTCCTGCAGAGGACGCTCTAGACCCAACCGGAAGTGGTGTAGATGTCCCGACTAATGACCGTCGTGACTCGTGGCATGATGCTCTGAATGCTGATGTCCAGCAGGCTTTGCGCATGTCTGCGGCGTCTCCAGTGATGTTCTTATCTGACGGTGAAGACTTCGATCACGAGGAGGCCGGCGTGCGCACGTCATGGGATCCTCACTTGGGTGACTTTTCCGTCAACTTTCGTCGTTGGAGCGGCGTGGAAAATGTTTCGGCCGTAGAGGGTGACGCGGGTGCTAACTCTGTTGAGTCTGACGAGAGTGATGCGCTTCGTGACCAACCTAGGACTGAAGGACTTTTGGATGACGTGGAATATTCACCAACGACCTTGGCGCCTCCTGCTGGGCCAATGGTGGGAACCCATGACGTGGATGCATTTATACTTCAAGGGAAACAAGATATACAGACAGCCCATCTCCACCACCACGCTGACCCTGTCGAAGATTCCTTAGCTCCCAGTTTTGGTTCTGCAGATGCACCGTCTACCATTGAATTTGTGCAGAGGAGTCGTGCGGTCTCGGATGTCACCGTGAAACCCGATTCACGCTCTCCGAGCGTCCCTTGCTTTCCTCCCTCGCCCGTGGCCTCCATCCCGACTGACCTCGCGGACGCCCATTTGGACAATCATCCAGACTTCCTACAACCGCTTGACGATCAAAACGTGGATGCAGAGCCCGCTGAATCGCAAAGTATGGAGACTACTGCCATGGAACTAGCCATTGAGTCAGGGGAGTCTTCAAACCCGCACCTGGCATGCGTTTTTGAATCAACAGCACATGGTCACGAAGATAGTCATTCATCTGTGTTGATTAGCACGAGGGTCCCTGCGGCGCATAGGGCTCCACCGAACCTCACAATACGCATTCCTCCATCCTTTGAGGCCCAGCCATCTTCGTCATCTACCGCTCAGAGTCTGCCGCTCATTCTATCCCTCTCGAATGGACACAATACGAGGCGATGGTTCTCCTCTTCCAATACGGATGGGCTTTCGTCTACAGCGGACTCTCCCTCCTCGGCTCCAGTAACGTCAAATCTTCCGTCACGGAAAGCAGGGAGCACAAAGGTACCGTTCGGTTTCCGACGTGTCAACCCACAGGTAGGCTTTTAAAGCGATATTGTTTGAGAGTCACTCATGTATGCCCCTGTAGTTTGTAGCCAGGAAGTCATTACAGGGTATCCAGCCCTCGTCTCCCGTCACACCTGTCGTTTATCTACCACCAAGCCGGGCGAGTGACGCTGCCAGTGTGGGCGCTGCTTCGCAGCAACTCAGCGTCTACTCACTGAACTCGTCATCCACCGACCGACTCTTGTCTCCTGTTGAACCACAACACGAAACATCTAGCACTGGATTAAAACCTCTCAGGCTGGTGAGTTGTTACATACCGGCAACTCCTGTGCGTCATCACTCATAATTTGCCTTCAGTCTAGTTTGCTTAATCCGAGGTCGCCCGTATCACCGTCCTCGTCTATCACGTCTAGTATATTATCTGGTCAGTACTTCAAATACCTTTTCAGTCATTGTAGTCCTCACTGCCTTCTTGAATACAGCCCATATCTTCAACTCGTCTTCAACGCACTCGTCCAATGTATCGTCTAGTACTTCGCTATCACATAATTCACGGGTGCGTAAGCTAAATATGTTTTTCTCCTTGGTTCTAGTCTGATTGTTTGAGAGCAGCTACCTTCACCATGTTCACCAAGCATACCCGAGCACATCCACAATACCCTCACGCCCGCTCACGATAGTTCATCATCATTGTTCGCATTTACCCAGGCTCCGTCTCAGGTCCACTCTGTGCAGAGGGTGTCCCAGTTGCAGTCTGCGCCACTCCAACAGGCTCCATCTTGGCGCCTGTCGCATTACCGAGCAGGATCTCGTGATTTTAACCAGTCGTTTGACCGCTCGTCACGGAGACTGTCAACTCTCAGTTTGACATATGACGATGAAGAGGAAGCTGTCGATGAATTCAATCGCACAATTCGTCGTTCCGTCTCCGGCCTTCCTCTACGAGCCCCATCCGTCTTCGAAGCGCCGGTTCACGCTATCGCGACGCCAAAGCCTGCTCTCTTGTTTGCCATTGCGAGTGACGATGTTAATCAAGTACGACAGGTGCTTGAGAGCGGTGAAGCCGGACCAAACGACCAAGTCGGCCCCCAGTCGGCCCTGGCATTCACTTTGACCAACGACAAACTATCGCACAAGAATGAGATTGTTAAGGCGCTGTTAGCTTATGGCGCAGATCCATCGGCGTTGCGGAATCCAGATTTGAATCCATCTGCGCAAGCGTCATCGGAGGGAGGTCAGAGTGTTTCAGACTCACATTCACAGCCTGGAGAGACGACACCGGAAGGAATGGACCCTGCTACGAGGTGCGTAGTGTCTTTTAACCTTTGATCACTGTTGGCTCACTCGATAATTAGATACTACGTAACTAGAGCGGATTCGACGCACACTCGGCAAACATCCCAGCTCATCTATCGTTCATTCTTCCGGCCCCTGACAAGAGTTCGATATGATCTCATTGGCCAAGATTGGGTATTGGAGCAACTCTTCAGGGTGTTAAGTATGCACTCTCAACGACTGTCGGTGGCTCCCATCGTGGTTCTGCTTTGTGGTACGTTCTCAAGCTAAGGGCAAGGTACATACTTATACCTCCCCCAGGTCCGAGTGGTCATGGGAAGAGCTTGCTGGCCCGCAAATGTTCGTGACTTGTTTCTGCACGCTACGTCCCTCAACTTATCGTTTGTTTTGCAGTTGGGAGTCTCTTGGATATTCCGACCCACACTGTTAACATGACCACCTTGTGCTCGACACACGATCTATGGCAATCGTACTCCATGAGTCCTTATGAGGTTCGTTATGTTATATCTTTTGATGCAACACACCTTGATATTTTTGTGAAGGAACCTTCTTCAGAAACTTTGGCCCAGTTTCTGCTTGACAACGAAGGCAAGCGATGCGTAGTTGTGCTAGACGTACGTTCCCCTCAGCCTTGTTCTGCGACAATAACTCACTTCCAGCTCAGGAGATCGAGAAAGTAGAAGATCCAAAGGCGTTGTACTCTCTTCTCATGCCTTGGGAGCTTGGTGAGTCTATATGGTATTGTGAATACGACAATGCTTTACTCTTTGCATAAGGCCGTTGCTCCCTTGAAGCTGGAAAGCGACATGTTGATGTCAGAAACGTGATCTGGCTTGGGACGTCTAATATAGGTCATGACCTTGTATTCGAGCACCAGGATTCCCGACCAGATCCAAGCAAACCCGTCACTCGAGAAGAGTACCGAGAACTCATGGATCTTTCAAGGCCTCATGTCTCGCAAGGCCTCGGAGTAAGTACCTGAATCAGTCAAATCCTTTACAGACCCCCAACACTGTCCTTTACAGGCTTCGCTTCTATCCCGCGTTACCACCGTTTTGCCCTTTGTTCCATTTACCACGGAAGAAAAAATGGCAATCTCGGCTGAAGCGGTATACTCTCTCACTGGCAACGCTGAGAAGACGTTATCCCCTCAAGACGTGGAGGCGATTGTGACGAAAGTGCTGCCGAGTTATGTTCCATCGGAGGGTGCTCGCTCGCTACACAGAGCTGTATCGAATCAGCTGGTGGATTTGATATAGTCCTCTGCTTCTTTCGATTTTCCTGTGATTTATGATAGTACTGTATTGTTGCATCTTTGCACATCACTGCAGGTATATGTTTCTGTTTGTCCATCTAACGAGTGATATCTCGATATTTCAATGAAAAATGATTGACTTGGATAAAATTCACTAAAGGTGTTTCCATCCTTAAGTTGCAATGTTAGACTCGCGTGTCCTCTTCAAGTCTCTCCTCAATTACGGTGCTCACAGACCTTGGGGCACTTGTAGGGGGGTGGAGAGATGTGTGTTTGGCAGGAACGAGTAGATCGTGAATATGTACGCCTTTTGAAGAGGCGGAAGCGATGAGAGGCCATCAGTAAACCGGTGAGACTCAAATATTAGTGGATATTGTAGTATTTTGTAAGCCCAATGCGTCTTTCCTGTACATTACGATATAAAGTAATATATAGACAGGAGAGTCACGCGAATTAGTTCCGCGGGATCAAACGTTTCGTCCTTACAAATGTTAGATATAGCAATACTGTCGGTTGATACAGCGAGTGCGGTGATTGCTGTTTCATGGGATTCGAACGTCTTGAGCACTTTGCAGGCTGACCCATATTCCAGCACTATGATCATCCTTCCAACTCCCAACATTATAATTCCCGACGGACTCACGGCCATAGAAGTTATTTCTCCTTCCTCCTTGGACTGCATGTATATGCCCTCTTCTAATCGGCTTTGCGCAATTATAAAGCGATCTATGCTGAAGGGCGAAGCAAGGTAAAGAGATGAGTTATAGGGAGACCATGCTGATGCAAAATTATAAATTTGTGGACTTGTGTGGAGGATTGATTGAACACGACGCGTCAATTACGTGATGCAAGAGGAGCGCCCTAGGTAGAGTAGACGCCGGGACCGTCTGGTTTTATCTTCATGTTTTCATGTTCTCCGATGTGCGGATGCTTAAGACTGTAAATCCAACAAGACTTGGATCCAAGACGACTGCGCAGACCTCACATACACGTCACTTCTGCTCGTCCAACCCCCTATAAGTTAAAACTCCGATCATATCGTTCTCTTGCTTCCGAATTCTACTCGTCGTTTCATAAAGTAAGACGTATTGTCTTTTGCGAACATGTCCGGTTGGAACATCATCATTTTTTTTTCTGACCACCTTATGTTCCCTCTGGTCGTTCGAGTTATGAAGTGCATCTACAGCACCGTCGATCCCTGCACGCCCACTACCATCTATGGTGGACAGCTGGGAGCGTTCGCCAACCCTTTCCTACAAGGTGCATGAGTCTGGACGTGAGCCGTCAATTCGCCATCCTCAATCTCCGAGAAGGTGAAGAGGATCGTTCACATATGAACACCCACTTCGTGATCGACTTAAACACCATGTTTATCTGCGATAAATTCAAGAACAATCGTTTTCCGGCACCCCAGGAGATTCTCGCTAGCCTAGGAGAACTCCGAGACTACGTAAGGAGCATTGTCCGAGGAAGGATGGGAAGCGGCGGAGGCGATACGACGCGAGGAAGTACGTCGTCTTGAGAAGGAGCGAGAACAACGAAATAGAGTCCAGGACGAAATAGAGTCCAGGTGAATAAATTACATAGTTGCAAGTATTCTGCGGAATTTATTCATTCTGAGTACAGGCCTTTTATCGTTGTCTTGTCGAGAAAGGTCTCATCGATGAACATGACTTCTCCAGCGACAGTCTGCATTGTCCTGTCTGCTCGGCGAAGCAGACATCGTGCAACGTGTGCAAAATCATCTCCTGCTCCAATAGTGATTGTAAAGTCTCCGCTGCCATCCCCATCGTACAGTGTTTCAATCACCCCAGCAACAATATCTGTATTTCATGTTTGGAGTACCCAGGCTCTCTGCCTCGTCTGGGCGAGTGTCCCTCATGTGCACACTGGTTCTGTGCACAAGAGCTTGAGTGGTGCGTTGGGCGCCCAATTTCTAATGGCAACACAAGTGGCACCGGACCTTCCTCACCGACTATTGTTGTAACCCGATTACACTCAGCACACCCATTTTCCTGCCAGTCCATCGCCTGTGTGGCGAACACTCAAGCGAGCGGAAAGAATGGGCGTCGGTGCTGCAACACTACTTGTTGGTCTCGTGTGGGTACCACAGTGTGCCCTGATTGCATCACACAGGATAGCTTCTCCTGCCCATGTGGTCGATACTGGACTTGTGGTGGCTGCATTTCTTCCGCTTGGATTCTCAGGTGCCCTGGGTGCCACCGGCGTTTCTGTCCGCAGTGTTCATACATCGTGGCTTGCGAGGAATGTAAAGATGTGGGGTTCTGTCGCGACTGCATGGAGGAAGAAGAGAGCATTGGCGTGCAGCACGCACAAAGTGCAGACCTTGTCTTCAAGTGCCGGAACTGCAGAGCTGTCCTATGCAAGACATGCGTTGGTGTCGAAGAGAAATTTTGTTATAAATGTGACCGAGACCTTTTCCAAGCTCTGTGGAAATGACGCAACTACTGGTGATGATTGTGAGATGGTCTGCGATGAGTGCAGAAATCCGGCTAGCCAGTACGATGTTGAGGAGATGGTTTACTATGATGATTTCTATTGATGCGGCACATCACTACAGAACTATCTTTTGTGTTATAATGTAATTTGTGTCTAATGCTATTATATCGTGCTAGTATCTCATAGTCTACCGGGCTCAGTGAACCACTGCAAATTGCTCGCCATACAAGTTTGTTCAATAAGTCTTACGAGGACACGCAATTCCCCGCATTCCATGTCCTCAACACAAATTAATGTTACAGTTCATATACCCGACTCACCGCATGGTGTGGAGTCGACAAGCACGACCGAGTATGCCCCGTATATTGTAGGTTGCGAACGGACGGTCCACCTCCAAAAACAAGACGGGCGGAGAAAATTAAGACGTGTCAATCATAGGATGCAAACTAGTCACAGGGTGTGTCGGGAGAATGGTGCAACATCGAAAATTTACTACCTCTGAATATATGGGATGATACGCGGTTAAAGCGAAACGATTTCCAGGAAATCAGTCTCGGAATGGACATGAAGGCCTAGCTGGTGCGGGAAGCAGCAGGATGTGTTTTCGGGTTTCTGAGAAGCGAGAGAAGTACCTGAGGAGGAGCGCCAGGCAGCTGATCTCTGTACCACGTTCGACATCAACCAGGGAAGGGGGTCTGTTAGTAGCAGCAGAAGCACCGGCACCTCCGATCTGAAAGGCGGCTGAGGGTAGCTCCGCTGGTGGCACGCTGCTGTTTGGGGCACCAGCGTTAGAAGTCTGGGCTTTCCCGGCGAGGAGACGCGGTGGTTGTAACAAGTGCCTTTTCCCGCTCGTGCATTGGCGGTGCGCTGCGGAAAAATGTCATCAACAAGGCATGGATATCGAAAAGCTCGGGAAACTTGCATATTTACCTCGTGTTGCGAAGACATCCACAACGGGGATCCTGCGGGGATGGGGATTATGGTCCTGAGGAGCAGGGGAGCGAAACAAGAGACGGTTCATGGTTTTCTGGATGCGGGAGCCAGTGGGAACGGAGCGGTTGTTGCGTCGAGGTGTGGACCGCGCATCAAACTGTAGGCATGGTCAGACATTCAAGTTGAACCTGCTGTAACTAGAGACTCACATCATCAAAGAACCCCTGTGAGAGTCCCGCGCGTTCTCGTCGAGGCTTTGGGCCCGGGATGGTCTTCTGCGGGAGTGAAGTTAGGGATAGTACAACTGAAGAACTTTCAGTGCGGACTGTATAACATGTCAGCAGATTTGTGACTCGCTCTGAGGAACCGTCTGGCATGTGCGAACGAGATTGTCCCAACAGCCAGTCACGATGAGCTGGCTGTCCTCGGAAAAAGCTACACCCCAGACAACATGAGGGTGGTCGAGTGGTTCGCCGATCGGTTCGAACGTGGTCAGGTCAAAGAACCGCGTCGTCTTGTCGAATGATGTAGTAGCGAATTTTGTGCCACTAGGAGCAATATTGTTTGATCTCTTCGCTTGATTCCCAGTGAAAACCTGCAGTTGACTGACATCTATGTTTGGACTCATCTTGAGAGACACTTCAGAGCGATACTTTTGGGATAGTTCAGGGACACTGTCGCCTAAGTACCTCTCCACCAATGAGAGCGCACGCTTATGGCTGAAGAAAGCTTCAAATGTGAACGTAAACTAGGCCGTCTCTCAGATGGAGCGTAGCTGATGGTGCATCGATGAAGTTCCCACCGAGGTGATTCATTTTGCCTTATACTATTCACCGTGTGTATATACGTACATCGGTGCGTTTAACCCTTTCGGGCTTGAGAGAACATTGACATAGCCCCCGCACTGCGTCGAGGCTATGCGAACTAGACTCATCATTGATCGAGAGGCTATTTCAAAGATGTTAACCTGTTAATAACCTGTACGATTGAAGTGCAAGGTTTTCAAAGTACTCGAAGTCGGAAAACACAAGGATAAAACTTCGGGCCCGTATTGAAGTCAGATTGGTATGTCACTAGCACCTATAGTACTTGTCAAATGTTCTCACACCATTTGACCATCACAGGTGACAGTAGATCTCAAGCGCCAAGTTGACAGAACATTGATGATGCCCGCTCTGACAGCGGTGCAAGATTGTTGTCAAGGACTGATTATGTATAGACTTTCATGGTTTGGACAGGGTAAGGAACACATTCGTCTCTCTTCTAAAGTTTCCTTTCATCTTCTCTTCTTTCGGTGCCTTCTTCATAACATACTCTATGCGTCTCGTTCAGCAGGAAGGGCGCAGGATCGCCCGTTTCTTGCAACGGCGCGATTCTAGCGCTAGCGCTCAATCTTCCGTACCTTCACCTGTTATCCCTGAAGGCTCTGAGGCCCTTCCCCCGACAACGACACCTGTGGCCACTTCGAATAGCTTTCCTGCTTCAAGTCAAGCCATTGCCATCGCACTTTCAGTTCTTGGGTTTATCATCCTTGGTATGTGGTCATCCATGCGTTGTCATCTGGGCTTCACATCTATCAGGCATTGCGTTCTGGCGTATACGAGTGTGGAGAAGAAAATCCACCAAGGACGCTGTCAGCGTTACTGACGAGGGAGATGTAGAACGCCAGAAAGACCAATGGCTCGCACCATCTACAACCACTCCCCTGACTCTTGACACCGTCGCGGCACCCGCTGGTGTCGGTTGGGCACCTCAATTTCGCTCGATTAGCGGTCCTCAGCCCGTAAGAGACGACGCTATAGTGTCCAAGCCACCCCCTCCCAAGCGCCCGCGTTCTCCGCCGCCATCTCTCGTCTTCAAACCATCTCAAGATCCCTTTGCTGACCCCCGACCTAAATCCGCTCCTCCAAAGTCACCTGGGATTCGTGATGCAGAACGCGCCATCAGCGTTTCGTCTCCGTCATCACCTCAGCCATATGCTCTTTCCGTGAGCGGATACCAGGTTAGAGGTCTTTGGACAAAAGAGAAGGGAATACGAGATTCAGAAGTTTGAGTTTGCATGACCCTGATGATTCGGGATAGAGGATGTTTCTTATGATGCCAACTACAGGGTGGGATCCCACTACGGCCCAGTAGCTACTTGGCTTGGCTTTGGTTCTAGGTATTAGGTATTTCCCTTTTAATGTCTTTTCGAGACAACCCAACGCATAGGCTTAATGCGTATTCCACTCCTTTATATGATCTTTTACATAACCCTTAATTTATGATTCTGAGTGAGATGGTCAGTGACTCGTTTACGGAGCAGTAAACTCATTACATCATGGGTGGTGAGCACGCGGCAGCATTGGCATGCAAATTGCCAAAGATACGGTTGATTATGGAGGGCAAGGTGTCAAGTTACTCAGCAATCTTAAAATATAAACACCTTATTCCTCAGCAAACCGTGCTTTCCGTCTAAACCTAGCTTGGTCACGCAACCACTGTATGAAAATAGTAAGTTTATTGCAGGGGAGACTAAAAATCCGCGCACCTGTCGATATTGGTGGAGGGATCCAATTTTTTCTCCTATAGTACCACGAGTATAAGTAACATTTCACGTTCACAATTCATGCGCCGGTACATACCATAGAAATCTGGCACAGGGTTCGTGGCGCTTTGAGCTGTGGGATCCACGCGATTCTTCACTATGTGTTGGTGAAATTCGCGGTCTTTGGCTTCTATGAGATTCATTGCGCGACGGTGAGTCATTCTCCAACCCGCTGCTCCGATAGCGGGTCCAATGAGATATCCGAGCCCTGGGGTGCATTAATTGAGGTTCCCCCTCGCGGAGACAAAGTATCGTACCCATGCATGAGACTGTACAACCGCCAGTAGAAAAATAGCGGATCTATTCCCTGGTGCTATGAGTACGAAGCACATACGTATAGCGATTTACTACACACCATGATGGGCTTCGTCGCGTCCGACTCCAGAGAACCAAAGTACGCAAGTCCTCCGGCGAATCCGAGAATGCATGCTGGAATGGTAGCAGCCTGTGTGCAGTTCATGGCTTATGAGCAAGCGCGAACAAGAATTCCAGCTAGAGCACCTCACCGTTTCCCACTTTTCGTTTACTTTTGCGAATCTCTAGATATTCTGGCCAGGACAAATTCTGCTTTTCTGCTTCGGAGACCGCATTGTTTGAGCTCCTGTCTGGCGTTAAAAACTGACCGACGGCACGTCCGTGGTACAAGGCGCATTCCATGGCAGCCGAAGCTTTGTTAGAGACACTGACATTATGAGCAAGACGCAGTGTGTTTTCCTCAAGCTCACCTCGGCATCACATGAACTTCAACCACCCTTCAGTCAAATCATAAAAAGGAATATTGTTCCCACACATATGTTCAATCTAATCTTAAATTTCAATTCTTCTTGAATTAACATGAAATCAACTGTCAAGTCGGTGTCACTGTGACCATGAGGCTATGGCTACAGCAATTCCCAGCAATCATCCCACTGACCATCTCCATCCCCTCTGACTGAGGATAGCCTGCGCGAATGGAAGGAGCAAGGTCTTGTCTATCGTGCTGTCAGACATGCATCACAAACGGTTTGGATAACGAGCACGACAAATCGAATCCCCTTGCCCTTGATAATCTGTTATCTGCGGGAACTATCACTGTAGATGTCCAAGACAGTCATCCGCACTGCAATCATACACACGCAAGTGACACCTGGCATCCAGTGCCATCGCGTCAGCTGTCTGTTTATGCAGAAGATGATGTATTCTGCAAGATCTCTTTTTTGACTGAACATCAATTCCTACGTGCAACATGTTGCTTTGGAACGAGTCGACGCGTGTTATATATCCGCATATATCTCGTACCCATCGATTTGCCGAATGTGCAAGCCAGCCTGCGATATCGCAGTGAGGCTGTCTTGAAAGAGGGTCAACGCCACCTCCAGTCGTTACTACCCACGATCGTACAGGACCAACGTTCCTGGAATGCCGATGAGCTCCCCTCAGTCAGTCAACCTCGACAATATTTATTGCCAAGGAATATCGTAAGCACTTCTTAACTTGTGGTCGGTCTAGTAGCTGTATATTGTGTCATACAGGATAATCGCACAATGGCAGAAATCTATAGCGACCTTCCATCATTAGTTTCTTCGACAATTGATGTAGGACAAGAAATCAGGGGTCTTCGTAGTGCTTTGTATGAGTACCAACGACAGTCCGTGGCCGTGATGATCGAGAAGGAGCTGAGCAACCAGCCTGTTCAAGACCCCTTGTACATTCCGATTTCAAGCATGGATGGCAAATGCTTTTATTTTCAGCCTTCAACCCTTAGCGCCGCGCGTGAATGCCCAACAGTTGCTCGGTGCAAGGGCGGCATTTTATGTGAAGAACTAGGTGAGTGCCAGACCATCCATTAACTTTCGCCTTATCTATGGCTACACACAGGCACGGGAAAGACAGTGATGATCTTGGGCCTGGTTCTTGCAACTGTCGATCAGCTACCTCAGCCAGAAGAATCGCTATTGGACTACCGCCCTATCATGTCTCCTTTGGCCTACCGCACGTTTCCCGCAGATGAGTACCTTCAGGCTCGAAGAAGGGCTGGCACGCACAAAAGTTCGACGCTCGATGCAGCGCGCGTTCCATCTCTCGTTGAAATTCTTCTTCACCGCATAAGGACATGGGGTGACAGGGTGGACGTACGACCATACGAAGAACAGCTAGAGGCATCTAACCTCTGGCAGCTCCTTCAAGCCAACACGCCGTTTTATCACCACTACCCTGTTAAATCACCCATGCGTGCTCTTGGCCATTCTCGCACAAGAGACCGAGCCTCGGAATATCCCCGACTTATGTATCTAACAACAGCAACACTTGTTGTTGTGCCCGTCAACCTACTTGGACAGTGGGACAGGGAAATCCTGAAACATTGTCGTAGCACTTTAAGACATCTTATCATCCGACGGACAACGCAAATCCCAAGTGCGAGGGTTTTAGCGTCTGATTATGATGTACGTAGCATTGTCTCCGCGTCGACACGGCATCGCTGATCTTTGTATTTTGAAGCTAATCGTGATGACGGACAGCGGTGCGTTTCTGTACCACATATGTTGCTGGTGCTTATTGTGTTTAGGTTTCCGCAGAGAATCGGCGAAGAACAAAGTGGTTCATTTGCACAGACTCAAACCCTGCACTTGTGCTCCATTTCCTGGCAGTCGCGTACCGAACTGCTGTTGTCCCGGCGATCCCAGCTGTTTCGCCTCTCTTTCAAATTCGCTGGAAAAGGCTGGTGATCGACGAAGGTCATACCTCAGGGAACATGGCCGCGACCTTAAACTATTTCGTTCGCGAGCTAAGCATCGAACGGAAATGGATTGTCACTGGAACGCCGACGTCGAATATTCTAGGGCTGAGCTTGGGCCGCAAGCAGGATGACGACATCGAAGATGTGATTAGGGCTGACAGGTTCTACTCATTGCCCATACCTGCTACAACGGATGGCTCTGCATCTGATACCTCTTCGATTTCGGATTGTGGCGCAGAGAACGCAGTCCGGATATGGGGGACGTACGACTACGTCAACTTACGAAAACTCGGGACGATGATCAGCGACTTTCTTGCAGTTCCCCAGTTCCATTCTGATCTCAAACTGTTCGGTAGCCATGTATCTGCTCCCCTGTGCGATCGTCGTGGGCCTCGCGTAGGCGCAATCAAAGTACTGAGTCAGGTCATGGAAATGGTCATGGTTCGACACAGGCAAGTCAGTTTACATGCTGATAGCGACGTGTAAGGCTCATCTTATCCAGGATCGAGGACGTCGAGGAGGAAGTAGTTCTACCTCCCATGCGGCATACACCCATCTACATGGATCTCGATGCCTACGCTGCGAAGTCTTACAATGCAATGCAAGCCAGCATTGCAGTTAACGCTATTGACTCTGAACGCGAGGGTCAGGTGCGTGTTAGGTCGTGTTACCTGAAATTTCGCTCACGTTGCTTGAAGGATTACATCTTCCACCCCAGGGTGAAAACTTGCAAATCCATTGGCACGATTTGAATACTGACTTTTAATTTTACACCAGAACGCGAAGAATCTTCAGAATGCCATGGACAATTTGTCACAGTACGTCCTTGACCCCCAGAAAAATCACCGACGATTAATTAAGATCAAACGCAGAGGGATGTTCTGGTCGGCGTCCGATATTCTGTACAACGTCGATCAAATACGCTATAGTGCCCCCGAATTTCGGTCTCGTGCTGTGGCAGCCAAAGTGCCTGATCATGACATGGCGCTATTGGAACAAGCACTAGCACATGCGTTAGTCTGCTCTGCTTGTCACTGTATACTGAAAGCTTAGCGACGTCTGGCAGAGAGGCGGCAGCGAAAGATCCTCTGTGGCGTGCCATGCAACTACAGGAGGATGTCCCTTTCCATGTCACGGGGATGGACGCAGCTGTATTTGAAGGTTGGACACGGGGAAAGTTGAAGGACAGATCTCGTGCTCACGATCTCATGCATGCTAACCGGCTCTGTGAACTACGAGCTCTCGTTCGCAACCGACCATTGATGAACCTCGATCGATTGGTTGAGGAGGGTAAGGCAGTTGGACATGAATGAACGAGCACGATGCGAGAAGAAATCTACACAACTGCATGATGTCACAAATGCTGCACAGATGAAGAAGATGGTGTCAGAGGTTAAAGACGAGTTGGAAGTCATGAAGGAGAAGGACAAAGTATATCAAGCAGAGGAGGTGCTTGGAGGAGACGTTGACGACTTCGTTCGCCGCAAGTTGGGGTATCATGCTGCGCCTTTGCAATCCGATCTACTCAGCGCGTCGCCGTTGTCAGGAACAATTGTCGGGCCATCTCTGTCCACCAAGCTGAACTTCATCATGTCCGAGGTCAGTACAAAATATTGGGTACCATCCTACCTCTCATCATCCTTTCTAGGTTCTGGAGCATTCAGAGAAGGAAAAATTCCTCATATTTTCTAATTCGCCGCTCACTCTTGCCCATATCTCAGAGGCACTCTCTTTGATCGAGATCAAGTACCTCCGATATACAACATGACGTGTCTCCCCCACTGCGAGAGCAATGCGTCATGACTTTTGAGTCATCTGATACGTTCCGTGTTTTCCTGATGGAGTTGAAGCTCGGCGCTCGTGGCTTGTGCGTATATTTCATTGGTACTTTTGAATCGTTGTTAACTAGACCCCAGGAATTTGATTTCTGCTTCCCGAGTTATCTTCTGTGAGCCAGTCTGGCACCCAGATGTCGAGGCCCAGGCCATAAAGGTCAGAAAATAGACCAGATCTATCGATCACCTTCTGAACAGAATTCACAGCGAGCGCATCGTATCGGACAGATAAAAGCCAATCACTGGTAACTTCTTCCTTGCATTATGCTTGATGGTTCAGTTCATCACATCACTATCAGTTAGTGAAAACTCTCGTGATTCCGACACACTGCAGAGGAGGCGATGGTCTCTAGACGTCATATTCTGAAGGGGTCTGGCAAAGGTTCCGAGGATGACTACTGAAGTGGGGATGCGCCATTTCATGGAGGTACATGCAGCTCGGTTCCACTATGCTATGGTATCACTCATAAAATCACCTATTTCCTTAGAACCCTCGCTTCTTAGGTGTTTCCAACAGAGCCACACCATTCCTCATCATCGATACAGATCCCCTTGCTAACGCATGCAGAACCTCGAGCGCAGAACACTCACGCGTCGGAGGATCTAGCCACATCGTCCGCCCCAACTCTCAACGTCATCGATAGAATCAGTCAGACGATAAAGTGGAACGGGCTCTGAAACGACCTCGAACGGTCAGGTTCGCGGATTGATAGTGAGGCTTACTTCGTAGCTATGACCCAGCCACCATGTATTGCGCTGCGGTTGTCGAATGATCTCAATTTGTTCGCGCTTGCGGTGTTTATTCTTCTGCAGAGGTTGACTCTGCGAGACTCCATCAATCGTAAGTCTTAGGACCAACTGCAAACCAGCAGGTCAAAGGGCAATTATATGCGTACGAGTCAATAAATGATATCCGTAAGATTAGCACGAGCTTGATTAGAGGGAACACTTCAACACTCGTACTGAACAAAATGTGAGGCCTTGAAATTCCACACTCGTTCATGAACAGGTTGGTTTCAGGGTGGTTTGGTGTATACAGACAAGCGTCATTATCGCCAATTGCGTGGACGATTTCGGGGCAGATGCGGAATCTAGCAGACGCACAAGACTTCATATGCAAACACGAATCTGATTGCACAACAGATGTTACATTCACAGAAGGATATATCAAGAGCAAAGTCACAACGCAGCCTATACAAGACACCTTAATCATGAATAAACCGCAGCTTCGCGCCATTTGCTACTCGTGTCCAGACGTCAATAGCTTCATACTGGAAACGACTGTCAGAAAGGCCCGGTTACCAGATGCCCAGTCACTCACCTCAGCAATGGTATCATTAAGCTGCGCCTCGGTATATCCAGCACCCAACACACGGGACCGAACATCAATGAGCGCGAGCTCTTCCCCATCATCCTCATCTTCGTCTGAGTCCACGTCCATCTCGCGTTCCCCACCAGGGCCCCGGCCAAACCTCTTCTGTCTCTTTCTCCGTTTCCGCCCGCCCTCGCTCGACAGGCTTTTGATGAGCCTGAAGATCTGACTGACAACAGACCGATCAGGCTCGTACTCCTTGTCCTCGTCATCTTGCAGGCTCTCTTTGCTGCACTCCATAAGCCGCAGGGCCTCGTCGACATCATCTCGCTGCACGATGTCTGCAAAGCGCAGGCGCGCGAGGGATTGTGCCAGACGGAGCACACCGAGAAGCGTACGCGCGGAAGTGTACGTGTGGGATTTCTTTTGTGCGGCCTCGTCCTTCGAGAGTTTGCGAAGGCGGACATATGAGTCGACGATGTAGCTGGAGACATCTGAGGGAACGGTAGGACGGCGTTGGCGGGCTTGGGCGATGTAGTGTCTGCCAGGCGGCTCGTTAAATTAGAATAACGGTTGGGATGGATGTGCTCACCTCATAAGGACAGGGTCAACAACATCGTACTCAAGCTCTGGATGCGAGTTGAACATGTGCACATGGGTCACATGTTGCGCCAGCCGTTCGTCATCTTCTCTCGTCGGTTTGTCCAGGATGAGGAATAAAAGATCGAAACGAGATAGGAGCGCAGCGGGCAGGTTGATGTTTTCGACTGGCGACACTTTCGGGTTGTACCGACCATACAGAGGATTCGCAGCTGCAAGTATGGATGTGCGGGCATTCAACGTCGTGGATATTCCAGCTTTTGAGATAGAGATTGTTTGCTGCTCCATGACTTCGTGGATCGCGGTTCTGTCTGTTTCCTCCATCTTGTCGAATTCATCGATGCAACAAATACCATTATCAGCGAGAACCAGTGCACCACCCTCTTCAGTGCTGTCAGACCAGGTATTTAGAAAGGGCGAAGGGAAACCCACCAAGAACCATCTCATCAGTAACTGGGTCTCTCATGACTGCGGCTGTGAGACCAACTCCTGATGAACCTTTACCCGTGGTGTAGACCCCTCGGGGAGCGATCTTCGAGATGTACTTCAGTAGCTGTGATTTAGCCACACCAGGATCACCCATCAAGCATATATTGAGGTCGCCACGAATCTTCATCCCATCGCCCATCGTCTTCGTTACACCCCCCACAAGCAAAAGTAGTAAGGCTTTCTTCACATCAGTATGTCCATATATTTCAGGCGCAATGTTCTGGGCGAGCTTGTTGTACAGCGATGGGTCGGCCTGCATCTCCGCGATCTGTGCTTGTATTTGTGGCGTCATTTCCATGTCACTGTATTGCTTCTTGAGCTGGTGGATGTGGTGTCCTTCGAGGTAGGTGTCGGTGAGCAGCCCAGCTCGAATGGCTTGGAATCCAGTGTATGGAATGGGGAGGAAGATACCCCCGAGGTGGACAACATCACCTGGATTCATTTGACGCGTCAGGTTGCCATGCACGTGTATGGTCATGGATCGGGGGATGTGTCCTACTGGCACTTGGTCGGCCTGGCAGTTGTTAATGACCATACAAAAGCTGGGTGGCGGGAACTCACCATCTCTTGAATCTTGACTTCTTGGAAAGGACTGAACCGACACGCTCGAGTCTGCATGTGAAGGGAGCCGCGTATACCGTTCTTTTTGCATTCCTGCTCGTTTGGACAGTCCGTAATGGGCGAGAAGGTTTTGCTGGATATCTGCTGGAACGATTCGGAACCGCAAACATCGCACGTGTAAGCGTTTACGAGGAGCAGTGGCTTGACTTCTGACACGCGGGTAACGATGCCACGAACGGTGATCAGCCTGCCAAGATAGGTCCCCTTGACTTCTCGGACGGCCAGAGCAACGTCAGAGCGAAGAGGCTGGAAATAAAGGTTGCTTGAACGCAGGGTTAACCCTAGAACGTGCATTGGCAATGCCACCACGTACTATCGCCGCAAGAGATGGGCAGGGAAGCCCTCCTGACTGCCTTCAGTCTGCTCATTCCGCTCTCGCCTTTGATGCAGGATGACATCGATAACCTCATCGTGTTCACTGATGTCCTTGGTTGGAGGCGGCATGAGCTTGTCCACAGCTTCACTGAAAAGTGCGATGTAGCGCCGAGTGTTATTTCGTATCCGAGATACCAGTTCAGCAACAGTTTTCTCGTGCTGTACAATGATCAGAACCACTGCATATCAGAGAAATGCAGTGATCTCTTACCTGATGTATGTCTTCCAGGTCAATAGTGAGCATCTGCTGCTCACGATTTGATATCCGTTGCTATTGAATCAAACATTGAGCGAAGTCGCGTTCCGATTCCTGCATAACACGTACAAGCTGCTGCATATATTTGAGACTTTTCCTACTAGCATCTTGTCCATCGTCCTCGTCATCGCTGAGCGCCATATCTGCGAAACCCTCGTCCCATTGCTTGTTTATGCCCACATAGGTGGACAAAAAGCTCTGTATTTTATCTAGAGACGCATGAGTTTTATTTAAAACCAGTCAATCGAGTAAACAGACCTAGTTCATCGTCGTAATTAATGGGTATGTTGAGCACCGGGAGGGACATCGTGTGTTGTTGATAATATACAACTTACAAGTCGCGTCAAAGGCGCGTCTGTCACAACCAGGTCAGGACGTGACATTGTTGTCACGCCCGATTTAAACGTATGTATTGAGCCTGGGGCCTGGGCCCTGGCAGAATGTGAAGTCGGGCTTCCAGCTCGACGCTTCAGAATCGAAGAATAAAATTTCTCTTTGCTCTACGAGATGGTCTAGTCATCGTTCTTACAAGTAATTCTAGACAATACTTAAGCCGGACGTATAAATGCTACAACTTTCGTACCATTCCATTGACTCCAGTTGCCCACTGAGCACCAGCAGACCTCCCATCATCGGCCGGTGAACCTAATTTCAAGCGCACGCAACGGAAGGTAAGTAACAGCCGAAAAGGCTGCTGCGAGCTGTACGAGATTTTTTGAATCGATCCATGTCCAAAACAGCCAAGGATCATGCACACCTCGAACCCGATCTCTGCTCCTACCATCTTTCCAAGCGGGCCTGTATAAATCACCTACGATAAAGTTGACATGGGAGCAATGCGACCAGATACAGCGCCGATGACCCACCTGTGACATGCCAATGACAGCACCTGCGACACCAAAGCACCCCGCAAGTAAACCCGCCACGCCTACTGGTAGCCTTTAGAAGTGAAGGGATGACGATGAAGTCAACATCTTCATCTAACAGACCCAGCGGACTCACTTCGATGGCGTATCATAGTCATCCAAGTTATACCCCCCAAGTGACCCGTTTTTCCGCCGGAAGATGAAGTGCTCCTCTGCTACGATGACGATAAAAAATGCCGTCCAGTCACTGAGGATTCGGAGGAAATTAGAAAGAATAGCACTAAAGTGCTGGCGACCAGAAACGCCAGCTATAGTGTACGCCACGAAAGCGAGAAATACCCAGAAGAAGCGCGGAATGATGGCAAATGGGTGCCCAAGTGCCTGCATGGACAAGCCTGCGGAGTAAGTATTTGGGATGTTGTTGGCACTGTCACTGGTTAGTGCGAACATGCAAAAGCATTCACTCTTTCTTACACGACAGAAAGCGCGAGCAGGACGAGGATGAACTGGCCAAAGTGGTGCCACGGAGAGAGGACCTGTGCGACGAGGCCGCCTGTCGAGCCGCCTTCGAAGGCCGCAACGTACGCGGGATCTGTGATGGTCATGAGGGCCGTACCAAGAATCTCGACGAAGCAGATAGGTATGAACAAGCCGAAGAACGTCAACAGGAACACGCGCATGGGTGGTGTATTGTGAGGCAGCCGACAGTTAAAGTCCGCCGCGATTGGCGCCCACTGGTGGCCGTTTATTTAGCACTCGATGTGAAAGGAGGTAAGTGATGATAGGACCCACCCCTGTGAACGAGCCGAATATGATCCCGCCAAAGCTGAGAATGTCTGCTGAGAGGGCGCGCCCTGTATCCTCGAGCGGTTTTTGCGCGTTGATGTCATATCCGGCTTTCCCGCCAAGGCCCCAGAGGAAGAGCATGCAAATCAGGGTGACTATCCACGCATAGCGCTCGTAGACGTGCACCATGTTGTACCCGATAAAGCAGGGGATGAGGGAGCACACGCCAATGATGATGATGCCAACGACGGAGGGAAGCGTTCCAGGGTTGATATTCGAGAGCGTTTGACCTCCGAGTATGACGGTTGTTGTGGCAAAGCCGAGTCTAGACAAGGCTCAGCAAAATGATATAAATATGAGCGTGGACAAACTCACTGGGTGAGGACATTGAGGACCGAGTATATGGTACAACCGAAATATCCCGAGCTGAACCGGGTGATGATCATGGTGCGGAGGCCAGTTATGGGGCCGAGGGTAGCGATAAATGCTGTTGCGACGGCGCCGAGGGTGCCAAAACAGAGGATAGTCGCTACAGCATTGCTTGGAGAGAATGAGTATGGTTGCCGCACGACGCCCAGCGACTCTGACACACCCAAAACTCAAAGCAAAAGTTGATTGTGCGAGCACGCCAATGGGAATGATATCAAACACCGTGTTAACAGACCTACATAGAAGTCAACTACAGGAAGCTTAGGATGACGGTCGGCTTGAAGCAGACTGACCACCACATGAGGAGGCTACACTAGGCTTAGGTCAGGAATACGAATAAAACTCAGATACGCACTTATTCCATGCATTTTTTGATTCTCTCTGGTTTTCTGGCACACGCTCTACTCCACGGGCCTCGACACCACTAGCAAAGAGTTTTGAAAGAAGAGGACTCGATTTACCAAAGCGTCTTGCGATCATGCGATCCGGCGCTGCCTCGACTGCGTACGCAGCTTCAGCATCTTCAAACGCAGATTTCTCCTTGTCCCCTGGGTAGTAGTCTGGGGAGGTAGACATGGTGGTCGCGGGCAGATATGCAGAACTGGAACGTCGAGCATGCAATTACCAAGTATTTCAACAGTGCATTGCGAAGAGGGATGTGCTGGCTATTTGCTGGCATCTATTGAATGCTTTGGCATTAAAGAGTTCCAGAGAGCATGATTTTGGATAACCAGCCGACCGGCAGTCGCAACGTCTTGCTTCGATGAATTACTTCAATGATGCGCGCCACAACGGTGCATTGTGGCGCCCCCAAACTGCGCTTGACTAACTAGGCAGTACCGGAGCCGGTCCATAACTCACAATGACATTTAAAACTTTGCTCCAGATCCAAAAGTTCAACTGTACGGTAGTACAGACGCAGCATCAGTGAATAACCTGCTCAAGGTCGCATTTGTGTCCGGAGGAACGGAAGACCGGTCCGCATCACGTCCGTTCGAGTTTTAATAACGCGGGCCCGTTCTCGTTGCATTCATTGACGTCCTATCTGCTTCTTGATTTACCGACGTTGCTCCGAAATGAATTGATAATCCATGGTGTGCTGTCCATCACTTGAGTCAAGTCTGTGAATCAACCAGTGAGGAAATGGATCTATCATGAAAGTTGATGAAAAGACAATCACTGTTAGTGGATGCATCGTGCAAAGCTCCTGCCACTGAAGACACGACAGCTGCAGCATCGCAAGTGGACCCGAACCCAAGAGCATCAATGACGAATCCGATGTAGAGACTTTTGGACGCTTTGCCAGCGGCTTACTCGCACACGACGGTGGCACCGTGGGGGCGTTGTTTGTCTGTTTGGCGGACATCAGGCTCCATCTGTCGAGTCGTTCCAAACTCAGGTGGAGGGCAATTATGAGTAAACAACCTTATGTGAAACAACCTTTCACCTGTAGCTGTACTTACCACTGACTCAGTAGACCCAGAGCAGAAGAGTGCCAATGGCGGCCCCGGCGTTCTGGAGCGTTTGCCAGCCGATTATGATGGCGGTATAGTGCTGTTCATCTGTTTCGAGCATTTGTGCCCAAATTGGTCCCAAGTTCCAGCTGCAGGTGAAGGATTATCGATTATTGACGAAATTCGGGCTGATCATTCTTCAACTGGACCAGGTAAATATTGTTGGGCAGCACCCACGGTGGTGATGGAAATATACTTGGCCAGCTCAGGCTAGCTCAGGTCTGAGATTTGAGTAGTCACGTGGTAGTAAGAAACGATGAGTTTTTATCGTGTCAATCACAACTTGACAGGCCCCAAGAGCTCAAAGCTCAAAGTGTGTTTAAGTGGGAAACTAAAACTTCAAATACAACAACACGATCGTGGACTTGTCTGTGCAACAACCGAAGATTCCGACAAAATGGCGGTCTCGTACCATAGCCGCGCATCATAGTGGGAGTTCTCCATCTAACAAGAACGTCCATAGAGCGTCCGGCCTCTTGTAATCATGATGCACGATGCTCACCAGCCACCGCTCCTTGCGAACACAATTGAGTAGCTCTCCTTCGTCGGATCCTGGTGGGTAGAAGGATGCCCACTCGGCCCAGATGGAGAATGCTTCATCCTACATTGATGTTATCAGTACAGTACTACAAGTGGAATGGGTCTGAAGGGGACGCATACCTTCCACGTCAGGAAAGATTCACGCTCGATTATGGTCGTCTGAGTAATTTCTTGCCCGGGGAACATACCCCACGTGACTGCGTTCCGGCCATCACTCGGTACGTTACTTATACATTCTCCCTGTACCTGCATGAGCCTGCAAAAATGGTGCAATATTGGAGGGCATGCTCACTTGCAGATTCCCGGCGAAATAGTGCACCCAACCTCTCCCCTCCGCTTCGACCTTCTTTTCAATCCTCTCCAGATCTTTCTCTTCCACGAAGAACTCCACGAAACTTTTTTGGTAAACATACCCGCCTCTCGGACCCCATCCGAAGACTTCATCCGTAGAGTGCGCCCCGTCTACTGCAGGCTGCGAACAAACGGTCCACCATCCACGCTTCGTGAGTTGCTCGAGGTGCGGCAGGATGGTTAGCGACTCTGAAGAAAGTGGCAAAGAGGAAAATGGAGACGAGGACACCTCGGAATGGAGGTAGCGCAGGAAGAGCGAAGTAAGGTCATCAGTACTTTTGGGATGACCCCATTCACCTTTGTACTGCTGTGCAAACTGTCAGTACGCTAGTTGGGTTAGGTAGAAAGAGAATTCGCACACAAAATCCAGTCCCGCCCCATTGATCTTGGGTACCGAACGCGGGACTCTTGTAATCACCGAAACGACCGTTCGGAAAATCGTCCCATGTCGCTGCATGATTCAGCTCGCCTCGGCCGGGCTCTGGGTCCAAGGTTTGCTTAAACGTTAGCGCATTTGTTGCTGTGTTTGTTGCTGTGGTGGGATCGATGACCAAATCAGAGGAGGTAGCGAGCTGAGCATGGATCATCGGTCCTGGCGCATCCTGAAACAATGATCAGCAGATTGACCTCAAGCATAGATGAATGGGACTTGCAGCGATCAATTTATTCTTCGTTATCGGGCTCCCGCCTGCCCATTGCAGTTTCTCTATAACAAGCTGGACGCTCTTCTCAAGATTTAGAGTGCAGAAGTGAATTCCCTTGATTTTTCCTGTGGAGGTAATTTTTCGAATGATGTCAACAGCAAGTCCTATGCCGTAATCCTTCACAAGCTGGTCATCATGCTGTTCTCCGATTAACGGTGAAAATGTGATACACGACTGGGGTACTCACACAGATTGGCTCAAGAGCAGCCATAACGGAGGGGGGAACCTTGACACCGCATAGCTTTATCAAGCGCAAAAAGGAAGAATAAGTTTGAATGGGCATGACGCCAGGTATGATTGGTACAGTGATGCCTGCGATTCAATTAGGAGGTCATAAATGACGCAGAGTTTGCTACTAACCTTTTGCTCTAACTTTGTCTACCCATTCGAGAAAAGGATCCGCGTCATAGAATAGTTGCGTGACAATAAAATCTGCTCCCGCATCGATCTTCTCCTTCAGGACGTTCAGGTTACCATCTTCATCAGTATCGTGGTCTGGATGACCTTCAGGATAGGCTATTGCACGTATGTCAGTAATGTGAACTTTAAAGTTGAAGGCACTTACCTGCAACGCCAATACAGAAGTGGGAGGAGAACTCTGGAGAAGAACGGATATACCTTACAAGGTCAATTCCATGAGTAAAGCGAGAGTCGACGGGCGTCCAATGCTCGGTTCCCCGCGGTGGATCTCATGTTAGTCATTAGCAGCATGAACAATCGAACGAGAATCGCGGTGCTCACCACCACGCAGCGCGAGTATATTCTGTATACCCCGCACTTTTGCCGCCTGTCAGGTGGAGGTTTACCATGCTCGGGTACTTCGTGGGAAGTAACTCACCCTAAGAACATCATCCACCATCCCTGGGACCATATTCGTGCATGTCAAGTGCAAAACGGTGTCGATTCCATAATCTGATTGGGTCAGACCTGCGAGGTCGATTGTCCGGTCCCTTGTCGAACCCCCAGCTCCCCATGTTACACTTATTGCAAGAGGGTTTAGAGTTGACAGGCGCGATATACGCGGAATTAGATTCTCGAACCCCTGATATAGATTCATGAAGGACGTGCGCAATAAGGAAGTACCACACTAACCTGGTCAGTCCGGGGGGGAAAGAACTCAAAGGTGTAGAAAGGGTGCGACAAGTTGTACGCCGCAATCTTGTCTGAAAGTTTCATTGCATACCCTATCCAAAGTACGCCGAAATCAATTTAGTTGCAGAGCCGTCGGTGTTGATGGCAGCGATGAGCACGACTACCTACGCCACGTGGCTTACATACACTGGCAGTCATAACCTAGTAAACACGGATAAACACACTGCCGCAATGGAAGAGTTCAGCGCGACCGACTCTCACATCCAGAAGACTTTAGCAGGCACTTGGCAAGGCAATCGTCCCATCTTATTATTGTTGTACACGGTCTAGGCTCAAGTCAGGATCGTACCCCACCAATGGATTCTCCTTCGACACCCGCAACCGCTGACTTCTCCTCGACGCCTCCGAAGCGCACCAAGATTGTCCTTCTTGGCGACCAGAGCGTCGGGAAGACCAGTCTCATTCACCAGGTCAGATACGCTATATCCTAAGCACGAGCCCGCTTACTGACGCTGGCGTAGATTCATGTACGATACGTTTGACAACACCTACCAGGCCACCATCGGCATTGACTTCTTGAGCAAGACTATGTATCTGGAGGACCGGACGGTGCGGTTACAGTTGTGGGATACTGCCGGACAGGTGCGTATGATGTGCGGTAGTTGGTTGTGTTGGTAGCGGTCGGCTGATCTGTATTGCCCCAGGAACGTTTCCGTTCACTAATACCATCGTACATCCGAGATTCGTCTGTAGCTATAGTTGTGTATGATATTACAAGTGAGTAAGTCCAGTTTATAGGGGTTTCCAGATGCTAAATGCTGGAAAGATCGCCAATCCTTCCTCTCCACGTCAAAATGGATAGACGACGTTCGGTCAGAACGGGGGAACGATGTCATTATTGTACTGGTTGGTAACAAGGCCGATTTATCGGACAAACGGTGTGTTGAAGTATCTCTTTTCGTTCTGTAGCACGAGGTCGTCTGACACGTCAATCAGTCAAGTTACGGTAGAAGAGGCAACTTCGAAATCGACACAAATGAACATCATGTTCATGGAGACATCAGCAAAAGCTGGACATAATGTGAAAAGCTTGTTCAAGAAGATTGCGCTCTCATTACCTGGGATGGAGAAAGAGGGCCAAGCAGATGCCCAGAATACAAGTACGCTTTCTCGTGCCGTGTCGCTGATTCAGCATTTGACGTTTTCATTGTAGAAATCGACGTTACGACACAGCAGGCTGCCGCCGTACCAGAAGCATCACAGTGCAATTGCTGATCCACCGTTTCCCACGTGATGATACGTGCTACCCCTCGTGATATTATATACCCGATTTGCTTGCCCACAACCACCAAATCGATGAGTCTTTACGAATTATTTGTGACACAATGCAACAGACTGTCTCGTTTCCCGTCGCTAGCCTTCTTCAGCCGCGATTCATTGTGTTCCCCGCTCCACGCGGATTAGCGTCCTTGAACTGTGCCCACTGTTCGTCCTTCTGTCGTTTCTCCTCCAATTTCATCTCACCGAAGACTGCACCATCCATTTCGGAGTCAATCGCCAGTTGTTCTGACGAGGTTGGCTGTTCCTCGGATTGTGGGCTGCGCAAATTAATTAGTGTCTTTGTAACTGAAACGGTGAGAACTCACCCTCCCCCTGTGAGAATGTTGCCGCGTTCTTGTTCAATTTTGAGGTACTCGTCTATACTCATCGTTGGCAGACGGTGACCAGGTCCGAAGACCTGGGCTTGTAGACGTGCGCGATCTGATGCGCCCGCGGGGAGGATAGTAAATGGCCTTAGGGGCTGTCACGACGATCAACTTCATTGGCCGGTGGTAAGGCAATATTTTGTACCTTTCCGCTGGAGTCAAGTAACGGTCCGCTCTCACCAATCCGAGATCTTGTGTCTAGCTTCCACATGTCATCTTGCTCCTTGAGTTTATCTTTCCTGTCGTCTACGGGCGGTTCCAGGCTGGGAGGAGGTGGGGCACTACGCAGGAGTTCGAGCTCCTGGTTCATGCTCTCGAGTTGAGAGTATGCTTGGGCATAGTTTAGTCGTAGCAGCAGCAATACTGCTTCTCGTAGGATCTCGTCTGTCTCTGAATCATCCTCGTCTTCGTCGCTCACTTGAGGAGCCACAGTTGACGGGAGTAATGACCGGATGAGATCAAAGTCAGTTTGGGGCAGGTCTCCCATAGGTGCCTGTTTCCGTCGTTTTCTTACAGCTTCGATTCGCGCACGCAAGTCCTTCTCAGCCTTGAACTGCTTGATCTTGACCTCTCGCCGTTTGGCCGCATCCTTTATGGAGGATGCGCTTTGTGCATACAACGCACGCTCTACTTCAGGTACTATGCAATAAGTGTCCAGATCATGGATGAATGATCTCAGATGGACCTGGTCACAGTTTAAGACATGTTGATTTATCGATAGAAATAGGAAATTTACCTGCGTCTGCTGAAGAACGGTCATGCGCTCGTCCCTATCCGTTGTCTTCACGCGATTCTGGACTTCAGCAAGAACATATCGTGCAAACAAGTACACCATATTCCTAGTTGATATATCCTCAAGGACCTCATTGGAACTGAATAACGAAAGAGCTGCAACGCGCCGGTTCAGCTCCTTGAGATCAGTTACGGCTGATTGGATTAGTTCCTTTGTAGTATTGTCAAATAACAATTATGGATAATATGCGGTGCATAACAAAAGCACACCTGTGTTTCATCGTCCACAGTGGACAGATTCAAGGCCTTTGAGGCTGTTGCGAGTGCCCTAGAGAATAGAGTGGGTAAGGGAAGTGTGCTGGTCATAGTGTCTCAAGAGTTTCCTGGGGTCCTGCCTACCCATCTTGATTCTTCATACAACTCTATATATTAGGGGTACTTGGGGGTCAACCCGCGTTCTATCGCGTCTTTCCTTGACTCTTTAGACTTTAACACATTTCAGTTTGCAATTTCTTAGTCTCTTACCATTAACTTCAACGACTAACAGGCCTCTTTTCGTGCGCGTGTGCTGTTCATATAGACACAGCCTATGAAAAGAATTTCCGTGGAAGAAGGATCTCCTCCGAAAAGGCCTCGCCTGGAGTCAGGAGATGACAACCTATTCGATGAAACACGTCGAAAGAATGCAACCGATCTCCTCGACCCCGCAACGGATGAAACTGGCAATCTCGAAGCCACGGTATGCATGGTTTTTCCTTGCATTGGTGCGGGACGCCAGCTGAACCTCGAGATGCATGAGCACGGCGACAATTACCGCTTTCTCGTTTTCATCGCCTCCGAAGTCGATAATTTACATCCCTTCCCATTCCGTGTTGGTAGCAGAATTTGTCTTTCTCTCAAAGGCGCGCAGATTCGGGGAAGGGCGCAATCTTCTGCCCCTTGCTATCTCCCCGTCGCGCTCACATTCAAAGATGGGATCGCAATCAAGCTTATGTCAGGACCCGAAGCAGGGAAGGTATTCAACACTTGGGAAGGTAACCTTTTAATATTGTGTCATTTTCACAGAAGTAATTTACCGTTGACGTGACCTTCCTACCAAAATCATCTAGTCGACTGGTTTAACGCTACCGTCAACATTCCCCGCGTCGCCGACATTGCCATGCAAGATTCCATAGATTTCGCGAAGATGCCGAACACAAATTCCCCGTCTACAAGCCCGCAGCCTGAAATTGTTGCTCAGAAGGCGCGAGAAGAACCAGCCCATATTCTTCCGTCCCATCAGCATCGCAACTCCTCAGCCGGGCGGGATTCCACAGGCTATGTGAAGGTGTTGAACACGGATTCCTCGGTCAATAGCCCGCAGCCTGAAACCGTTACTGCTCAGAAGCCGCGAGATGAACCAATTCCTGTGCTTTCGTCGCATCAGCATCGCAGCTCCTCGATTTCCAACCTTCCTCAGTCCGGTGCGCAGCCACCGAAAACAGAGCTTACAATAGCGCAGAGGCGCAGGAGGAAAAAGCAAGCACGTAAGGCGGAACTGATGGTCCAACCCGCTCTTGAGGCCAGGCCGGAATCAGGTGGGTGCGAGATGGCGGCACCTCAAGCAGAGGCAGCTGCTTCACGAGCTCCATTATCGCCCCCCACCGTTGTGCGGTCACTATCACAGGCACCATCCAACGAGCACACAAGCTCTAGTTCTGAACAGACCACTTCATCGCCATCAAACAGGTCGACCCCAATGACGGCGACAATGTCCTCGCCGCCTCCTGCGAATGATCCCGCACGCAATCGTCGACAGGGAGCGCTGGCCATGAAGGCTGGAGTGAAAACGCAAGCGGTGAGTTTCGTGCCTTCAGAGTAGTCTAACGAGTTTATTTGAACGCCGTCTTTAGGGAGACGACATCATACCCATTAAGAAGATCGAACTAGGACTGGGATTCTTCAATATCATTGGCGTAGTTACGTCATCCAAGTCTCCGACACTAACGCGAAAACAGGGTGGGATTTTTGTTATCAATGCTCAAAGTTGACTCATGGATGACCGCCGTAACAGAATGGCACCGGACTTTCTCCATTGTCGACCCGTCCTGTATGGAAGATGATGTGGATGTTGTAAATCATCGTTTGATCGTCAATTGCTTCCAGAAGGAGTACATCGAGTGGCTCCCTCAGGCTGAAGTTGGAGATATAGTCATCTTTCGGAGATTGAAGGTATTGATCAATCCCTTGCACAACTCTTTCACTCGCTCACGAGAGTTGTTAAGACCAGCACGTTCGGTGGCGGGCTCAATGGTGTCGGGTACTGTGATAAGCTGCGCTGGGTTACCTATGACACCCAAACCCGGCGTTTCCGTGATCCTGACAGAAAGGACGCCCCGCATTCCGAGACATCAGGCGAAGGATTTGGGTATTCGTTCTCACCTTACTATGAGCCGAGTATGCAAGGCAAAGAAGCAGAGTACTGCGCTCGGCTTGCCGATTGGTGGCAAGCAGTACAGACGATACAGCAAGGTATCACGTCCGTGCAGTGTGTCGCGCGCCCTTCACGAGAACATCACCTCATCTCGGAGCTAACATCGGACACTTCCCCTCAAGGTTATTTCGATTGCACCGTCGAAGTGAGTCTACAAACGACTCGTCGTAAATGTGAAGCTAATGAAAGCATAGATTTTGCACGTCTATGAAAATAACAGTGGGCCTAACACCGTGTATGTGACCGACTACACCGTAAACCCTCACAGCAGCCCCACACAAGCGAGCTGGTGTTCGCCAGAACTGGCCCCATATGTATTCAGAATCGAGATGTGGGATGACGCAGGGCAATTCGCAAAGACTTTGCAGTCCGGAGAATTCTGGTCCCTCCCGAACACACGCGTAATGGTAAACTCCACTTATCTTGTTGGTAAATTGGTGGAGATACATAAGTCACAAAAGCTTGACGAGGTGCAAAATGGTGCGAACCTGCACTTCCGTGCATTGCTGGAGTAAGTGGTGTCGTAGCCTTTACAAAAATCTCGTTTATCGCGTTCTCTCAGGCGGAAAAAGAAGTTTGAGCAGGGGGGCTCCTCCGCGCGGTTTGATAACAAGTTGATTGAAGACGTTGACGAAGAAGTGCGCTTCTTCCACTGCACGATTGAGGTGCGTCAGATAGAGAATTTTTCATTCACTTCATGACATGTTCTCTAGGTCCTTCATGTCGACCTTGCTTCCGTGGAAGAGCCGCTTGTTTATGTCACAGATTACACGTTCAATCCCGACCTCGTCAACCCGGCGGAGCCAGCACCATGGGCTCGTGGCCTTGACCGCCGGATCGTCAAGATTGTCCTGGAGGGTGGGCAGACAGGAAGAGCTCATGACCTTCAGCAAGGCGCAATGTATAGAATCAAGAATCTGCGCCTGATCAAGAGGACAGGTGTAAAGGGCTCTTTCGGGCGTCTAGGGGGTGACGAACGATTGATCATTCCAGCCAATGACCGCGAGAAGGAGGAAGTAAAAGCTCTTCTACAGTACGTGTCGGCGGGACTGTTGACATGTCGCTGGTCGTTGATATTCCCTTAACAGACGCAAGGAGAAGTGGAAGTTAGAGATGAAACGAGACGGGGTGTCCGTCGAATCAGTGGGTAATTCCCCGACGGAATCGCCCCCTCCTATGGCCGAGACATCAAGGAATTTGACTATGAAGCAAGTTATCGCCAGCAACGTCTGTCCAAACACATTCACATTCGTTGCGCGGGTGGCCGATTTTTATCCGTTGGATCTAGATCAAGCCACGTTCCTACGCTGCACGAAATGCAAGACCATGTCAGCGCAAGCCAATACTATCCTTATACGACGCTAATGTCGGTTTTCTGCAGCTTACGGCGGACCTGGAAAGGGTGCGTCGACTGCGATGACATGCTCGACACGCATTGCAAATGGTTCTACGGACTGTTATTCCGATTGGTAGATGATGAAGGAAACAAGATCGTGGTTTCTGCCAGTGAAAAATCGGTGTGTTTCTTACCTCATTTAGTACATCCTACCAGGCTCTGAGCAGCTGCAAAGTGTAAACTTCTATCTGGATTGCCTCCTACCGACTTGGAAGGGGATAAAGATGCTTTCGATCAATTAGTCGCTCGCCTACACCCCGTGATTGGCAACCTCAGACAAGTGCACGACGCATATGCAAAGAAGGACTTGCCAGTCGATACCCCGAAGATGCGTTTCACTGTCGAGAGCTGGAACGCGAAAGATGAACGGTGTTATGGACTTCTGGAGTGCACTCCGCTTTGATCTCACTCCGCTTTGCTCTCTCCTTGGACAACGGACTCTCCAGCTGATTGAGCTCGTAGACTATGCGTAATCCATTGATAATTTGTATTATAGTGCAGATAATTGTTCTGTGCACTGAAACAACCTGTAATACGAGTTATTGCTCAGCTTGCAATCGAAAAAGATGTCGGCAGCCTCGCTGACTGTGGAACCTAGCGTCATGGTGTCATGTGAAGGGTTCATGTCGTGGTCCTCGGTTGACCAGCTGTAGGAAATCGAGGGGCTTGAACGAGTATCCATTGGTTTCGGGGTGAAATGTCTCCAAAACCTCTCCAATGTTGAAATGTGCATCACCAAACATGATTGGTGCGCCAATTTAACACCATTAAGTCAATGCTTGGTAGGGCATTGTATCCCTACCATCGGACAAGCGCAGACGTGCGCCAGAAGTACGAACGTCCGGCACGGACATACATCGGGTTTCGAAAGTAAAATTCTGGGCGCACATATATGGTGATCTAGAAAACTCGGAACCGACCCATCTAACGAGCACAAAGTCTTCGACGCGGTGACCATGATTTGCAATAAGGTGCACACTACTTCCGAGACATGGGGCAAAATACTGACTGCTTTTCTGCGCGAGCCGAGAGATCTGCGGCAAATTCGAAAGCGGTGAAAATGAAATATTCAAAGCTGGAGTCTGAGCGCAGATCGAAAAAAATATGAGAAGATCGTTAAACTGAGCAATCCAAGATGCAAGCAAGCTCTCTTGTTGACGGAAACTGTATGATTCTGAGCTTCCGAATCGCCGAAATCGTTACGGAATGTCCTAGAATTTCTGTAAATCGGGGGTGGCCCTCATGCGGAAAGTCTCCTTATCGAGGGGATGTGTGACAAGGCGTCTGGAGGAATAAGAGGTAGAGATACGTCGATGCAAGCAAAACACTCACCGATAAGTACTGGGTAACAAGCATTTCGCGCTAGGCGCCGAAAGCGAAACACACCGCAATTCAGTTGTTGTCCCTTTCGAAAGCAGCTGGGAGTCGAGGGCAACTTGGGTTAATTGAAGTTCGACTGAGTTCACGAAAGCTTCGCAGAGACGCATAAAAACTCGTTGCAAGCTGGAGGCTGAAGTAAACGGAAATGGACCAGCCAACCATGCCAGTAGACTGAGGCTGTGAGCAAGGAAACCCACGTGCTGAGTCTACAGCATAGTCCACTTGATCTGAACTCAGCGATGACCTGAAGGAGATGCGACTTGGCCACTACTCACCATAGCGCATGTAAGTGCTTACTCCCCGCTCAACCCTCCTGCTGACCGAGACACAGAACAAGGTTCAATGGCAGACATCACTCACGAAGGTTCGTCCCGAGCGCCCACCCTGCCAACTCGAAAGGAACCACCTCATGTCGAAATGACGCTCAAGGGTCATAGAGAACGGGTGAGCGACGTGGCTTTCATCCCTGGCACTCGTCTCCTCGTCACTTGCTCCTTCGACAAGAGTCTTCGGGTGTGGGATTTTGACACGGGGAAACAAATGGGGGAGCCCTTGTTGGGTCACGATAACACAGTCTGGACGGTTGCAGCGTCCCCGAACGGGCGATGGATTGGGAGTGGAGAACGAATGGAAGCATCCTGATCTGGGAAGTTGAGACAAGGAAGAGCGTGCCCCTCTCGTTCAAGGGACATGTCAATGCCGTTCATAGCGTGATATTTGCACCAGACAGCGAGACATTTGCAAGTGCTTCAAATGACAAAACGGTATGCATATGGAAGAGAGAGACGGGAGAAACAGTCCTTGGGCCATTCAAAGTGGATACGCCAGCCAACTCGGTGTCGTACTCCCCGGATGGGAGAAAACTAGCAGCAGGCACTAACCGACACATCATCGTTTGGAATACAGCAAATGGAAAAGAGTTGCTGAAGATAGAACAGCGGGCATACAGAGTCGCATTCACTCCAGATGGTCTCCGTCTCGTCAGCGGAGACGACAAAGACATCCGAATTTCAGATGCTATCACCGGAGACAGAGTCAAACAGTTTGACGCACACACCGACACTTTATTCTCACTAGCCATTGCCCCCAGTGGTACAAAATTCGCTACCACATCATTCGACAACACGACGCGGTTTTTTGACCTGACCACGTTCAAACCGATCGGCGAACCACTCGGCCACCCTCATTTCGTCTGGGGTGTAGCTTTTTCCGAGGACAGCCAGCTCATCGCGACAGGCTGTTGGGACAATCTCGTTCGGACATGGATGGTTCCTGAGAGCGAGTCAGAGATGGAGTCCCAGCAGGCAAGTAAATTCCTCCAATCATGCCATGCTTCTGCTGACATGTTATACAGTCCGCACTGAAAGTTCTTCAGGTACGCTTTCACGCTCGTCATTTTGTACCACCCCTAACTTCACTCCCGCAGAAGACCATCCCGGATCCAAAGCCTCGACGAGAACGCGCGGGACTCTCACGGGGGTTCTTTGATGATGTGAGTTTCTAGTAACAGCAGATTCAACTTGAATGTCTGATCGTGCCTACAGTTTGATGCGCGGTCCACACCTCGACGCAACAACCACTCCGTTCCCACTGGGTCGCGCATCAAGAAAATCATGAACCGTCTCTTGTTTCGCTCCCCTGCTCCTCAGGACCATACTAATCATCCCCACAGGATCCCCGTTGTAGATGTCTTCGCAACACGAGGTAAATATGTAAGTTTCCCGAGCTTTTCGACATCCATACCTTGTTGATGACATTTTTCCGCAGCGCACCGTCAATGCCACGAGCGGGAAAAGGCACTTGTTACAGCCACCGCGTCCTCCTTGCCGGAAAGCCCAGACTTCTAACGCTGGTGCCCCAAAGAGCAGCGCGCCACCAGCGGAGACGTATAATGTGATCAGCGGAGCTACCTCAGCCGCCTTGCAGACCGGAGGTGCCGGTGCTTCTGCTGCTACTAACAGACCTCCTTCCCCGGTCGATGTCGAACGTGGTACAGAGATCAGCTGCCTGGCGCTCCTCGTCAGGTACTTCTTTCGCCTCTCACAAACTCGACAAACACATCCTGCTGCTTCCCGCGCCAGCTAGGGTTTCATGTCCATTCCGAGACTGATTTCCTGGAAATCGTTTCGCTTTAACCGCGTACTATCTCATATATTCAGAGGTAGTAAATTTTCGATGTTGCACCATTCTCCCAACACACCCTAAGACTAGTTTGCACCTCATGATTGACACGTCTTAAATTTCTCCGCCCGTCTTGTTTTGGAGGTGGACCGTTCGTTCGCAACCTGCAGTATACGGGGCATACTCGGTCGTGCTTGTCGACTCCACACCATGCGGTGAGTCGTGTATATAAATTGTAACATTAATTTGTGTTGAGGACATGGAATGCGGGGAATTGCGTATCCTTGTTAAACTTATTGAACAAACTTGTATGGCGAACAATTTGCAGTGGTTCACTGAGCCCGGTAGACTATGAGATACTAGCACGATATAATAGCATTAGACACAGATTACATTATAACACAAAAGATAGTTCTGTAGTGATGTGCCGCATCAATAGAAATCATCATAGTAAACCATCTCCTCAACATCGTACTGGCTAGCCGGATTTCTGCACTCATCGCAGACCATCTCACAATCATCACCAGTAGTTGCGTCGTCTCCACAGAGCTTGCAAAGGTCTCGGTCACATTTATAACAAAATTTCTCTTCGACACCAACGCATGTCTTGCATAGGAAAGCTCTGCAGTTCCGGCACTTGAAGACAAGGTCTGCACTTTGTGCGTGCTGCACGCCAATGCTCTCTTCTTCCTCCATGCAGTCGTGACAGAACCCCACATCTTTACATTCCTCGCAAGCCACGATGTATGAACACTGCGGACAGAAACGCCGGTGGCACCCAGGGCACCTGAGAATCCAAGCGGAAGAAATGCAGCCACCACAAGTCCAGTATCGACCACATGGGCAGGAGAAGCTATCCTGTGTGATGCAATCAGGGCACACTGTGGTACCCACACGAGACCAACAAGTAGTGTTGCAGCACCGACGCCCATTCTTTCCGCTCGCTTGAGTGTTCGCCACACAGGCGATGGACTGGCAGGAAAATGGGTGTGCTGAGTGTAATCGGGTTACAACAATAGTCGGTGAGGAAGGTCCGGTGCCACTTGTGTTGCCATTAGAAATTGGGCGCCCAACGCACCACTCAAGCTCTTGTGCACAGAACCAGTGTGCACATGAGGGACACTCGCCCAGACGAGGCAGAGAGCCTGGGCGCTCCAAACATGAAATACAGATATTGTTGCTGGGGTGATTGAAACACTGTACGATGGGGATGGCAGAGGAGACTTTACAATCACTATTGGAGCAGGAGATGATTTTGCACATGTTGCACGATGTCTGCTTCGCCGAGCAGACAGGACAATGCAGACTGTCACTGGAGAAGTCATGTTCATCGATGAGACCTTTCTCGACAAGACAACGACAAAAGGCCTGTACTCAGAATGAATAAATTCCGCAGAATGCTTGCAACTATGTAATTTATTCACCTGGACTCTATTTCGTTGTTCTTCTCGCTTCTTCTCAAGACGACGTACTTCCTCGCGTCGTATCGCCTCCGCCGCTTCCCACCTTCCTCGGACAATGCTCCACACGTAGTCTCGGAGTTCTCCTAGACTAGCAAGAATCTCCTGGGGTGCCGGAAAACGATTGTTCTTGAATTTATCGCAGATAAACATTGTGTTTAAGTTGATCATGAAGTGGGTGTTCATGCGTGGATGATCCTCTTCACCTTCTCGGAGATTGAGGATGACAATTGACGGCTCACGTCCAGACTCGTGCACCTTGTAGGAAAGGCTTGGCGAACGCCGCCAGTTGTCCACCGTAGATGGTGGTGGGCGTGTAGGGTCGACGGTGCTGTAGATGCACTTCATAACTCGAACGACCAGAGGGAGCATAGGGTGGTCAGACGACGGATCATCAAAAATGATGCTTTTCCAACCGGACATGTTCGCAAAAGACAATGCGTCTTACTCTATGAAACGACGAGTAGAACTCGGAAGCAAGAGAG